ACCTCTGAGCAAAATTAGGCAAAAAAAAAAGTTTCCTGCCCAAGTAGTTTCCAATGCCTCAGGTAGATGGGGGAAGTATCACGTACCGAGGGCCGACCTCGTTTGCTGAACGGGGCTGATAGCACGCAGCAGTACGGGTAGGGTATGGCGACAGTAGAAATTAAAGCGGCACGCACAATGGACCAATATCTGGTCTAAGTGCATGGGGAAACAAACCCCTTGTAATAATAATAATAATAATAATAATTTCATGGGGCAGAATAGGTCCACTGCTCTAGAAACTAGTAACCGCCCATCTCGTCAAGGAATTCCCCTCCGTTTGTGGAACCCGAATTAATTACGGTCTTCACAGCAGCCTTCTTCTGACCCGTATCTTGAGCCAGATGAATCTAGCCCACATAATAATATTCTGTTTTTCGACGATCCATTTTAGCATTATCTTTCCATCCATGCATCTGAGCATCAGATTTTTATGATTTTTTTTTGTATCTCTCATATTTCGCAAGCATTATTCATGCTCCGTACATCTTGTCTTACTTTAATTGGAACCTACTTGTATTTATATAAGAATACAGACTATGTGACTACCTCAGCATTGCTTATCAGTCTGGGGTCCTGCTAGAAGTGCATGAATGATACTGAAAGAACTTCCATAGCAGGTCGCGAATGAACATGACATGTTTACAGCAGTTAAGATCACTCCGCGGATGTCGTAATAAAAATATCGTGGTCTGTTTCTATTATGGAACAAGTTGTCCAGATTGTATTAGAGACTGAAGATATTCACACGCAAATTCTCCGATACAATATCCAAGCTGATGGTGGCCCCGGAATTAATTCGAACCTCACAAATCTGCTGTAATACGTACTACGTATGTTCTAGACCAGTGGTTCTCAACCTCTGCGAGACCGCGGCCCGGTAAATTATTTTCTATAAGACGAGGGCCTGATATAATTGATGCCAGGGCCCGGTACCGGTCCGCGGCCTGCCGTCTGAGAAACACTGCTTTAGACTGCCATTTTCCTGTTTTACTGCGTCCAATACCTGAAGAATTACTTCGACATTGAAGGGTGTGGTTTTCTTGGACTGTATACAACTAACCCACTTCATTTCTTTTACTGTAATAAAAAATAATATTTCCGACGAATTGCTCATGAACTTGACGTTGCTGAAACTGAAGCAACTGTAATTACCACACTGCAGCCAGGGGATTCTCCACATCTAGCCGTCTTTAACCTACAGTTCTAGACCAAAAGTGAGATTCTTTTCTGAAGACTGGACAAATTCTTATAATTTAATAATATAAAGAGAATGTCTAGTATATTTATTTCAAATATTAGCATACACCACAAATACTCGGGTGGCACACAACACTGTGTACCCATCTCTGTCAAATGCCCAACTTATGAGGGAACAAGTTTTAATGAATACCATTTATTTTTGGTTACAGTGGCGGTCATATTACTGGGTATTCGAACGCCTGTCGATTCTTTGTTTCTATTTCTGATTCTATTTATTTTTCCTTTCGTCGATTTTCACCATTTTTATAGTTGCTATATCTTACCAGACTCTTGGCAGGTGAACAAGAGAGAAGAAAGGTAAGGCCCCATTGTGTATTGGCTAGGTCAAATAGTTGGCACTCGACGTCTATTAGAGCTTGTGGGTTAATAAATTCATTGCGTTCTATAATAAGACATTATCAAACTGCATCTGACTACTTCACACTGTCATACTTTTCTTATTGTTACTGGATTAATGTGCGGTTCGAGTAGCTCAGGGTACGGAAGGGTTGGCGATATTCAGAAAGTATCCCAACTTCCTATCGACAGAAGCGATGATGCAATGAACCACGAAGGAACGACGATAACAATGATGGATTACGTGGGTCAGATTACTGCGTGAGGTAACTCCTGAAGATCAAAAGTATGTACATTTTGAATTCGTCATATAATTCGTCTCTCAAAGTTACAATACATTGAACACTCGTGCAATTCAACAGTTTATATCTATAAGGACAAAACTCTTTAAAGCTCGAAATGATTTACACTCATTACAGTAATAAATAAGTAAACTTCTGCCACTGTCAAAGATGTATTATGGGATAATTTTTACAATTTCACATTCTTATTATCAATGCGATGTTCATATTACCACGCATTTAGTGACTAGACACGGGGTTTGGGTTGTTAATCGGAGTTACTGGTTCTTTAAACTCGTAACTACAATGTTTTACTGCGGTATGACAAATTCATGCACTTTAAAATTCACTACAGGACGCATTACATCTCCTCGGTCTCCTATGTATTGTATTCACTAGGCGTTGCACGGTAACGGCTTCCAACGCCATAGATTCCTCAGTTTCCGTGTTCAGTGTATTCATTGGCCAGCGATTGTCTCACAGTTCTTCATGGCTGCAACCCTTGGTTATTTTCTACCTCCTATACTATCAATATATGATGTGAGTCTACTGGGTGATAATGTAGATACCATAAAGAAAAACACACAAACTTTAACTGACGCAAGTAAAGAGGTTGAGAAGTAAACACAGAGAAAATTAGTATATGTTGCTGTCTCGTCACCAAAATGCAGGGCAAAATCATGATATAAAGATAGGAAACAGATGGTTTGAAAACGTGGCACAGTTCAGATATTTGGAAACGATGAAAACAGATCAAAACCTGATTCAGGAGGAAATTAAGAGGCGACTGAACTCGGGTAATGCTTGCTACCATTCAGTCCAGAACCTTTTGTCTTCCTGTCTGCTGTCCAAAAACATAAAAATTAGAATATGCAAAACTATAATTTTGCCTGTGGTTCTGTATGGGTGTGAAACTTGGTCTCTGATATTAAGGGAGGAATAGCCTATAGACTGAGGGTGTTTGAGAACAGGGTGCTGAGGAGAATATCTGGACCGAAGAGAGACGAAGTGACAGGAGGTTGGAGAAAACTGCATAATGAGGAGATTCATAACTTGTACTCTTCTCCAAGTATAATTAGAGTGATCAAGTCAAGGAGGATGAGGTGGGCAGGGCATATAGCATGAATGGGGGAGACGAGGAATGCGCGTAGGATATTGGTGGGAAAGCCAGAAGGAAAGAGACCACAGGGAAGACCAAGGCGTAGGTGGGTGGACAATATTAGAATGGATCTTAGAGAGATAGGATGGGATGGTATGGATTGGATTGATCTGACTCAGGATAGGGACAAGTAGAGGGCTCTTGTGAACATAGTGATGAACCTTCGGGTTCCATAAAATGCTGGAAATTCTTGAGTAGCTGCAGAATTGGCGGCTCCTCAAGAAGGGCTCAGCTCCATGAGTAAGTTTTTTTTAATGCTAGTGAGGTAGGACTAAGTTCCTTGTACTGCGGTCACTTCTGGCCTATTGTACCAGCCCCAGAAGACAGGTGAGGGTGATTTTGGAGCAATTGGAGAAATGAAGATTGGCAGGGGAAACCGAAGTACTCGGAGAAAACCTGCCCCAGCGCTACTTTGTCCACCACAAATCCCACTTGTTCAGACCCGGGATCGAACCCGGGCCGCAGAGGCGGGGAAGCCAGCGACTAATCGCTTGAGCTATGGCGCAGCTATAGTAAGTAAGTAAGTAAGTAAGTAAGTAAGAATACTATCAATATTCTCACCCCCGAGCCAGTCCACCCCTTATTTAATAACCACCCCTATAAAAGACCACATATGGACAAAACGGTTGGTGGTCTTCTTGGAGGTTTCACTGTGTGTAGAAAATTTTGAATATAGTGATAAACAATAAGTATCTTAAATAATTTTCCGAATTTAGGAGCTCCGTGCGTGGATTCGGAAATGGTAAATAAAAAAAAAGGGATTCAAAATATACTTGTTACCAGTCAATTCAGAAAAGTTTATAGTTTTATTTGTTTTTCAGAACACTGGAATTAAAATGCAGGCCAGCGTTTAAAGCATTAAGTGTGTAGTTGTTTCAGATGGCCGTGAACGTGTTGTATCCTTCTGACCGAAGAAATAAATTACAAGTATTGAAACAAAGTGCTGGATGTAATATCTGGACCTAGGGCAGTTTCTATTTACTTTATAACATCTATGGAAGTTGTATAATATTGCTGTAGTAGACATATCATAGCTGAGCATACAATTCAGGCTGGGAAAATAAACTAATACAAAATCATGGCTGGAAAATTTCCAGAAAAAAAGGGCATTTGGGGAGGGGTTAAGGGATGAACGTTAAATGTATCGCACAGAAAGAGATTATGAGAATGCGAATCTGAAAGAATGGACTTCAAGATTTTATTCAATGACATGTATTGACATTATGCCTATGTATGTCAAACTGTCGATTCCTATATTAGGGAAATAATTTGCGTCCTTACATAGCATCCGTTTGGTCGCTGGAGTAATGATTGTGTGTTCTCAGATGCGAGGAGCTGTCTGACATGCGACAAAGTCCTTGCCGAGCTCGAGAAGATTGATGACGACACAGATACCTTCGGAGTGGACTTTGTCAAAATCAACGACAAAAGACTCGCAAAGCACTATGGGATCAAGAACTTCCCCGCTCTCACGTACTTCCGAGAGAAGGAACCTATTATTTACGAAGGTATGTACTGGCCATTCTCACCTGTTATCTAAATATATAATTGCAGTGCAGTGGTTGTGGCATGAAGCTTATCTTGCAACTCATTTCCACAGATTAGCAGAGAAACGGAGACCGAAATATTGGTAACTGTTATCCCTACAGTAAATACACATATTTAGTTTTGATACTGAGTGACAAGAAACCATCATATTTTCGGTATAGGTTACGGCTTTTGCAATTTAAAATGTGTTTTGTGTAGCACTTATAAAATGTAAATTGTTTTCGCAGGTGTTATGTTGCTAATATCTTATTCATACATTGAATATTTATAATTCAACAATAAAGGTACATGTAACTTATTGGCATGTTCACAACAGCCCTCCACCGATCCACATCCTGATCCAGATCAATTCAGTCGATACTACTTCATATTATCTCTCTAAGATCCATTTTAATATTATCTACCCACCTACTTCTTGATCTTCCTAGTGGTCTCTTTCCTTCAGCTTTTCCAACCAATATCCTATATGCATTCTACTTCTGAATTCGTGCTACATGCCTTACTCATCCCAAGCTCCTTGTCTTGATCATTCTAATTATACTTGGCGCAGAGTACAAGTTTTATGCGTCCTCATTATGCAGTCTTCTTCAACCTCCCGTCATTTCATTTCTCTTCCCCCCCCCCCTGGCACTACAGCCCCAGTAGGCCTAGGCCTACCTCCTTGACCTTCTCCGTTCACTTCGGTTTTTCTAGATCTTATACATTCGGTAGGAGTCCTTGGGCGGGTGATCAGCTCGTCGCAAGGCCTCTACCTGTATACAAACACAGAAAAACTCACACACATAAACTAAACGTCCATGCCCTGAGTGGGATTCGAACCCACGATCGCGGTTTCCAAGCGAGCGAAGACAGTACATGCCTTACATCGCTCGGCTACCGTGACCGGCCATTTAGTTTCTCTTGGGTTAAAGCATTCTCCTCAGCACCCTGTTCTCAAACGCCCTCAGTCTATGTTGTCATTAGTGTATGTAAACAAGCCGATGCACTTGCAAAGCCTTTTATTCGTGTATTTGATTAGGCAAATTTTACCTTACAGAACTTCTGCCTTAGGTATTATATTAAAAGTGAACCTTATCTTATAATGTAAAACTGTTTCTGCCTTATTTAATACATCTATGCTTAAAGCAGTTTAGCGTACGGTACATGCCTTCAGCGACCCCGAATAAGATCAAGCTCGTAGACCATGAATATTGAAACTCAGGGTGCTGAAATTTGGGAGAATGCCAAGGGGTATTTCTATTGTAATATACTTTCATGGATATCATGCATCCCCAATTAATTCCGCTAAAACGAATGAAAATGAGAGAGTGAAGAAAGAAACGGAAGGAGAAGGTGATGAAAAGTAAGCTCTAATGTTTCAATGGATAAGTTTTATTGACCAAAATAAAGATACACCCCTATAGACTCGTAAAATATCTATTTACAGATGATGATGCCTCAGATAGCTTCAGTTTAGGCAGACGTGAATTATAGGTGAAAGTTTGATGGGGTGAACGTCATAAGCATATAATTTGATAGGTCTTGGATCTGCAGTTGGAGAATCTACACGCACTGCCAACTTAACAAAATCTGTATTTATTTTTGTGTGGTGCACATTACTATTATGCTTATACGGTACTTAAAATTCAAAGTTCTAAATAAATTAATTATCAAGTTGCCGAATTACTGATGATCAAATATTAAATTAAATCTAAACATATACAACACAACATCATCAAATATAGACAGGACTCATATCTGTCCTTTCTATTAGTTGATTTATATCAGATGATTTCAAAATTAAGTGGTTCCCAAATTATGGTGGTATGAGACGTACCCAGACTCGGAGTAGCCTGTATCTACTGAAACACGCTCGCCATATTTTTCGAAAGAAAATCCTGGACATACTTAAGAAGTGACGGGGGGGGGGGGCAACGAAATGGAGCTGAGTAGGAACGGTCACATTTGTGTTCTGAAAAATTGATGACATCGTTTCTTTAAGAGGGGGAACTAGAAATGCCCATATCTCAGTCAGCTCAGCAATACTTCTCCATTTGTTGCTTTTGTCAGTGCGTTACTTACTTCAAAAACGGAGGTGAACTGTCGCTCCAGACCCTGTATTAATTTTGTAAACTAATAATAAGAAGACTTTTCGAAATGTATAGACAGACATTCAAAGGTTCGTAACTAACTAACTCCATGGAGCTGAGCCCTTCTTGAGAAGTCGACAGTTGTGCAGCCACTCAAGAACTTCCCAGCATTTTATGGAACCCGAAAGTTCATTACCGTGTTCACAACAGCCCTCAACTGGTCTCTATTCTGAGTCAGATCAATCCAACCCACACAATCCTATCTAATCTCTCTAAGATCCATTTTAATATTGTCCACCCATCTACGTCTTGGTCTACCCATTGGCCTTTTCCCTTCTGGCTTTCCCACAATATCCTATATGCATGCCTCTTCACTCCCATTCGTGCTACATGCCATGCCATGCCATGCCAATCTCGTCCTCCTTGACTTGATCATTTTAATTATACTTGGAGGAGAGTACATGTTATGAAGCTCCTCATTATGCATTTTTCTCCAACCTCCTGTTACTTTATCTCTCTTCGGTCCAAATATTCTCCTCAACACCCTGTTCTCAAACATCTTCAGTCTATGTTCCTCCCTTAATGTCAGAGACCAAGTTTCACACCCATACGGAACCACAGATAAAATTATAGTTTTGCATATTTATAATTTTTATGTTTTTGGACAGCAGACGAGAAGAGGTTCTGGACTGAATGTTAGCAAGCATTACCCGAGTTCAATCGCCTCTTGTTTTCCTCCTGAATCAGATCTTGATTTGTTATTGTTGTTCCCAAATATAGTAACTTCGCCGACAAGCGGCGGTCGCTTAGTCGGTATATTTCGCTTGCGGACTCAAGCCACGGAGTTTGTTTTTTGTTTTTGTCCCAAAATATCTGAACTGTGTCATATTTTCGAATCAACTGTTTTCTATCTTTATGTTATGATTTCCCCCTGTATTCTGGTAACAACACAGCAACATATACTTAGATTTCTCTGTGTTTACTTCTAGACCAACCTCCTTTCTAGCGTCAATTAAAGTTTGCGTGTTTTTCTTTATGTTATCTATATTATCTCTACGTAAATTCACACCATCAGCATAGACCAGCAGCTTTTGTGACGCATTTAATTTCAGTCCCAACTGGCTTTCCTGGACCTTCCTAATAGCATATTCTAGAGTAAAGTTGGAAAGCAATGACCATAAAGAATCGCTTTTGTAGACCATTTTGGATAGAAAATTTATCAGAAAGATATTTACCTATACGAACTTTACTATAGGTTTCATTTAAACGTATTTTAAGCAGCCTAACTAGATTAATGCGTACACCAAAATCTACTAGAATATTGCACAAGAATTCCTTCCTGTCTGAATCATAGGCTTTCTAGAATTCTAGGTTCCTATCGCCGGAAGTAAGTGCGAAAGACATATGTTACCATTCAGCAGGGAAGTTTTGTATTCAGTATTCTGCTTCTTCACAGAAGTGCTGTAGCCCAGTATCACTTCTGTGTATATGTGAAAATGTTTGTATATTTTCGCAACCCGTAGTTCAGCTTCCGTTGAAGACTCACAATAGCCAATTTATACACAGTTTTGCGCGATGTGTTGCGTCACAACCTGTTCCAAATTTGTTCCATTTCATTCCCTTTCCGTTCTTTAACGCCATTTGTTTTTCCTCGACGAAGAGCCTCACCAGGATTTATACTAGTGTTGTCACTTCAAAAGTCGATAACTTTCTGTGTCTCTATGTGATTTTTATGCATAATTTTAACTTTGAAAAGCAACACACTTGCTTCAGTGTTCCTCGACTGAGTGTACATGTACTTAATAGTTTATTCTTTACATATTTGGGATGAAAAATTAGAATTCCGCTTGATACTTTTACTGACATTCTGTGGGTGTATGCACACCTGCGGTAACATACATGGCTTCAGACAAGACATCACTGACGCACAGCCCAGGGACATTCGTTGCAGTAGCTGTCAGTACACAAGGAAATATTGATCACATATAAGCGAAATAATTTTCGATGTCCAGTCGCTAGAGTGGAATGACAAGTAATATTAAGGTAATCGTACGGGAACATTCTTTCTCATTTCGCAATTTCAGTGGATTTAAATTCATAGAAGTCTCTTTGGAAAACGACTTTTTTTTCATAGTTGAAGATGCTGATTGACTAGCTGCATTATGTTGCTTATCCGAGGATGATTAGTCTGTCCTCCATACGAAATCGTGAACACAAGCAATGAAATGGAAAGAGTTTAAATGAAAACCATATTATACATGAAGAAAGCAGTCTTCTGGGATTTGGCACCGTGTATATGTGGTGTTAATCGACGTTTCGGAGGAACGTATCGCTTCCGTCTTCAGACTGCTTTTACCGGTTCTCACAGTCTCTTCGCTTGCGGATTTCTTATATTTTTCCTTCTACCCTGAAGATGGAGGCGATACGTTCCTCCGAAACGTAGGTTAAAAGCACATACACACGGTGCCAAATCCCAAAAGACTGCTTTCTTCATAGTCACCGCCGTGAAAGCCTCAAATCTTACATATTATACATGTGTGTACCTGGGATCTTCCTAAGGGTGTAAAGGGCTGCTTGCGTATAAGGCTGACAACTTTACCGCCATCTGTGAATCGATTTTCTAGAGAAAATGTGGGAACCTCGACGTCTCACAACCCTTTGGGCCTTCATGATCTGTTACATGGCTACCTTTATCTTTTACACAGCATTATATCCAAGAAGATATGCCTCTTCATAATTACCGCTGTGAAAACCTCAAATCCTACAAGGCTTAAGCATTTTGAAATCTTACCGAGTGTAATATTTCATAGTTTCAAGGACTAATATATTAGATACACTACGACTTCGAAATGCCACGGATAATAAAAGAGTTATAGATATGAGAACGTTCACACTCAAATTGATTAAGCAACTCTTGAGATAATAAAAATACACCGCCTGAATATTTTCTGCTGACGCAGGGAAAATACTTAAAATGAGTGTCATCCATTCTGTGTGAATGCTGTTCTCCTTCGTCAAGTTTATTTTTAAAATTAATTTTATTCGAAATATTTCCCAAATATTCACAAATCTAACTTTTAATTTGTTATTTGCCGTTGAAGAAGGCGCTGAAAAACAGGGCTTTATCTTCTTTCCTTCTTTTTCTTGGGGAAAAGTAAATATAACTGAGCTTTTGAGGTCCCCTGCCATGGTTTACAAAATCATATCTCCTCTCATATTACAGTTTGGTATCCTGCAGGTTGCCGTTAAAACATCTTCTCTTTTCACTGTTATTTTCAAATGCTTTCGTTTGCCGACAGAAATTTATCATTGGTTATATTTTTAGGTGCTTATGTATCTCTGTAGACAGTTTCTTCTCAGTCTGCTTTGTAAAGGGAAAGACTGAGGATAAGTTTAGCAGAAAACAATGCAGATTTTCTTACACCAAACGAAATATGAATGTAAAAATTAAAACTGGAGTCTCTTCTTATTTGTCACCCCGTGAAGACTAATGTTGAACACGGATCTACAGCTCACGCTTACTTAATCTTGACACTACTTAGAGATGAGATAAGTTATCAACTTCAGTCTCCTTTCGCTTTACTCCAAGAACCCTCTGGGGAGTAGGCTAGATGGATCCCACAGAAGTCTGACGGGATGGAAATAGATGGCCCCCCCATTTATGAAGAAAGCCCGACACCTGATAATCTTCGTTTCGACACTGCACACGAGAACATTCTTATAAGCACGCACATGTTTAGAACACATCTATGCCATTGAAAGTGCGATGTGATGTTCTAAATTTTAATTATACTTGTGATTTAAGATTTCCTGTTCGTGAAGTGGGTTTCTTGACGTCACCACACGAAAATTAAAAAAAAAGAACCACCTCAAGTTACGTGACGTTATACAGTGAATAATATTGAAGGAATATATTTTATTTATTTTTTATTTTTAAAAATCTAATTAAATTATCATTAGATTACTTCACGACGCTGCTTCAACTGCAGATTTTATTTAGTCCCGAGTGAGCTGGAGATAGGATTGCGAATGAAAAGCAGAGATTTAAAAGAAGAGGCGATCGTGACATGCTATTTATGTGGAAAATTAATAAAAAAAATCTATAAGGATAAACAATAACCTGACCAAAATTCAAAACGTCCCTCCCGGAATAAGTCCAGAATATTTCTTCTGCAATCAGTATATTTGGTTTAAAAATTTATTCTAATTGGTTAACTATTAAAAACACTTGTAATAATTAATTCTATATAACGTTCTCTGATTCTGAGCCGAGTTTTATTACATGATTTTAATTTATTTTGCAGTTAACCAATCAGATCAATACTCTGGTTTCAGAACTTAGTTCAGTTTTATTCCTAAGCATGTACAGAGGTTTACATTCTAATATAATTGATCAGCGCTTACGCTTCGCCATAGAGAGAGGTCTGGGTTCAGTCTGAACGAGATTGCTTGAATAATGGTAATAAAAATGGTACAGAACTGAGCAATGGAGAGGCATACGTTTGCTTGTTATATCATGAGAACCAAACGTCACACAGTTTAAGCAATCGGGCGAAGCTAAATTGAGCCAGACGCTTAAATATAGGTCACGAGGTTGAGTCACTTCAGCTTCCACTCAGGCGACTTTGGCGTACGGGTTACTACTGGCAAACGGAACGGCACAGTGCAAGATTGACGTCTAGCTTGTATACATATACATCAATATAGATACATGAAGCAGAAGCAACTTGGAGGGGGGGAGTATTCTCTGTGTAAGGAAATAAAACATATAAGAATATTACTCTTTAAAGAAAAACAATGTAATGTACGAGTATAAAGGGAGCTTATATTTACAAACTATTATATTGTCACGTGACTGAGTGACTATAGACGCAGTTTGGATTGGTAATAGGATTTTTGATTCTTACAGAATGTAGCTACAAATAGCTATAGCGCTAACACTAATTTATACATTCTGCAGTTCGCTAAAACACACACGAAGTCTTCTTACTCTGCTGTGTCTTCACCGGTTGTCGCCTGGTAACGGTTTCCAACTTTGTAGCTTTCTCAGCTTCCGTGTTTGCGTCCTTACTGGCTGGCGGCTGTCTCACAACTAACTTATTGTTCCGACTCACTAACTCCCAGGCCATCTCACACCAATCTCCTACTCTTCTCACTGCTCTCTCCAGACTTTCTCTCCCATGGCATCTGGTCCTCGTTATATAGCCGCGGAAGGGACCGAACAGAAAATACCGCTTTCAACAAATATTCTATTGTAGCATGCGTCTGTTGCGACCATTACCTAGCAACGGTCATTATTTACAGAGCCATTACCTAGCAACGGCTATTATACTATATAACTGTATATTTCGAGGTCGTTGCCTAGCAGCGGGTATACATGCCACAATATGTAATATTTATAACTAGCTCTCTAGCATTATGCCCTACGAATTTTTATCGCTTATCAGTATAAAAATGCGAATTGTATTATCCTCTTTACAAATCAGGCTGATTCAATTTAATATCTATAGGCTTATTTAATAAGTTATTTCCTATTCGGAAATAACTTACTACTACTGTTCCTACTACTACTACTACTACTACTACTACTACTACTACTACTACTACTACTACTACTACTACTACTACTACTACTACTACTACTACTACTACTACTACCACCACCACGACTCCTATTAATATTAATACCACTGCTTGTACTACTACAACTACTAATTCAATTGCATTCTTATTTATCTGAGTAAAATTTAACAGCACAAAGGCCAATTACAAATAGAGCACAAGTAAAGAAATGGAAACAAAATACAAACAAAACAAGACAGATTTATATGATTCGAATAATAAGAATAATTCAATCAAATTCTTAATAATAATGATTTTATTAATACTGCACTAAAACTTTTAAATAATTGCACAAACAAACACAGACCGAGATAGTGCATGGAGCTGTTGTGTCTGTCAGCGGGCAGGCCAACTCTCAAGAGTTCGTTCGCTGATGTCCGTAAGACCGAGAACCGCGTCCGAAAATCGATATAAGATCGAAAGAACGAATTGCCCGAATCTCGAATTACCGATATCTGAGGAATACCTCTAGTTAGCAGGGTAGCAGCCTAGTACAGAGTCAATATCGGACTGGAGTAGATTGTAAGCTTTAGGAAATTAATGGCACAGTGATTTTCAACATGAGCAAAACGTAGACACATAGAGTAGATTGTTGCATCACATAAGTGGATAGTAATACTGATAATATATTCAAATTTACCAGCAGTGAATATTTGACTCGATTAGGATTCGTGCCTATGACCAACTGTTGAAAATTTTATTGTTCTAGCCCATGAGCTAAATTATTTTGTTGTTGTTGTTGGATTGTTGAATTTTTTTTCTTCTTTCCTTGGCCCTACAGCCCCAGTGGGCCTANAATTGTTGAATTACGTTATGTAAATACGACTCTGGGAACACAAGAGTTTATTGGTCTAGAAGGCCGCAATTGGCAAGCATGATTTATGAGTTCTTCTCAGAGTTCTCTCTTAATATTATTATTTTTTTTTTGTGAAATCTGCTTTCAGCACTAGTTGAAGTGATAGATGAAATATATAACTATATTATATAAATATAAATATGTATGTATGAAAGATCCGGTGTAGAAAACCGAAATTAACGGCCGTGGGGATTCGTTGCGATGACCACGCTACACCCTCTATCCGCAAAATGTTGGCACTAAACTTCGCGGACAAGCGGCGGTCGCTCGGTCGGTATGGTTCGCTTGCGGACTGGAATCACGGAGTTTGTGTGAAATATTATATAATTGACATTTATTCGCTTTCTGAAATTTGGTGCAAGGGAGTCTACAATAAAGTGTGATGTACGAAGTTAATTTTTGGCCATATACATCTTTATTTGTTTTGTGCTCAGACTGTTCTAGAACATAGGGATTCTCCCCTGTGGTCATGCTCATAATTATTCTGAGGGCCACTCATGCTTCTGAAGCTGATCTCTTGCTCCTGTTCCTGTAATGCTAATGATACGTCGCGACGCCTTCATCTTACAGCAACTTGAGCAAGGCGTCAGTTTATCTGCACTCCACATGGGTGCCACCCTTCCTCGTATGTCGACAAATGTTGGCAATTTCTAAGTTATCTAAAGCAGCTCCTATCACTGTCAGTACCGAATTATTGCTTTCGTGATGACTCTAGAAGCCTGGAGATGTAGCAGAATCCTATAAAATTTAATACCTAATTTTACGACGCAAAAGAAATCATATCCCTCGAATGGAAAAACTTGGTACGTCCTCGTATGCGATAGGAAGGCCAACTTTGGGCCGGAAGAAGACAAAAGAATTGTATTTTTTCTCCTGCTGTTCCCGTTATCATTATTGTTGACGGCGGTGGCGGTGGTGATGATGATTGAGGTACCTAGCATCTAGACCAGTTGAGGAGCTAACCCTGCCTCCTATTTAAGGAGCCTCAGAGCTTCTTTCTCCTGGATGTGCTGGCCGAAGCGTGTAGTTGAACACTCACCTTCATCTAGTGCTGAGTTTAAGAATGTGTGGTGGTTTACCACGTTCACCTTTATCTTCAGAATGCCTTACAAGAAAGAGTCTAATTTTGTTCTTAAATTTCTGTTCATTTTTTTTTCAGGAGATCTCATGGATGAAGAAAATGTACTGGACTTTCTCACCAGTCTCGAAGCAATGGATCTCCCGGATAGGATCGAGGAAGTTAACGCCAGGATCCTGTCCAAGATTGTTCAAGATACCGACTACGTAGCCGTGCTTTTCTGTAAGTGTGACCACGCATCTACCAACATTTTGAAAGGCACAGATATCAACAAAATGAAAGTGTGTTTCTGTCTTAATTTGCCATATATGTTCACCTGGTGTCAAATAAGCCTATATGAATTTCCTAGTACCAATGTCCTGTTGGTGACATATAACATTTTTCATTTACTAACAACATTCGTCCTCTTGTATTGACAGTTGGAAAGAAATGAAAGCAAACGAGGTTAGCGCATAGGTATAATTTTTATTCTTTAGTTGTCAAATTATGTGCAGTCATAATATAATCGCCCAACAGCAAATTCGCGCGAGATTTAATGATTGCAGAATCCATACGACCAACCCGAATGTACATGTTGGAAGAATTCAAAACAAGACACTAGGAATAAGAATTTAACCCTTTAAATCGCAGTGGTACCACCTTCCTTAACATACCAAACTCTGTATTCTGCCCACGGATTGTATTTTTGCTCCGTATGGTTCTCACAGTAAAGAGCAACTGTTTCCCTGAACAGCATTAATCTGTTGGGCTTTGTAGCGGAAACGTGCTGTGTTTCCTGTGAGGTACGAACTTGGTTGTCATATAGTATTAGTTAGATAAATTTAGCCTTTAAAGGGTTAAAGCGGAAACATTAGTTCTTCACATGGCATATGGTTACTTTATTTATCCATACCATAATGTATAGTATCTAAATATTCAAAGAAGAAATAAACCGAAGTTCCTTCATGCAATAAAGTAATTCATAAGTAACGAGCTTCACACGTATGCAGAAATACNGGTTACTTTATTTAGCCATACCACAATGTATAGCATCTAAATATTCAAAGAAGAAATAAACCGAAGTTTCTTCATGCAATAAAGTAATTCATAAGTAACGAGCTTCACAGGTATGCAGAAATACTACTTCAATACCGTGTATATATGGATATATAGATGGATATATATAGATAGATATATATATAGATGGATGGATGGGTAGATCGTCGTCGTCGTCGTCATCATCATCATCATCATCATCATCATCGGCAAGTCGCCTCACTTTTTAAGTCATAGCCTCCCTTAGAATATTCTGCTTGATTTATCCGTAGACCATGTGGTTTTAATTTCTTTGGATTTCGCAACAATACATTTTTACAGAGCAAGGTCGTCAGCCTTGCGTCCAATCCCGAACCTGGAGGATCATATCCCCCAATGATAGAGTGGCCCAGTTACACCCCCATGTACTGGGTTTCTTTTCGTCGCCTTCTACAACTCCCAGGGCCACTGTGGAGGTATTCTAACACGCCTCCACATGGGAAATATAAATATATGCGTGTATGCAAGTGCATGAAATAATTTAATAACATCTTTCACTATTCTCTATTAGGAAAAAGCTAATAAGCGAGGAACAGAATAACTAAAAATGTTGAATTTTTCTCATGTAATAAATAATATTTCCATTAGGGATTGTCCTTATTCCTCCTCTGTATATTTTTTATGTTCTGAGCAAGCATGGTGTCTTATTCAAATAAAAGGTTTTCGTTTCTTTCCAACTTGGATGTAATAGAGCTCATATTCAATATTATTATAACGAGACAAACAAAATAGCATCTGGTGTCTTACTCATAAAAATTTCATTATAATTGTAATTTAAAAAAGAATTCGACATTGTAGACTGGTATGGACTCTATACACCTCAAGTAACATCAGAAGTAAATTTACATTTTTGGGCTATTTCATTTTGAATTATTTTTATTAAATGAAAAATAAAAAACGAGTAAATGTCTAATCATTCATTGAACAGATTTTCTGGCATGCAACACATCAATAGCCATTATTGTTCACGTACATCTTCGGTAACCAAAAGAGAAGGAACCCTACGACAGTCCTTGGACGTTATGTAGCAACCAGTTTACTGGATCGAGATAACTTTCATCGCGAGTCGAAAACTTGGTTGTGCAACCCGTGGCGCTGTTCCAAGGTGACACACTTGCTAAGCAGAACGATTCATCTCATCTTACCAATAACAAAAGCAATAATGTCAAGTATCATAAAACTAATCCATGCCACAAGAAAACGGATGAAGCTAATAAAATATGCATGATCATTTGAGGTTTTGGAAAGTGTGCGCACGGTGGGTGCCAAGAGAACTGAAGGATGAAGAGAAAATGAACTGAGTGTGTCTGCCCTTGCAACATCTCTTACATTATGCAGATGAAGGAGAAGATACTCTTAACAGGATCGTTACTGGGGACTATCACGGTTGCATCACTACCAACACGAATCAAAACGTGCTTCAGTGCAATGGAAACATCCCAGTTAACATTCTCATACAACCAAAAATATAAGGTTAAGCGATCAGCTGGCAAGGTTACGCTTACCGTGTTTTGGGGTTCTCAGGGAGCACTGTTAGCCCATTTTCAGAAACGTGGAGAAAATGTGAATCCTGCATCATACTGTGAAGTTCTTTTGAAGCTTCGGCATGAAATTAGCAGATCTGGGAAGATTGGTTCAGCCTCAATGTGGTAATGTGAGACCCCAAAGTACACGAGCAACCCAGGAGAGAAATAAGAAACTACAGTGGGAACTTCTTGAACATCCGCCTTACAGCCCGGACTTGGTTCATAGTGACTTATATTTGTTTGGTCCGTTAAAAACCACCTTGATCGCAAAGGTTTCGCTGAAGAAGAAGTTGAAACTGAAGTGCGGAAGTGGCTGAGACAACAGACAAAAACTTCTATGCTTCGAGTTACGACGCACTCTTAAAGCAATAGGACTAGTGTACCAATGTTGACGGAGGATATTTCAAGAAATAATTTTTTTTTTTCCAGGTTCGAATATCACATGTTCCATGTTCTGAATCCATTTGCGACCTGCTTACTGACTGTCCCTCCTATATTCCTCAGCTTCCGTGTACACGTCCTTACCGGCTCTCAACCCCCTCACATCTCTCTCGTTTCTCCAGCTGTCAAGGCTCAACTATCTAACTCAACTGTCAATTTTCAACCAATGACTGCAACTCATGGCCTCCCAACTATGACTGTCCACTCACTGTTTATCCATAGTTCTCACTGACTTTCATTCGCTGTCTTGTCGGGTTATATAGCCTTTTTACCGGTCGCATAGAAAACTTCCACAAATCGCGCAGAAAACAGAGTCATACTCATTATTTACCAGCCATGATGGTCCACATATTTACTAGTCGTAACCTAGCAACGGCTATCACTTTCAATCGTCATGTCACGACATGTATTTTCCGTTATAAATGAATTATGTGTCAATATTTTCTCTCTTCACAGCTTTGAATCTTCCAGTTGTATTGCTGACGTTACTTCCGTTTGGGTGTAATGGTTAGGAGCGGGAGTAGAAGGGATATTAGGCATCGCGAGTTTTGTCGGTACAAAGGCGAGAAGTGGGCTGAGACGGATTGTGAGGGTGTGCGTTTGGGTCAGAAGCAGAGAAGTGGGGAACAGCCCGACACGCAGCCACTAATTCTCGAAAGGCCACCAACTCTTATCTAAAGCATTGCTCTTGTATGGAAGGATAAAACATATCCTGCTGCCTAATCTTGATGATTAGGTCTCGCTTTTATAATCCCGTGTTAAGTTCACAAATCTTCTGATGAAATATAAGTAAAATTAGGATTAAATTAGTTCAACTGCAATATATTTTTTATAACATAAAGAAGTCTTTACATGTTTCGGTCAGTGATGGCCATCATCAGAAGGTAAAGCTTCTATGTGAAAAGTGCCCATCCTTAGCGACATTGTTAGAGGGGCTAAGCTTGCTACGGCACCTTCTCAACAACCCTTTCTCTTTCTCCATCCGAACCTACCCCCTGGAATAATTTACTTTTTCAGTACTTGTAGGAAAATAAGACAGTATTTTCATGTATGATTTATTTTGTTTTAAATTTAATTGTTTGGTTAAAATTAAAGCAAATGAAACGATACATTTATTATACTAACATTTCATATATTTAAAATTCTTGTATTATGGATCTGTCTTATTAAATTAAAAAAAATAATTTGAGGTACATCGTACCATTAACCTTTCAAATTAACTTCACTGGGTCTGTTGTATTAATGACAATTAATGGTGTTAAAGAAGAAAGCAGTCTTCTGGGATTTGGCACCGTGTATATGTGGTGGTTAACACCACACATACACGGTGCCAAATCCCAGAAGACTGCTTTCTTCATAGTCACCGCCGTGAAAGCCTCAAATCTTACATGGTGTTAAAGAAGTCTGCAAGTATTGAGAAAATCTCTTGGTCTGGTGTCATGTCTCAGATAGCTGTGATACCTCACTCAACTTAGTGGTTAAGCTACTGGTTAGATGACTTATATTTTATTCCCAACAGAGAAATATACCTTCTCTTGGCCACCATGTCTATTCCGGCTTTGAGACCAACTCAGGGGGGTCTCATCCAATGGATATGAGTAATAATTTTTCGTGGAGCGAAGCTGTGCATTTACTGCCCAGTCTGATGTGTGCAGCTATAAGTCTTCACGGCCTGATTCTGAATTAGGAACAGGGACAACTTATCTTATACCAACAGAACACCAGAAAAGAGTCTTAAACTGGCTCCAGTTCTTTCCATTCCTACTGATTCACAGTACACAACCAGTTTAACATGTAACAGAAGACACTGTACTACATAATATTAGCAACCGATGAGACATCGTTAGATAACATAACAAGTTAATAAATAACTATAGGCTGTGGAACGTTCAATTTGTTTTAATCAGTAGAATTTTATAAAATTGAGATCCAGAATACACTGTCTCAGATGGTAAATTTACCTCTGACCTATACCTTGTTGCTGGAGGCACCAGAAGTATGGACATTGATGTTAACCTGCCCTATCTCTGTTTGTGAAGCGTCAATTCGTTAAATGTTACATGTTTTGTATTGTTAGGTCCAGACACGAAGACTTGTCCACCAAATGGTTCAAGTAAGTAAATATAATCATCGTCCTCTTTTCTTTTTACTTCCATCATGCTTATAAACCTACTGACTGCCGGTGGAGAAACCAGTCGCAAAACTACATCTGACTGCAATACGTAGAGGGTTGCTCTCTTAACACTATCGCTTTTAACATCCACTTGATTCAATTTCAGCTTCACAAAAATCTCAGCTTGTGCTGCAGAATATTTTATAATTATTCACAACAAAATCATGTTTAACAGTTTATAAAGGCGAAATATGTCTATAGTTCTTTTCTTAGAACTATTTCCGAAATATAAGAGAATATTTCAAGTTCTGAAAGCTGGTACCAAATTATACGTAGAAATTACTTCCAAAAGTAATTATAGAATGTTCTGCATAAATCACAATAAGCTCGTAGTTTGCTTTATATATAAAAGTGTACTTGATTTACGAATATAGTATTGGCAGTAAGCGTGTCCACTGTAAATAGAACTAACTTTTAAAAAGAGACCTATTTCGAATATACATTCCAGTAAAATTTCTTTTTCAGTTACATAATTATATGCATGTGGAGATTTCTTTCAAAGTGTAAAAAGATTATTTTGGGACAATTTTGTTTTCTAACATCTTACTGTTGAAAAAATCTGCAACTATTCAATATATGCCCAGGTTTGAAATTTCCAGTGGATAATGTTTGGAAGCAATCGAAAATTTAATTTGCTTCTATGTATTTGCCATACTGCCATGTTTCTGGGACAATGTAATGTTTGTTGTAGCAGTACCTTACTCCATCTAATTTTGCTGTTTTTTATTTTAAACTTTGGGTTCTATTTCAGCATAACAGGCCATATTGGTACCTGAAATATTCCCCAGAATATTCTATTCTTTTTCTTTTAACATAAATATGTTAACAGGTAGTAGAATTATTCCAATTATTTTAGCTGTGATGTCTGTAGCTAATGGGAACTAGCCAAACTAATTAGAGCGTCTTGTTTTCAGAAAACGGAGACGTCAGTTTTCAGTCACATGTGTTCACACTCTGACATGTAACACATATCTCAAATGCTTAAATATTTGTGCAATAACACTGTCGTTTAATCTGTAAGCTGGAGTCACTATAATTAACATTAACTCAAGCAACATAAATTAGCAAACATTTATAAACTGCGTGTTATCTGATAAATTTGAAGGCTTCTGACAATAAATAAAAATGTTTTGATGTTTCGAAAATTTTCCATCCACTTGAGAGTCCTTAACAAAGTAATAAAGGACACATTATTTGGCGCTAACTTCCGTCTGCTACCTGGTATTATGGACTACATTGTTGGGCATTCTTTTTTGCAATTCGATGTGAGAGAATTTCACTAAAAGTTGTCGGATAATTCAAATTTTCAGCCATATTGATTCGTAAAGAGATCCACTTTTCATGATTTTTTTTAAGGATACCATAAGATATTTAACATATTTTATTGAAATTTGTTACGGAAGATTTTCGGTAAAAGATATATGACAATTTCGATTTTCACCATATTGATATAAAACATAAGCCTACTTTATTCAGACCATAAATAAAGTATATAAACAGGTCACAAGTAAGTTCATAAAATTTCAAAGAACGCCAATGGAAACTGTGTGACACATTATGGAAACTATTCTTTAAAATATTTTCCAAACCACAACGTTTCGGAATCTGTTTCTGATTCCTTTAACAGATGGCAGCACAAAGTAAAGGAATTCTAGTGTTTCAGACTTGCTAAGCCAAGGAACACAGTAGAGTAGGATTTATTACTCTACCCTGTCACCTGTAGAAGGAAACATAATTACTTTCCGAAAATTTGCGGTTTGTAAGCATGGAATAATAAAGTGTACCAAAATATCAGTCAAAATTAGTAACAGATCACTTGATATACGTAGAACACGTATGGCATTTTTAATATCGTTCAGTAAAAATTAGGACGATTAATATATGTCCCTGTGTCAATATGGCTCAACATTATGAGAAGGGCTCTTAAGGAAATGAGTACATTTGTAGGCTGATATGCACTACAGACAGCTTGTAGCAGCATTGTTGGACGAAGTCCAACATATACTTTTCTTCTGCTTGCACGAGTAATTAGGCCCTCTGTTAGATCTGATTCAGAATTAGTAATTCTGAAACACTGAATTCTTTAGACGTTAATTTCGGCCCTAGGAAGGGGGATCGGTCCAGTAAAAGGCCACAGTAGGCATTTCTGGATTATTCTGATTACTTGGGAATCATAAAGGAAGCACAGCTTGTTGGTCTTCCAGTTCATCTCCATGGAGCAACTGATAGAACCTTGCAATGTTCAGGCTCCGATATTGACAATTAAACATTGAACTATTAAACCAGAATGAACGGTATGCTTAAAATAAATTAGAATAATTAAGTGGCAATAATCATACATCTAGAATGGAATTCTTAATTTATAGAAATTTAAGTGGACGAAAATACGGAATGTTAAATGTTGAAGCTAATGATATGAGAACTAGAGTTTTATGTGGAAAATATTTACAGTATGAGAGCAGATCATTGGACTATAAATTAAACAGAATTTCTAGTGTGTGTGTGCATATTATCACTGACCGACGAAAATTTTATCTTAATTTAATCCTTAAACGTTGAAATTATTTAAAATCTCACATTTTTTTTTCGTTTTTTTTTCCCCCCTTTCGACATAGGGGTATCAAAACGAAATCCAGCTTCAGCTCTTGGGTGCCCAGAAATTATCTACGAATTGCGTTCTGGAAGTTTCGAAATGACGTTCGTATCTATGAAGATTAGATGATAAATTCATAAAACGAGGAATCATTGTCAGTGTTAAATTCACAATGAGTGTGAGTGCAATAAAAAAGTTCTTACGAAAAAAATTACGCTTCATATTCCTAATGCAGGAGGTTGGCAGCGATTTTAAGTTATGCTTCTACAAATTTTGCTATTTGGAAAGAAAAATCAAAGAGGGAAGGCAGGGACAGCTAAACTGCAAATAGTTCTTGTACCGGATCATACATAAGTTGTAGAAGGAAGGAGTTCTTAAATCTATTGCCATCGAGTTCACCGTGAGGTGCAGAATAGATCTGTAGCATTCTCATGTACTTCGCTGTTGCCACACAAGTGACTCATCTTCTGTTGGTTGCGATAGGAAAGAATATACTGTCGGGAAGAAATTACGAAATCCGGAAACATAAAAGCAGCCAAGATTATCTTTGGCTCCTTTAAAATTAAATTGTGAAATGTTGCAGAATTCAGGATACATACTCTTTATTGTTCAAGAACCACTAACCTGCGCAAGTACCAAGTACTTGGGCCGTAATGTAGATGACAGCGTTATGTATCGAGTTTAATAGGAACAAGGAATTTAAAGATCTGTGTTCAATTATAGACCGTATTATTACGTGTATTGTTATTATTGTTATTATTATCATCATCATCATCATCATTACAACCTTAATGATCCTGGGGGAAAGGGAAGCTGGCGCGTGAAACTGACAAATTCACCAACGTCTGTGAGCCGATTGTGTAGAAAGTATGGGAGCCTCGAGGTCTCACAATATTATGGATCTCTACGATCTGTTACAGGGATAGCTTATAACCACATAAAAGTAATCAGCTTAGTTGCTGCTGTAAATTATTAATAGCGAAATTCTTTGAAGTCAAGGATCATTTAAACATTTTTTTCCTTGGCACTACAGCCCCAGTGGGCCTAGGTCTACCTCCATGTACTTCTCCGTTCACTTCGGTTTTTCTAGATCTTAGACATTCGGTAGGACTCCTTGGGCAAGTGATCAGTTCGTCGCAAGGCCTCTACCTGTACACAAAAACGGAAAAGCACACACACACAAACTAAACATCCATGCCCTGAGTAGGATTCGAACCCACAATCCCGGTTTCCAAGCGAGCGAAAACAGTACATGTCTTAGACCGGCTACCGTGACCGGCCATTTAAACATTGCCTTCGGTAAATTGGCATAGTCATAAAATACATTTAGGCCCAATGTACTAAAACAATCTGTATTACTTTACATCTTGTTGACTTCTATCAAAATTTCATAAAATTAGAGGGAAAGTGATTTTTGATATAAAACAACTGTGAAGCTAAAGAAGAATCAAATAAATTTACACTTTCATGTGCCCATGTATCCAAATCTTAAAATTTTTTGACAATGTTAACAAATTAAAACATATAGTCACAAGAGCATAGTTGTAATGCTTGCAGAATTCAACATAAAATTGGCTTTTGGATTCGCATTAATAACACATTCGATGGACTTTATTAGGTCCTACTTAATATCGAACACCACGGTTGATCGAACAGTGAAACTTCGATTAAAACTGGTTTCCAAATTACGTTCGAAAGCTAGCACCAAAATAGGACATTTTAAAGACAGAGCCTTGAGAGAGACGTGCACATATTGCGTTGATTGTGACTTATTTCTTTTTTACAAGGAAATTTGTATATTTGTTTTAAAACGGAGGATACTGAATTCCTATTTCGGATTGGCTCTACCCAAAATGTAGCTTCAGGAAAGTCTATGATTTAGGTAGAATGGAAATATTGTACATCATTTTCGTTTAATTATTCGCATATAGTATCCACGTTCGTGGGCTGGAATCGTGCTCATGGAATGAACATGAAAGTTTTTCCTCTGGCTGTGTTGTTCTGTGTAGGTGGGGGTTTTTCAATGACTTGATCACCTGTCAAGGGAGTCCTATCAGATACCGAAATGCTACACAGCGTAAGTGTTAATTCTGAATTATAACAGGCTAGAGAGCAGAACCTGTGAACCTGAAGAACAAGTATCCTTCGTAACTTACGTCTTTTAATTCTCTCAGAAGATCGTCAAGAAATATTAAAGAGACTGAGGAAAAAGAAGTAACACACATATGTGTATGGGCCGAGGAAGAGATGAGCACATGAGACTGGAATAGGTCTACCTGTACGCCCTACTCCTTGAAGCCTAGACGAAGACGTTTTACGTTTGTAGTTATATTCCTGAAGAGAAATTAACTCGGCAGAATTTGACGGTAGTTTTATGCGCATATCATTATGAGATTGTTGCACGGTTGTAATTGTGATTGTGTCAGCAATGTGATAATGAATAGGAACAGAGAGATACAGTACCGGTGCCAGCCTTCGTAAAGTACGTGATTCCTAAGGAATTATAATAACTGAATTCAGGATTAGATCCACTCCCTTTGCAGTACGTATGACCATCATTTAATGAGAATGTGAATACATAATTATGGCATATTACAGACTACAGTGCAATGTTGTCTTGTACATTAGCTGTTTTATTCTTGGAGTGCGTCTATTTCGATGCTGTCATAGTTCATCCGGGAGCAGCCCAAGATCAAGCTAACATTCTACTATCTGAAGTCCACTCTGAATGAACAGCAGAAAGAAAGATAAAACAACGTAAAATTTAACATGTTCCTAATTAAATTAAGCCTGTTATAGATTAATTTTTAATTTGTTATAGATTCTTTGTGACAACTGCAACCATTACGGGTAACATATTTTTTCGAAGATGGATTTCATCAAATAAGAAGTTTGCAGACAGAGTTAAAAAATTGATGTTTCGAAAGTCAGCAAGATGCCTTCAGGTTTTATAGAATACAATATGCTTTCTTTAATAATTTTTTTTTCCTTGGCACTACAGACTACATCCATGACCTGAGTGGGATTCGAACCCACGATCTCGGCTTCCGAGCGAGCGAAGACAGTGCATGCTTAATAGATATTACCAGTTGTTTATACGGGTTAAAATTTGATTTCTCTCACACTTAGGGAGAGATATAAATTAACAATGTCTCAGAACAAAGTTCTGAGCATTTCTATTTATACCCAAAAGATATGAAGTAAGAGGAGGACGGCTCTACAGCCCTTTTGACCTTGTCCGCCTTTCAGTTTCTTAATCTATACACAGTCGGTAGGACTCGTTGGACGGGAGATCAGCCCGTCGCAAGGCCTCTACTTACACACAGAACAACACAAACACAGAATAAATGCAAACAGACATCCATGGCTCGAGTGGGACTCGAACCAAGGATCCCAGCGTTCGAGCGAGCGAAGACGGTCCATGCCTTAGACCGAGAGGTCACTGCGAGCGGTCATTGTGATCGGTAAAATACTACTAGGACAATGAAATCAAACAAGATTAGATGTACTGACGTGTAGGAGTGGTTATAAATGTATACAAAAGCTAATAGCAGAATCAGAGGAGAAGAAAGCACTTGAGAGACTTATATACATACTCGTAGATTGCGGGATAATATTAAATTGATACCTACGGAAATCTGGCGTGAGGGCGTGAACTGGATACACTGGATGGTCCAGTGATTGAGGCTAGCTCTTTCTAACGGACCCAGCTGAATAGGGTTTTCCTTCACCTGAGGACGGAAACAGATCCAGTTTCCGAAATGTCGTGTTTTTATTTGTTATCTTAAAAACCAGGACGATGGATAAAGTCCAAAAACCTAACATATCAGTGGATACACCTGGCTCAGGATATGATCCAGTGACAGACTCTTTTAAGAACAGTAATGAACTTTTCGATCGGGTAAAAGATGGGGAGTAATTGTTTAGATAATGTGGGACCCTCAACGTGTCACAATCCTATGGGCCTTCATGGCCTGTTACAGGGTTAGCTTTACTTTACTTTACCTGGACCAGCTTCTTATGGAGGGTTCCTCTCCAAGGTCAGTTACAACAGCAATAACAATCACCAGCGTTATATAAATAATAATAATTTTAGAATAAAATATTTGTTTAAAAGTTATACTGATGTAGATACATGTATTTTGCTTTAATTCTAGGGAGTTCTGGCCTAGTGTGTTACACTGGGGGTTTGCTGAATTTGTGGACTTTGTCCACAGTCGAGAAACTCAGTAGCCCCTAGAATATTTCGCCGCCGTGTTATTAAATTGGACACTGATGTGGTCATGATAAAACATATTATAAAACTGAAATTACTTTTACAAATAAATAAGTAAAATTCTGAAAATTATAGATGTTGTTCTCGCTTTAGAGAGAAATTTCAACCAAATTGTGATATGAAATTGCATTCTTTTGCCAAGCTTGTTTGCCCCCATTTAAACTATCTGGGATGAACACATTCACAGACGTACGAAATTTGTTTCCACATATACAATATATAATATTGTTGGATCACATGGACTAGGAAGACGGAATCACAGAGGTCAAATGCTTATTGACTTTTGTGAACGAAATGGATTGATTGTTACCAACACTTGGTTCAAGAAGCCAAAGAGAAGAATTTACACATGGAAGGCACCTGNTCAACTGACCTAATTCTTCCAGCCGCAATATGGTCCTGGGCTCGACTCAACCTTTAACAGAAATGAGTACCAGGAATCTTCCTGGGTGGTGAAGAGCGGCGGTCGCTTAAGGCTGACAAATTTACCGCCATCTGTGAGCCGATTATCTCACAACGCTATGGGACTTCACGGCCTGTTACAGAGATAACTTTACCTTTATACTAATCCAGAATGGACAAAAATTGTGGAGTGATATTTTTATAAGCTTCGTTCAAGAGTGAAAATTTTGTCCCTTAATTAGATCATTTTTTATTTCTATTTTTTATTTTAAATTATTTAGAATTTCCGTTTGTAAATTGCAGGACGCAGTTTATAAAATGTACTGCACAATTCTGAATCATTAAGGGAGAAGAATACCTGTGTTTTTACAGTCTTCTTGGCAATTGACGAGCTTACTACTATATAGAATTTGGAAATAAAATTATTTTACCCAAAGAAAATGTATTTTAATCACTTGATATATAATTAAATAAGAGGCAGACTTCCTCCAATGTGTACAGTTTACCTGTAATGTTCTTTTTCACGCGGTGCTGAAATTGACTCAATTCTAAGCAACTAGGTGTAGGCTACTAGCACCCAACTAACAACATTTTATCATGTAGATAAACCAGAATGCAAGAAATGCGTAAAGGCCCTACAAGAATTGGAGAACATTGACGATGAGGCAGATCAGCTTGGGATCGGCTTCGTGAAGATTGCCGACGAAGCCCTGGCGGATGAATACAACCTGGAGCAACTCCCGGCTCTGGTATATTACCGTCATCAAATCCCCATAATTTACACAAGTAAGTTGCATCTTTATTGTACGATTCCTTGTTTCGGTTAAAGGTTAAGTTTTAAATGTTGTTATATGTTAGGTATTGTTACTGCTACACTTGTTGATTTCACAGATATCACGAGCTAACCTCGCGAGGTTTTAGCTGTTCTGACCAAATCACGCTTCACTCATTCATACCACACAGGACGATGGTCAGTTGATGCCATGGCTATTCAGTTCTCTTAAGTTTGGTTTCTTGTCTTTTTCGCAGTTTTAATCAAAGTTAGGTTAGATTATGTTACGAACTGTTAGAGAAGGACTATTATTCACACGAAAATAAAATTTGGATTGCATAAAAGCGGGGAATATCTTGACGGTCTGAGCGATAATTAAATTCTCAACACGGAGTAATTAGTTACCTCATCCTCAGCAATTTCCACAGAAAACTTGTACCGAAAACTGGCATATTTGGAGAATTTCGAATGCCGCAAGAGGGAAGTTACGCAGAAAGATTGAAACAGTGAGAGAAATAGAGGGAATATTAATAAATTTATTCTTTTGTCCGCAACAGTAAAATGAGATATAAATTTTTACAATTTGTAGACTATCTAAAAAGTACCATTTGTTGGTAACCGCTCACGTTGTTTCAGTCAGGTATGAGCTCGTGACATATGGCATGTGTTAGGGTAAAAGTATATGCAGTATATACATGTATTTTTTGGGGGGGGGGGCCGCCGTTAAACCTCACGTAAGATTAATGCTGAAATGGACCCTACAGAAGTATTCGTACATAGATCAGTTTTAAAGTAAGGACCGTTTGAGGACCCTACCCGCACAGGTTAATGACCGGAGGTTTTTCAAGGCCGAGAGCTGTTGTCAGATCCACTGCCATGTTCCCAGTGTGCCCAATGTTTGCCGAGACGTTGAGCGAAGTGGTTGCTGTGTCACAGGGCTCTGTACAGAACCATGTCAATCACTAATCGTGCCGATTGTGAGGTACGTTCCGTGATTCGATTTTTTAACGCGAAAAACACTCGTCCTGCCGAAATCCATCGCCAACTTATCGAAGTATATGGGGAAGTGTCATGAACCAGGGTAGTATGCTGAAGTGTTGTCGTGTGTTTAATGGGGGAAGGACACATGTGAACAATGGAGCGTGATCTGGACGCCCTCTGTCACCACCGAGGATTTGGAAGATAGGGTCGATGCTCAAGATTTGAAAACAGGCGGTTTACCACTGATGAGCTCCATGAAATTTTCCCATATGTTTCGCGATCTGTCCCCCGTGAGACTGTCAGAGTTCAACTCCGATAGAGACAAACGGATGGCAACTGACGAAGAAGTGAAAGAAACAGTTACGGATTGGCTAAATGGACTGGCGGCCGACTTATATGACGAGGGGGCTGTCAAGCTTGTGCAAAACTGGACAAAAACCTGAATCGCAAAGGGGACTACGTAGAAAAATAAACGTATGTTGTTACATACATACAAGTTACAACTTGTTACATACATGTTGTGACATAAAAATTATTTGGATGAATAAAGTTTTCATTTATATATAACAGTACGGTTCTTACTTTAAAAATGACCCTTACAATACGAGTGGCTCAGAACTGAATAAATGGAAGGCTTTTGTGATCATGGTGACTAACAGAAAATGTCTTTGTCAGCTGGATAAATAGCCACTAATGTGTGATGAAATAAAACAAGAAATTAGTAGTAACAGCAGTGGTAGTCTCATTAGTGGTGCAGTTAGTAATTTTGTCGTTTTTTAGTTTGCAGTTGTTTTCAGTAAGCGAAGAATCACTTCTTTGAAAATTGAAAGTATGTGTAATGTAGGGCGAAGGCCGTGACATATCTCAAGCGGTTAGTCGCTGGCTTCCCACCGCAGAGGCCCGTGTTCGATCCCGGGTCTGGTCAAGTGGGATTTGTGGTGGAAAAAGTGGCGCTTGGGCAGGTTTTCTCCGAGTACTTCGGTTTCCCCTGCCAATCTTCATTCCACCAAATTCTCCATCATCATAATCACCCGGGGCAGGCTACAATAGGCCAATCAGTGGCCGCTGTGCCCAGTTGGACCCAGTTGGACTCCACCCCCCACTAAGCAGGGCCAGGAAGAATTAAAGAAAGACTAATGTAAACTCTCTTTTAGTGCTTAGCACATCAAATGACAATTTATGTATCTCTTCTTCAGGTGAGCTGACCCGGGAAGAAGATGTACTGGAATGGTTGGTGCAGAATAAATCAACGGGAGATGAAGAAGATATTATTGAAGATGTCACTGCAAAAGCATTAGATACGTTAATTGGGTCCGTTGATAATCTAGTCGTCCTCTTTTGTAAGTTGGTTTGTATTTTAAAATATTGACAGTGACATCCTTATGAAGTCCGGTGATTATGAATTTGAAAATTTTAGCTTTTTTGTACAGAATATGTGAAGCAGAAAGTTATATGAGAATAATGCAAGTTTCCGTATATTTGCATTGAAAGTACTATCTTCTGTGCTGTGACACCGTGTAATCTGTAAGAAATTAACTACTACCAGACTACACGGCATCATATTCTAGAAGATCTCTTCATTGTCACTACTGTGAGAACCTCAAATCCAACATAACTTCTCATGCTTTGTCAATGTGTATGTAAATTTTAAATTTTAACTGTTTGGGATGTGGTATATGACATCTATAATATAGTCTTGATTAATAAATTGCATAAATTCCAACATGTTTGTGTTACATTGAATAGAATTTTAAAAACTAAAACCCAAATGAAATCTGAAAATTTCATACTGGTGCCAGTGATGGTGTGTAGATCTGAAAATAATGTACTAAACAGGGCTGATAGCTGACAGATTGAAACAGCAGAAATTAAATTTATGTGATGAATATCTGAAGTCAGCCTCTATGATCGTGGATATATGACATGCCCTTGACTGGGAATTTTTAGTTTAGGAGAAAGGATACAAGAACACATACATCAGTGACATGAACACTGCTTTAAATTGGAATATAAGAGGATAGCGCAAAGAAATGAAGCATAATCTAGCACAGTAAAACTATGGAGGATAACCCAAAAGATGGGAGGCTTCATTCTGAAATGGAGATGATCTTAGGCTCACCTTGTGACTAATGATGTTGATGATGATAGGATCAGAGGCAGTGGTTAAGGGTGGAAATGACAGCAATAAATCTAGAGCTGCTTCAGGTATATTAAAGACAATAACTCCACTTAATTTCTGCGTTCTGAATGAACCATTGCCACACACTTCTGAGAATTGTTATTCTCTTACAAGATAATAAAAAACATCAAGTTCAACACAATTACAAAAAGCAAAATAGAATTTTGAGTACTCTATTTATAAATTGGATAATTCTTCACAGATTTCAGATTCTAATAACTCACAGTCTAATTAAAGAATGTGTTTGTAAACACAGGTGAGTGATGACAACTGCACAGTCTTGTGAGTTCATAAATTTACTTTTGAGTGTGCCATAGGATCTTCGTTTTAATACCAGTATAAAATACTTATATTTTCCAAGGGCATTATCAGTAATTTTAATGACAGTGATTCTACCAAGTATACTATATTGTCATTGTAATACAAGAAGGTTTCGAATAAAGAAATATCATTTATTAGGGACATCAGAGTTAGAGAGGTTTCTTGTTAATCTGTTGTTATGCTCCATAGTCTGATATTTAAGACATCTCCAGACTGATTTCACATAGAACATTTTATCTTTTTTTTGTAATGTTTACTCATTATTTTAGGAAAAAACAGAAAGTTTAGTTGAGGGTTGATTCTAGATTTTCATTCAGTTGAGATTGAAAGTTATATATTGGATTGCATAGGGAATTGTGTTACCAATTTTTGCTATTAAGAACAATGCCCTACATTAGGATCTTCTATTGAGGTAGGCATACCCCAGATGCAGATATCTGAGAATATCAAAATTAATGATAGGTGTAGAAGAAATTACTTTATTTCATATTACTTTTAGTACTAAGTAAAGAGGATCACTTCAAATGCTTCAAATATACTCAATATTTGCCCCTGATTTCTGTCACATCTAAAACCACCCACAATTTAAAAACACCTATTATTGCATTTGTCAGCATAGTACTAAAAGTAATTTATTATTAAGAAAATGATTTCTATTGCAGATGACAATGATGAGGAGGATTCAATGCAGGTGCTGGCCGATTTGGAGACGATTGATGATGACTGTGACAAACATGGCATCCAATTTGTTAAGATAGATGATGACTCAGCTGCTAGGGAATTTGGCATTGATGATGTGCCAGCATTGGTATACTTTGAGAAAGGAATTCCAAATGTTTATGATGGTAAATAATATCAAGTTTTTCATAGTCATAAAGGATTTATTTGTGTTGATGGTGGAAGATAGAAAATTTATTAGACAAAGTATTCATACAGAAATTGAAAACCTCTTTTTTATAGTTCCCAGTTCAAAATGCTCTGTGTAAATATGTAGGTGAGAGGTGCCCATTCCAGTTTATACTTAATGAGTTTTGAAACAGGCTTAAAATTATAACATTACACAGTGCACTTAATACTGCAGAAGTATATTAAATGCAGTTCTGTTTCTACATCATTTCATTGTCATATTTAGGAGAAAATTGTTGACCTGTAGAACATGAATCATTTTTCATTTCACCACTGTGAACCAGTTATTCTTTAAGATACTTGTGAACAGAGGTGTCTAATAATTCATTTATATTTTCTTACAATATGCTGATTCACATAGCTGAATTCAAGTTTTGTAATTGCTAGTAGTACAGTAGTACATCTGGTAATAAGATAATTTCTGTTCCTATTTTTTATATGCAGATTAATATGCTAAAATATTAATAAATATTGATTCTCTTTATCAGGTGACTTTGAAAATGAGGATGAAATATTGGAATGGTTAGTGGATCAACTGGAGAAGGATGAGATAGAAGATGTGACAGATGAAATGCTTGACAGGCTAATCAAGGAAGGCAAAACCCTTGCAGTGTTATTCTGTAAGAATTAACCTACTTTATATGCTAAAATTGCTGAATAAATATAATTAATGGAACAAGTAGAAAAGGTTTCCTGCTGGAAATTAATATTTTTTGTGAAGTGCACCAATTTTATAACTTTAATTAATTATATATCTTTGGATGTACTAGTACCTAGAATTCTAAGTAATTTTTTTACTATAGATTTTAAGTTATTAAATAAAATAGGTAGTTATAAAATAAATGTGTAAGTTGATACAAGTTATATTTCTAAGTCATAAGAAAAAATAATATTAAATTACATATTATTTTTCAGTTCTAAATTACTGCTGCTACTTTTTAGTGTTCTTTTCAGACACACTTCACAATTCTTCATAGCACATATTATCTCTGGCATATTTTACTGTACACATTACATTTATCCATGGCATTCCTTTATTACAGTTTTTAAAAATTTCATAACATTCTTGTTAATAGCTCTGATATTTTTACATAAATTAAATAAAATAAAATAATTTTTGATTCATGTTGGAAACCTAAATAAATAAAAATCATCTGCTTCTTTTCAGTGTTAGCCCAATGAATATTTTTTTTATTTCTAGTGGGGTGGGTCTAAGTCCCTTGTACTATGGCCACTTCTGGCCTATGGTACCAGCCCCAGAGATTGGCAGGGGAAACCGAATTATTCGGAGAAAACCTGCCCCAGCGCCACTTTGTCCACCACAAATCCCACTTGACCAGACCCGTTATCGAACTCGGGCTGCCGCGGTGGGAAGCCAGTGACTAACCGCTTGAGCTATGGCGCGGCCAGTTACATTAAACTCAAACCACATGTTGTATATTTGAACAAAAGCGACTCTCATAATTAATGTCATGCATATATAATGAAATGAAAGAGAGAATAATATACCCAATATGAATCCTGCATTACATGCAATTTGAACTTTTTTCTATCTTATCAAAAGTAACTGACAGTTCAGAAATTTTGTACACAACACAAAATATGGATCCCATTGATAACTACAATGTTAACTGTTAAAGAACAACTCTACCATCAAGTGAAACAAACTTTTGTTAAAATGTTGAGTCATTAAAATCGCCTTACATGTTCTGACCGTTTTGGACAGTCTCCAGAGGGTCATATAATGAGGACAGCTTTAAACATACAATTAAAATTATGTCTAAGAGTTTTAAAATTATATTATACATATATTATTTCTGAGTATGAGCTGAAACTGTGGTATTTGTTGCAGTTCTGTCTTTGTGGATGTGTTATTAAGTTGTTTTTACAAGTCCTTCATATGATGTGTTGAGTATTGCTTAGCTGGTAGTTTTCTGCAAAGATAACAAGGAAATGTAGATTTTAAGGCTTCTAATGATTGTGTATAACACTCAGGATTACTTAGTTTTTGGACTTTGTCCATTGTCCGGTGTTCTAAAGATTAGAAATCACAACATTTTGGAAGGTGGATCTGTTTCCATCCTCAGGTGAGAGGGGAGGAAACAAGTACCTGTTGAGTCACCTCAGGCGTCTCCCCCCAAACCTGATGAAAAGAGATTCATTTTCCAAAATACAGTTCTCTAGTGTTTTGGAATACTGGGTGATGGACAAATAAAAAACCCAGTAATACTGAACAAGGACATAGTTATATACATCCTACTTTCTCTTATGATATTGTCATGCATTAGTGACTAGACACAGAGTTTGGAGTAATAACTATGTTTATTGAATATGTATAACACATAACTACAAATAATTATTACACTTTCACTAATCTACTCACTCTACAAATCACTACTGCACCACTAAGTCTTCTCAGTCTGCTACAGCTTCATTAGTTGTTGCTTGGTAGCTGCATCTAATAACGCAAATCAAGACTGACTCAACTTGGCTGGTAGTCTTTGCTATACAGACATGGCTTGGACAATACAGGGGACAACATTTGCATGGTTACTTTGCCGTGGCATGCTTATTCATTTCTGCAGATTTGTGTTTACTGCACTGTCACAGAGCAAATGTTACCACTTTTTAGTTTCACTATTCCAGCTTTCAGCTGTCATGTCACAATATGTAGTGGAAAGTTAGTATAGTATATATTACGCACCTTATGGGTATATCCCTTGCTACTCTTTGTGTTGGTAATGTGCTATAGGAAACGGTGGTGAGTTGAGTTCTGCTGATAGACAAATTTGCATGGTATTTAATACTTCTACTGGAACATACATATTGTTTTGTAGTATGTTTGTCAAATAGAATATTTGGGTTCATGTTTTTTTGTTCATATGTGAGTAGATTACTATTTTGTATATGCGTATAAATAGGTTTCTTTTATCTTCCTCATTTGTCTTCTTTTGGTACGGTAAGTGTTTTCCAGTATATAATCCATTTTATCATGCTGTTGTCTGTTGTTTAGGATTTTACTTGTATATATTTGTATATATATTTGGGTTTATGTTTTTTTGTTCATATGTGAGTAGATTACTATTTTGTATATGCGTATAAATAGGTTTCTTTTATCTTCCTCATTTGTCTTCTTTTGGTACGGTAAGTGTTTTCCAGTATATAATCCATTTTATCATGCTGTTGTCTGTTGTTTAGGATTTTACTTGTAAATGCTGAAATTTGTTTACTGTGTTTGATTTTCCTTATGTGCTCTTGGTATTAGGGATTTAGCAAGCTAATTTTGTGATGATGCATGCATACACATAGATATTTGTAAATGTGAAGGTGGCCTAAGTAAATACAAATTAATAACACATCCATGAAGACAGGACAGGTACAACAAATACTATAGCTTCTTCTTTTACTAAAAATATATATATGTATATATACGTAGTTATATAATTGTAAGACTTCTAGATGTAACTTTAAATATACATGTAAGCAATATTCTTCTATTACATGAGTCTTGGAAGATTGTCCTACAGAACCAGAACATATAAGGTGATTTTATTTTCTCAACAGTTTAGCAGAAGTTTGTTACATTTATTCTTTTGAGAACTAATATAAAGTGTAGTGGTCAAGTTGCCTCAAAATAGGATAATTACATTATTTTTATGAAACATTTATTTATGTAATGTACATAGGTAAGTCAATAATTTTCCGCAATATAGCTATAAATTTTATTTCAATCCAAATAGAAAACTTACATTAACATAATTTTTCAACATAGTCCCCTTGCTTTTCAACGCACTTGGTCCATCATTGCACAAGCTTCCTGATGACCTCAGAAAAGAAGGTTTTCAGCTGAGCAGCGAGCTACACATGCACCACTTCCTTCACTTCTTGGTCCGAGGTGAATCGACGGCCCCTTAATGCCTCTTTAAGTGGACCAAACAAGTGGTAGTCAGAAGGGGTGAGATCAGGACTATACGGAGGATGAGCCATTACATCAAACTTGGGTTTCCGGAGGGTTTCAGCAGTGTGGGCAACAGTATGTGGACAGGCATTGTCATGCAGCAACACAACACTTTTTGACAGTAGTCCCCGGAGTTTGCTTCGAATTTCAGGCTTTAGCCTGTCAGTAAGCATCTCACTGTAATGAGCACTGTTTATTGTTGTGCGCCTCTCCTGATAATGTTCCAGTACTGGGCCTTGTGAGTCCCAAAAAACTGTAAGCACCAGTTTTCCTGCGGATGGTTGGCTTTTGAACTTTTTCTTGCTGGGCGATTGTGGATGTTTCCATTCCATACTCTGCCGTTTACTCTCCGGCTCGCAATGATGGATCCATGTTTCGTCACCAGTGATGATTCTGTCTAAGAAGATGTCACGTTCATTACCATAGTGATCCAGATGTTGTTGGCAGATGTCCAAGCGCATTTGTTTAGGCAACACTGTGAGTTGTTTTGGGACCCTTCTTGCACAGACTTTATGAAACCCAAGTCTCTTGTGGATGATTTCATAGGCAGAACCATGACTAATTTGCAGACGATTTGCCACTTCATCAATAGTCATTCATCTGTCTAACAGATCCATGGCATGTGTACGCTCAATGTTGTCCTCATTTGTGGCTGTGGATCGTTGTCCAGCTCCTTCCTCATACGTAACACTCGTGTGACCATTTTTTGAACTTTTCAATCCATTTGGAGACACTCCATTGCGGCAAAACACTGTTCCTGTATTGTGCTGAAAGTCTTTGATGGATTGCGGCCCCTGATACACCTTCCGACCACAAAAACCAGATCACTGAGCATTGTTCTTCTTTGGTGCAAACAGAAAGCAGAGCAGCCATGATTAACGGCAAGGCAGTGATGATGGAACTGACCTAACAACATCAAACCTGCGCAGAAATAATGACAAGGAAACCATGCATGGCGATGCTGCGCAAAACAACAGTGCTGTCAACAGAAACACAAATACAACTGCATTGCAGATAATTATTGACTTCCCCTCATATATAAAAAAAGGCAATTAGACTGCATACAGTGTTATACTGTAAATGTTACTTACTGTAGCTTTGAAAAGAGTACATTTACATCACTAGCAAATGAATGTTCAGTCCCATGAAATGGGAAAAATCAGGAAAAATGCAGGCTGAGGAATCTACAAGGGAAAGTCAACAAATTGGTCACAAGTGAATATAGAATGTAAAACATGTGATATTCGAACATGGAAAAAAGCATTTATTTCTTGACATATCCTCCATCAACATCGATACACTTGCCCCATCACTTTACCAGTACATCAAAACCCACAGCATAGAAGATCTTTGGCTGTTGTATCAGCCATTTCTGCACCTCCATTTCAATCTCTTCATCATAAGTGAAACATTTCCCACCATGGTGAATTTTAGTGGACCAAACATATGGAAGTCTGGAGTGTAAGGCAGATGTTCAAGAAGTTTCCACTGTAATTCTAGAATTCTCTCCTGAGTTGCTCGTGCTATATAGGGTCTGGCATTGTCATGAAGAAGCAGTACCCATCTTGCTAGTTGGCCTGGACGTTTTCTGTTAATTGCATCCTGAAGCTTCAATAGAAGTTCACAGTACAATGCAGAATTTACATTTTTCACCATGCTTCTGAAAGTGAGTTAACAGTACTCCCTAAGAATCGAAGCATAACCTTCCCAGCTGTTGGCATAACCTTAAAATTTTTGGTAGAAAGAGAAGGTGAAGTAGGATTTTTCAATTGCATTGAAGCACACTGTGATTTGGGCTTTTCATGATGCACCCATGGTTTGTCTCCAGTAACAATCCTGTTAAGCATATCGTCTCTTTCATCTGTATGCTGTAAGAAATGTTACAAGGACAGACTCATTCGGTTAATTTTTCTTGATTCTTCAGTTCTCTTGGCACCCATCATGTGCACACTGGAACTTCAAATGATCATGCATTATGCTGTATGCTAAAACACTATCTTTATCCTCCCGTCAGCTCGCATGGACACTTCCTTTTGCTGCACAGTTGCTTCTGTCATAATTTCACACAATTTTAAGAATGATTATGATTATGAAACTGAGGAATTTTATGTTATAGCACTATTAAAATGTACATTCAAGCTTTGATTTTTCTGTAGATGACAACAATGAACGTAAATCACAACACGTGTTAAATGAATTGGAGAATATTGATGATGAGTGTGATACACTTGGGATTGTATTTGTGAAGATTGATAACAGAGATGAAGCCAAAGAATATGGTATTGAGAAACTGCCAGCCCTGATGTATTTTGAAAAAGGAATACCAACAACATATGAAGGTTTGTAAAAAATCACTAATTCTACATATGTTAGATACAAAAAAAAATATTTATCACCCCCATTAAAAGAAAAGAAAATGTGAAAGAATCCTGTGTTCTTGTCTCTTGTGATATGGTATAACTGTTCTTGTTCTAAGCGCTTCTTAATTATGCTTTAATTAAATATCACTTGTATGCATTTCAGCTGTTATGTATTCATAGAGGGTCTTTTTTATTTTTTATGTTATCTTCTTAAGTGAATGATTTTTATATTATATTATTGAGTACACACTTTCCGATCTTCAGTATTGATCCACTACAATACCTACTTCACATAGAGCTTGAATTGAATTACATAATATGTTTTCAAAACTGTTCATTGAATAAAAATATGTATGTCGACTCAGCCTCTAACAGAAATGAGTACCAGGAATATTCTTGGAGGTAAAGGGTGGCCAGTGCATAGGCTGACAACCTTGCTGCCATCTATGAGCCAATTGTCTAGAAAATGTGCGAACCTCAACATCTCACAACCCTATGGGCCCCCACGGTCTGTTACAGGGATACCTTTACTTTTTCTTTATGTGGTATAAAATATAGATCCCATTAAAATCTATGACTTATTTTAAAAATACTTTACTATAGTTCATATTTAATGAAATATAAAAAATAATTTATGAATCCATGTACAGTGCACTGTTGGTTAGCTTCATCCATACTAGAGTGCATGATAACATGCAGAATTTTATCACTAATGTTCATTAGCAGTGAAGATTATGGATCTATGTGTCCAATAAATGAGCATGAAGATAAATGCCGAAAGCCAAATTGGTAATAATGCATTGGGGAATTCTTTATAGTCCCAGCTGTTTCCTAACTTCTCCTGGACAGAAATTTAAAAACACAGAAACATATTATGCTATTAAATCTGGTTACTTTACTGTAATATGTTTCATGTTTAGTATTTTAAAGACAGTAAGTTGATCTTGGTGTCATTTTCATTATTATTGTTACTGACAGTGGTTTACTTTCAACATTCTGTTACGTCGTGGCAGCAAGGGGGGGCGTGGAGGTATCCCACCGCTGCCACCACTATTATGGCGTGAAGGGGGGCGTGGAGGTAATCCCCACCGCTTCCGCCACTGTTCCACTCTTACGTCCTTACGACAGGGGTGGATGGGTTATCTCACCGCTGTCTTCACTGTTATGCCGCCGCTACACCCCTATTATGCCGTGGTGACAGGGGGCGTGGAAGTATCCCGCTCTGTCACCCGGTTTAGTATGCTGCCACCATCTTGTTATATCAGGAAAACTAGTAAACTTATCATTGCTTACGTCCTGTCCTGGCTTAACTCGTAATTCGCCGAAGCTGGGAAGGTCCTGGAGTCATCAGGGAAGAGGGTACACTTAAGGAAATGCTAGGTTGAAGTAAACTCACACACATGCCTATCCTATTCTATTTCTCTATGTCACTATATACATCTATATACACTCTTACCGACGTCCGTCGGTTGTATTACACTGGATAATGAATCTGCAGTCATCATTGGTTCTACCTCCTGTCACCCTACTGGCGGGTATTCTACGCCTCTGTGTCTCGAATGAACCTAGTCAATCTAGTTAGCCTATCTTTCCCTGTGGTTTACACTTTACATTTATCACTGTCACACTTAAGGTTCATGGCTATATGAAGTTGGTTTCACTTACTTGAGCTGAGGAAACAGACGCTTGCCATCACCAACCAATGCCTTCTCCTTGCCATCGCCCTCTCGGTGATAGCCTCTGGCTGAACTCTCTGTCACATAATAATATTCAAAAGTCTAAAGGCAAAAGGTTCTTTGATTAAGTTTTCTAGGGTTTATATAACCTCTCTTTGCTGATTCTTTGTGTTCCGGGTATGTTGGCCTGCCCATTCTGACGTGATTTTGGCCCCCCTCATTGGTTGCCCATCGAGAAGGGGTTGACTCTTTCGGGTCTACCGCCTCCTCTGACTCAGCGTTTTCCTCCTGCCATAGTGTTTATGACCCACTTCATATAGCTCCTTCCTCAATGTCAGCGCTATTACACTGCCGGGTTAGCATTCTAATGACTCAGGCATTCCCTGTTACAATTCTTTGTAGACCTAAGCTTCCTGGTTCGTTTCATCATGGCTATTTCTTAATCTTACAGTCTAGCTACTATTATCCAAATTTACCCAAAAACTATATCTACATGTACGTGACCTTAGCGGCATTACAAATTCCCACAAATAATTAAATATAGAAAGGAAATAGTGAAAGATAATTATGATCTAATTACATGTCTGATTTGTAGGCAACTTGGAGGATGAAGAGAAGGTACTGGCATGGCTGGAACATCAGGTGAAAAGTGATGAAATTGAGGATATAACAGATGAAATGCTGGATATGCTAATTGATAAAATGCCATATGTTGCTGTGCTTTTCTGTGAGTGTTATTTTAACTCAAGAATATTGATTTGAATATCAAGGCAGTATTATGTTTATAATGCTTAGATTTGATACTGTATAGGTGTGAGAACTGGATACACAACATTACACATTCATTTCCACTGTAAACTGCACCAGCTAGATATTTATTGGGAAAGGGAGAAATATGACTGAATATTTTCATATCAGGGCTACACCATTGAAAATGCACATACATGAACTTTGAGACTGTGGTATTCTGTGATGTGATGCCATGTAGTTTCATAGATGGTCACCAATGTTTTAGAAGAAGGTGCTTCCTTCATCTCACTTTGCACTGAATTTGGAGCCAGCAGGTTTCTCTAAAGCATTCATAACTGTCCACACACTACATGGTATCATATACTAGAAGACAAAATTCTTCATTTTCACTCCTGTGGGAATCCCACATCTCATGTGTACTCTGATGTCAACTTTCCTTGTCAGTTCCTACTTAATAATTTTAGACTAAAACTGGACAAGATATTGATTTCTAAGCAGGATGCAAATCTTATGAATTTAAGAAAGGTCCCTTAACTAACTAACTAACTAACTAACTAACTAACTAACACTCTCTATGGAGCTGAGTTCTCCTTGAGAAGCAGTGAGTCACCCAGACACTGAAGAATTTCCCAGCAATTTGTGGAACATTATGGTTCATGACTGTGTTCACAAGAGCCCAGCCCTTTCAGATTTGTGAGATTAGATCTCTACATATCAAAGTTCTACTTTGCTCCCATAACAAATTCAAATAATCTTTCACTTTAATTGTGAGATAATGGCTGGAAATATACTCATAGGCGCCACCAGGACTTTTACCTGGATGTGGGGAGCAAGCTTGTAAAGGAGGTGTAGGCAACCAGAAAATTTGCTTACATGTTTATGTTTAAGCCATTAATGACTAATTTACTGACTTAATTTTTTGGTATTAATATTTGGTACATTTTCTTCTTTTTTAAATTTTGTCTTTTCCAAAGGTCCAGGAGGGGTGTGAGGCAGATGCCTGGTTTGTCTCTCTCCCCCCTCCCCCGTGCCAGCAACCAACAGCACAATTTTTAAAAGAAAAATAAGGCAATAGTTTTAAATTTGGAAGTATTATTTCATGGAGACTCCTATACATTGTATTTTTCAGATACCTCTCCAGAATGTTGATTACCTTTCAATTATGAACATAGAAAGTAGCACTTACTGAGTGGTTGTATTAATTCTATTTTTGTAGCTTGATTATAAAAGATGAATATGGTTGAGTTTATAGTTTAATTATGCACAGGGAGAATTTTACTTATTTTACTTTCATTGAAATATACTCATGTCTTTATTTTATGTTTTCATTCAGATGATAAAGATCAGAAGAAGAGCCAGAAAGTTTTGTTAGAGCTGGAGAATATTGATGATGAGTGTGATTCAAATGGAATTGCATTTGTGAAGATTGATAATGATGAAGAGGCAAAAGAGTATGGTATTGACAATATTCCCACATTAGTATTTTTTGAAAAGAAGATACCACATGTGTATGAAGGTAATACCTGTTATGACTGGCTCTGTTATTAAGATAATAAATAATTCCAAAACTTATAATTAAAAATGTAAGAAAAATCAATTTTATGGATACAAGTATATTCACCTCTTTATCTGTCTAGCAAAAGTAGCATTATGCAAAAATAATCGTATAGGTCCCTGTAACAACTAGCATGCCCAGCACAAGTACCGGGAAGTTCTTACCTTTGTTAACCGGTTCACAGCTCTGTGCTTCAGGGTAACCTGTACACTGCCGGTGGTGAGGCACATACAAATTTTGCTTGTGATATCTGTGATCAGTTTTGCCTTCCTTCCTTGTGGCTTGATTCTCATGGTGATTACTTTCCAACTACTTCTGCTTCTCACTCTTTAATGCTGCTCCTCTCGATCGGCTCCCTGAAAAGATGTCAATCAGTCCAGGTCTACTACCATCATCCTTCTTCTCTGTTCGGTGCAGAGAAAAGATCCAATTATGGCTGGTGCTCCTAAATCTCTGGCTCTTACTGTGTGTGCAATCTCATCTTTCATTTCAGAGGGCACTGATCCTTCCTCAGTGTCTTGGCACTCATTTTCCATAGTATAATCAAACTCCCGACTATTTTAAATTGTGTACACAACACACAACGCACAGGAATAATCCAACTACAAGCCAATACAACCTCAAGACATCTCCCAACATCGGGATAAATTAAGAAGCAGCCTAACATTTTTATATTTTACTTCAAAAGTCTTAAACTTTTAAATATTTTTTAAATATTTTAATAGTGATGTTTTAACGCGAGGGCAACTTCGGATGGAATGCGAAGGTTGAACGTGCATTCTGTACGTGCATTCAGTACTCCAAGCTAGTGTTGTGCTTTTACACATCGACATTTGTAGCGGTGCCCACACAGCATATATACTGTGTACAGTTGAACAACGCCAGTGTTTTCTTGTTAGTACCATGTGCCTCTGAAGATGGTTTTACTAAAACCGAAACATGTAAGGCAAGAGTGAGAAAGAAGTGACCTAAAAACATTGTTACACTCGACGGACTTTGTATTGATTTTATGATTTTAAGATCCCGACTATTTGTTTTCTGACCTCCAACAACTGAGTTTGTCCGTGGGCCTCATATAATGTTTCCTTGGTTCTCAGACATGGCTCCTGTCTCCTGCTTCATCCTCTGATGCCATTGCCGGTTGTCTTCTCCTCCCTCATACATAGCTGCTGCATTGCAAATCAGTTTCTTATGCCATTTTTGTATTTGAGGCATGTCAGACTTCTCTTCCCGAATGTCTGCCCTTTCAGGGTTTCTCTAGCAGCATTGTTCCTGCTTGGCCCTTGGCAAGGGTGTCCCTTGCATGGTGTTCGGAATGGCACATTGGATCATTCCATAGGCAGCGGCCTGGACCCAACATTACCCTGGATCCATTTATTTAGGTGTCAGTGGCATCCCACAGCTAGATGCTGGTCCCCATATCGGCCCTTCAGGGCTCTGGTAGTTTTTGCCGCAGCCTGACTGCCCACAGGCAGGCCACACTCCTGCTCCCAGGAACCGCTGTTTGGAGGCAGGCGGAATGACTTGGTCATCTGCACTGAATTCATTTCTCTAGTGATATTTTGCAGATTTACTATACATTTCCCATACTGACTTATTTTCAAATCCTCAACTGCCATTTAAATGCAAGATATTATTCTTGAAAATATTTTGAGAAAATTGAGAGCCAGTATGTTATGGTTTTGCAAATGGTTCTGGAAACCTGTTTCTACTAAAAACCTACTGATTTAGCTTATCATATATTCTCTCATATCAATAACACAATTAGACTAAGTCTCAAAATTATCTATCTTGTCAAATATTTGTGAGCATATTCCCAATCCCCCGCAGGAAAATCTAGAATGGATGCTTGTACTATTCTTATACCATCATAACTGCAATTATAAATTCAACAAATATAAGCTGAGTAAAATTTGTCTGAAAATTGCATGTATATGGCTGTTAAAGACTCTGCATTAGTGGATGTGCAAGAACATAATCTAAAATATAGATTTTACATACCTACATTAAATGTTATTCTTTGGGGTGGGAATATGGTGAATTGCTATTTATGCAACAAAGTGCATTCAATAAGACACACTCAGTTCATAATATTTTTTTCATTAGGTGATTTACTTCGGGAAGAAGAACTTCTAGGGTGGCTAGTACACCAGAAGAAGCATAGTGAGATTCCGGAAGTTACTGATGAGATGATGGACCGTTTAAAAGAAAAAATAGAGTTTCTTGCTGTGCTCTTTTGTAAGTAGAATATTTAAAGATAACAGATGTTGACAGGAAGATGTACCTAACATGTATAAGGATGAAACTGTCCCATTTCTTATATTCAACTTTGAAATGTCTTTTTGTCTTCCATTCTTTTAATTACTTCTAAATCTAAAACAATATTTTAAAAGTGGAAGAAATTTACAAAATATTTGTTAAAACAACTTAGTTTTCTTTTATTTTATGGATGCATAGGGCAAGATATTTTCTTGATATAATCTTTGGCTGGTACATTTATTATCCACTGAAACAATTTGCCATTGCTCATGAACTTATCATGTTCTTTGGTTACTTGCTGGCTTTATGTATTGTTCTTTTGCCTGCTGTGTTCATCATTACTCCATCAGATGGCATTCTGCTGCCTTAAAATGCATATACATATCTTCCAATATAACTCAGTTGTTAAATATATGTTGAAAGCCTCATTTAATATGCTCCAAAGTGCAATATTACTGTGCCAGCATCAAGATCATCATTTGAAATAAAGTGACATTTTCACCCTTAGTTCATATACAAATTGCATGGTACCAAACACATCAGCACTGATGTTTTGTACAGTTTGGAAAGTGTGAATCCTTTTCTGTGGGTAGTATGGCAGGGTTTTGCACATGGGAGTTCAGCAGGCTTCTCCACAAATCAAAGTGCTTAGCAGGATGTAATAAGAAGAATACCTTCATAAGCAAAACTTATGTCATCTGTCTTTCAGTGGACCTCTGTAAACAGAACTTCAGACTGTGGTGAACTGCATTATTTCCACAGATGAGTATGATGTTGGCTCTCGGGATTGTTGCAATTCATTACAGTTATTTTATAATACTGTATTTTTAAAAAGACCATATTAAACACATATTTTCATGATTCTTTACAATAAGGTAATGAAAGATTTAGATTATGGCTAGTGGGTTGAGGGACTACTTTATAGTGAATTTATAAGGAATCTGTTATGAAAGACGTTGATTTCTGTTATACAGAATGTTTTTGTTTAACAATGCTGTCAATATTAAGTCTGTATAGGATGTCAAGTTAATGCAATAGAAACACATGAAAATGATTCTGATGGCAGCAGGAGGGCTGGCAAGGATGGAAGGAAATGCAGTGTTCAATATCTATTCACAAAAGGCATCCTTATCCAGTTGTCATAAACTATAGACTTGCATAGTAAGTGGTTCTTTCAGTGTACAATATAAGGCAAGGCTCCGTTCAGGATTGGCATTTATTAATTATATCATGCTATAAATGCCTGCTATATGTTGTTAGTAGAAAAAAGAAAATTATTCATGTACTTCATATTTTTGTACTGTATGCTGGTACTGTTCCATCAAAGCTGGGCATCAGTCATTTAATTTGAACACTTTGAAAACATTATTTCACTTCAAAAGCTATCTTATGCTGATAGTAAAAGCCACTGAAAAATAATCAGTGAACAGAAGCTACTTATAAAAAAGTGAATTCATAATTCCTGTGGGTAACAATTTCATATACTCAGTTCTATGTTAAAATTCACACTTCACTTCTCCAGCATCACTAATCACCAGGGCCCAGATTTTGGTGGCCTGAAAATATTAAAAAAAAAATGACATATAAAATGACCGAAAAAATTCAGAAAAATGACCTAAAGGAGAAAAGAAAAAACACTTCGCTTCCATGGTATTCACACTTCAGAACACATATGTAGAAAAATTCCCTAAAATGGCCAAAAATTACAAGAAATACCCTTAAAAGTCCAAAAATTTACCAAAAAATTACCCCCAAAATGAAAAAAATGACCTTAAACCTAAAAATGTCAAAAAATGACAAAAAAAAATACCTATAAAATTTACATTTCTGTAACCAGCAGCTCATATCCGAGATTTATATATTTAAGAGCATCGCATAGGATACAAGGAAAAAAAGATGACATGTCATCAAAATCCGGGCCCTGCTAATCACATTGTCACTGCCAGCAAAATTCACTGAAATAAATTCATTCACAATATATGGACACTCATTGTATTTATATTTTTCAATTTTCTCTGAATTTTTTGCTCATTAACATTTCTAGATGATAAAGACAGTAAGCAAGATATAAGAGTATTGAATGAGATGGAAAATATAGATGATGATCTAGAAAAGGAAGGAATAGTTATAGTCCGTATGGACAATGATGCAGAGGCCAAAGAATATGGCATTGATCACCTCCCAGCACTTATTTATTTTGAGGATAAGCTACCAGCAATATATGAAGGTAAGCTAATATAAATTAAGGTGACATAAATATTCATGAAGAAATCATAATCTATTCACAAAAGGAATATATTTCTAATTCCTTGTTAACCAAGCATGAACTTTACAAAGACTAATATGAAATCCTTCCAATGGACTCTACCTAGAAAGACTTTAATCCATTTCAATTCTCACAGCATATTTTTGAAAGTCTAATTTTAGTGTTATGCTCTCATTTCTCTCTTTCTCCTCCTCCCTCACCACTTGTGCCTTTCCCTGCTATTGCTCTTGTTTTCCTTCTCTGTCTGTTCTCTTCCTCTTCCCTCCAGTGCCTAGCAGTGGGTCTGTGTGCCACAGTATTATCAGATGAATGCATTTTTATAGGTAGCAGTTTCAATGATAAGCTGTGAATTAATATAAACATTGTAAAACAGATGATTATAATGGGAAAACAAATTTATTCCATATGCATGGTTGGGATTATTCTTCTATGTTGGATAAAACATACTAAATAATATGATGCAGAGTCATTAAAGAGATCATAAATGGATATAAAACATAAAACGCATGATATTCATAGAAAAACGTTTATTTCTTGACATATTCTCCACCAACATTGATACATTTGTCTCATCGCTTTGCCAGTGTGTTGAAACCCACATAAGTATTTTGACTATTGTCTCAGCTACTTACTTCCGCACATCCATTTCAACCTTTTCATTATCAGTGAAATGTTTGCCACAAAGGTGGACTTTTAGTGGACCAAAAAGATAGAAGTGACTAGGGGCCAAGTCCAGGCTTAAGGAATTTCCACTGTAATTCCTGAATTCTCTCATGGGTTGCTTGTGCTGTATAGGGTCTGGCATTGTCATGATGAAACAGTAGCTGTCTTGCCAGTTGGTCTAGATGTTTTCTCTAATTGCATCCCGAAGGCTCAATAGAAGTTCACAGGATGATGCAGAATTCACATTTTCACCATGCTTCTGAAAATGGGCTAAGAGTACTCCCTAAGGATCCCAAAACATGGTAGGCATATCCCTCCCAGCTAATGGTGTAACCTTAAACTATTTTGTTGAAAAAGAATGTGAACTGAGATGTTTCCATTGCACTGAAACAGGCTTCGATTCAGGTTGGTAGTGATGCACACATGATTTGTCCCCAGTCACAATCCTATTAAGCATATCTTCTCCTTCATATGCTTATCTTAAGAGATGTTACATGGACAGACCAATGTAGTTAATTTTTTCTCAATCCTTCAGTTCTCGGTCACATAGCATGCACACACTTTCATAAACTTCAAATGATCATGCACTATGCTCTATGCTAAACCATGGGAACACCCTAGTGCAGTTGCTACACTGTCTATCGTTATTCTCCTGTCTGCTCAAATCAACTCTTCACCTACAGCACTGTTGCTTCTGCCACAATCTCATCAGGGCGACTTTTGAACATCTGTGAGAGAATTTTTCGACCAAGATGTGAACCACTTAATGTAAAAAATAATTCCCACTATAAACAGGAAATATTTCTTTATGAATATCCTTTGTATCTATTCCTTTTGCCTTCAGAAAATGCACAACAGAACGCTGATCATCGGTAGTATACTCCTCAAACATGGTTGCCATTTTGATTGCTGAGACCAGCGTCTGAACATGTGTATTCATGTCTGCTACCTGGGCTCCCTAATGATACATATAGAAAACCCATTACAATCATTACAACTGTTTTATGTCCATTTGTGACCTATTTACTGACTCTCCAAAGTAACATTTGTTGGAATGACAAGCCATCCAGTTTAAAAAGTTCGTTGTAAATAGTCCAGTTACATGACCTTGTATGTTTCAATCCTTTGGGGTTGTCTTCAAAAGCTCAACAGAAAGAGGAACTTACTTTACAATTGCTAAGGTACACACACCAACAGTATATCCAAACGTTTAACAAGCAGAAAAAAAAGGTATTAATCATAAAATACCCTCTGCCCGCCACCCACCCTTCCCCAATACCCCCTGCCCCCCAAAGAATCTTAGCAATTGTGAAGCAAATTCTTCTTAATGATGAGCTTCTGAAGATGGACCCAAAAGGTTGAAATGTGTAAGACCATATAAATAATTGAATTATTTACAGTAAACTTGTTTACATTGAATGGTTTGCCATTCCAATATGAATGCAAGAGTAAAGGTGAAGAAGTCTCATATCAGAAAAATAACATGTCTTCATGTTAGGTGATCTGCTTAATGAAGATGAGGTTCTGCAATGGCTGATAGAACAGAAAAATTCTGCAACAATTGAAGAAGTGACAGATGAGATTTTGGAGGACCTTATTGAGGAACATGAATATGTAGTAGTCTATTTTAGTAAGTATAATTTATTATCAAATAATAACGCATTTATAAATTAGTTCACAATTAAATGCCAGGAGTAAGTTAAATGAAAACTCAATGGACCATAAGATGACAATTCAATACATCCATTATACCTCTTAACCTTAAAAATCCAAATGCTTTTTGTTTAGTAATATTATCCCAGAATGAAGCCTGTCAGATTATTATTATCACTGAATGTGTTATTAGACCAGTGATATTTCTAGTTCCTTACCAGATAAGTAAATATTGACATGACAGAAATATTAAGTTAAGAATATTATTCTGAATATGTGAATTAAATAATTCAAACATTCCAAGGACAGATATAGTTATTCAGATATATTTTTCAGTTACTAAGTGAGGTTTTTATGGTTGTGAGAATTAGGACTGCAGTTTTCTTGAATACAACATCTGTATGTTGGTACATAGGTGCCAAAATTCTAGAAAAACCAGTTGCTTTCATATTGGTACTTCTCTAGCAGATTACATGTTATCAAATCCCAGAAGAGCATAATCTTAACAAAATTAATTACCTAAATGTAGAAATGTCCCAGCCAGCTGAGCAACTACAAACTTTTCAAGAAAGACCTTGCATGTGGAATTAGTTCTGTCAATGTATAATGAATATTTTAAAGTCTTGTTAGTCTGACAGTAAGACACAAAAGCCATTCAATTCAGGTGGGCATTGTGAAGAAGATGAAGCTTGTGATGATATTCTAGAAGAACTGGAAAACATAGATGATGAATTGGACGAAGCTGGAATAATCTTTGTTACAACAGAGGATATAAATTTGGCAAAGAAACATGGCATCAGAACATTTCCATCCTTAGCATTCTTCCGCAACAAGGAACTGCTTCTATATAAAGGTAGGTAAATAAGTTCATACCAATCACAGTGACTGCGCGGTCTAAGGCATGAACTATCTTCACTTGCTTGAACACTGGGATTGTGGGTTCGAATTCCACTCAAGGCAAGGATGTCTGGGTGTATTTATTCTGTATTTTTGTTGTTCTGTGTGTAGGTAGTGACCTTGCAATGGGCTGATCCCCTGTCCAAAGAGTCCTACCAACTGTGTATAGGGTTAAGAAACTGAAAAAAGCTGCCAGGGCCCAACAAAGGGCTGTAGATTCATGGATGGATGGATGGATGGGTGGGTGGATGGGTGGATGGATGGATGGATGGACAGAAGGATGGATGGATGTATTGATGGGTGGATGGATGGAGGGACGGAAGGACGGAAGGATGGATGGATGGATGGACAGAAGGATGGATGGATGGATGGACGGAAGGATGGATGGATCGATGGATGGATGGATGGATGGATGAATGGATGGATGGAAGGATGGACGGATGAATAAATGGATAGACAGATGAACAGATGGACAGACAGACAGACCAATAGAGCCAATATGTTAGAAATGATCTTGATCTTGATTAGCATGAAGATTGTTCTTAGAAAGGAATAAGGTTCTGTGCCATGCTTAGCAGAAATATAATTGATCCAATTAATTTTGCAGAGACAGCAAGGCAAGACACTTCTAATGAAGTAAATTTGTTAAATACAGGTGTGACACTATGCAATAAATTTGCTTCTATGTTCTTCAGGTGATATTGAAGATGAAGATGAAGTTTTGGCATGGTTGACTGATGAAGATACGCTTGAGATCCCAGGTCGAATTGAAGAAGTAAATACACGTATGCTAGAGAGAATCTTTGATGAAAATGCCCATGTTGTTGTATTTTTCTGTGAGTACAAGCCTTAAAAACTTGAGGTTTTCTTTCCCAGTGGTCAATGTGTTATGAGAATCTTGGGTCTAATTTGTTTCACTTTGTAACATTTTTGGAATCGATAAAATAAATGTGTATCATACTTTAACTTTACTTGATATAAACATTTTTCTATAAGCTGATATACAAAGAATGCTTTTATTACTGACTTTATTCAGCAAAATTATATATACTTACAAGTATGCATAATTTTTTTGTGGGTAATTGTAATTATCTATTTCAGTTAGCAATGTTCTTCTTAGACTTTATAGTTTATAAGAATCTGCTAGAGGGTATGATTAAAGACTGTGTACCATAAATACAAAGAATAGACTGCTTTCTGCATTAATTTGAGTGCAATGGCCTTGTTACCACATGATAAATTATTTTTAACTTCCAAATATGGGATAATTTTTTAGAGTTTTAAATACATTTTCACACTTTTCTTGTCACATATTCTTGTGTACTGACATTGAAAATTGTGTTTTTTTCTTGTTGTCATCACTGTGCTATGACCAAATCTTTATTTTAGCTCTAACTGATAAACTTTGAATAGAGTGAGCAAGGACTCCTAGAAATTTCCCCTGGAAACGAATTTCATATGAATGTAGTAATCTGAGTGGAATTTTAACAATTTGTTACTAGTGACATACAAAATAGTATTCTTTCAAAGTAGTAGGAGGGTTGTACTGAAAGTCATGAGCAACAATTTTTTGTAAAGTAACATGCTTTATTATTGACAAACCAAATACACCACCTCAATCTACAGACCTTTCTTAATTTTTCCACATAATCACCATTTCTTTGTACACATTTCTCCCAGTGTTCTGGGATTTTGAAAATTGCCCTTCTGTAAAATTCCGTTTCCAGCCATCCGAAGACACTGACGCACTGCTTTCTGAATTGCCTCCCTTGTCTCAAAACGTTGTCCATGCAGCTGATCCTTCACAAATCCGAAAAGATGGTAGTCGGAGGGTGCCAGATCAGAGCTATAGGAGGGGTGTGGAAGAACTTCCCACCACATCTTTGAAATTGCTTCCAATGTGAGGCGAGCAGCATGGGGGCGAGCGTTGTCATGCAGGATGATGATGTTTCATTCCGGACGTTTATTGCGCAATGCACGACGAAGCTTGTGCAGTGTCTGGACATAACGAACAGCATTGATGGTTTGCCCAGGTTCCAGGAATTCAGCCAGAATAAACCCCTCTGCATCCCAGAAGACTGTGTCCATCACCTTCGCAGCTGATGGCACTGTCTTTGCCTTCTTTTTTGATGGAGAATGCAAATGGTGCCATTCCATACTCTGCTGCTTCATTTCAGGCTCAAAATGGTGAAACCAGCTTTCGTCACCTGTCACAATACAGAGTAAAAAATTATCACCTTTGTGTCGATATCTCTGTAGCAGTTCTGAGGTGATGGCTTTTCACTGACCTTTGTGGTCTTCGGTCAATAACTGCAGGACCCAACGAGCACAAACTTTCCTATAGCCCAGGCTTTCAATCATCTCCTGTACTGCACTGTGCCCTATTCTAAGTTTTCAGGCTATTGTGTCCATAGTCACATGCCTGTCATCTTGAATGATCTCACTTTTTCCTTGTTGCGTTCGGTTGAGGCTCTTCGAGGATGACCACTCCGAGGCTCATCTTTGATGCTGGTGTTCCCATCTTTAAAATGTTTCAAGCTTTTGACATCACAAGACACTCAAGGTTAACACAACAGCTGGTTCCACCTACCACCATACTCTCTTTTGTCTGCTGTTCCCAGGTTGCATGCAAAAACAAGTTGCTCATGACTTTTGGTATGACCTATGTATATGCATAAATAGCATTCCATTATTTAGTAGGACACAAAGGTTCAACATTGCTCATAACATTAACTCATTAATGACATTAACTATTGAATTTTTAATTAATACACTTGTATAAAACTGTACAAATTGTATAAGGTTTGCCATTACTTTTACTACTGAAATTATCTTATTTATTATGTTGTATATGTTTATCAGTATTCTATTAAAAATGTGTATGCTATTGGATGACAACTGTAATCCTTAGTTGTGACTGTAACTAGGATGATCTCCACATCTGCATGAGAATGAATTCTTGACAGGATTTATGGAAGGTGAATAAATGAAATGAAATGAAGTTAAAAAATAACAAAGTATAACCTTATCCTGAGTCAGTTCGCTTCATCACTCATTCTTGTAATGTACTTTGCCAAGATCCATTTTAAAGTTTGCTTTTCATGCTGCCTGCTTCTTGTTGGTTTCTTACTTGGACTACTCTTCAATACTACTGAAGATGGAGGTGATGTATCCCTGTGAAACATCAGTGATCTTCTACCAAACTACACACTTTTATAACCCAAAAGATCATATTTGTCAGTCTAACGTCGTTTTCTATCCTTCTTGGTTTTCCAAGTGTCAATAATCTAAGATACCCAAGATTATGCTTATATTCCTATCTTCCCGAAGATCCACTATCTTAACAATGCTAGATGACCTGTGTAAATCTTGTAGGTACCCATTTTGTAATATACTAAAGTTCTAATTTCCTTCATTCATTTTAGGTTAAGGATTTTTTTCTGTAATAAAATATCTCCACTCATAAAATAATGCATATTCCAGTACATTGGTTAAGACATTTGATAGTAGCCTCAAATATTGAATACTAGCTGGTTATGATATGTTATGCAATTTTAGATGAAGAAGGTGACAAGAGAAGTCAGAAGATCATCAGTGAATTAGAAAATATTGATGATGAATGTGAAGAAAAAGATATAAGTTTTGTGAAAACATCAGACCCAGGGATTGAGAAGGAGTATGATCTGCCATCACTTCCAGCTCTTGCTTTCTACAGGAACAAATTCCGGCAGATATACACAGGTACTTTCAATATGATGAACAACGTACAAAGATTTACCATTTTACATGAAAATGTGTGAGTACCTATTACAGTCAACTCTCGATTATCCGGGATAATGTTGGGGATGGAAATCACGATTAATCGAAAACCTGGTTAAGACAAATTTTATTAAAAGTAGTACTGTAATACTGTACCTTCATAATACTATAGGCCTGCCTGTATTTAAATTTATTCAACCTCATTTTTATGTCATCTCATGGCCTATTTAATACTTTTTTTACATTACACTGAAGTATGAATTAGTTATTTCAATCACAGTCTTCAACAACATCCAACACTTTTTACGAATATTAACACTTAAAAATATTTAATATTGTCGTTTACTTTTTCGCGGCATTTTCCTTTTTCTGTTGAATACTTAACACAACACACTTCCTTTTACACTCTGACATTTTGCTAATGCACTTGAAGATCAATACAAAGATACTAACTGGGACGATGTATCTGTCCTTGAAACTTTCCACAAATCCTTGCATTCTTTCACCCCTACCCTAGAACATTGTGTTAGCATAACGGGACCAAAGAATGAAGAGCTCGGTTCACACTCGTGCGAAAATAGTGTTACAACTCGCCATGTGAAACAAAAGTGAATGAATATTAAACAACATATGAGCCTCAAAAAAGCCTCAGTAGCCCTGGTTAAGCCGCAAACCGGTTAATCCGCCCACGGATAATCGAGAGTTGACTGTATATTCATTGTGTCTATCCATCTGGTATTTAATCATGCCACTTGGGAAGAGAGGATATTGTTGAGATTCGGTGTCACAAGTTATTATCGAATTTTGTGGACCAAATATTGTTTTGGTTAAAATTGGGCATCATGGATTACCAGTTTATATGAAGGCTTAAATAATATTCCTAGAAAATTTTCAACATGTCCTTTAGATATAAAATTGTTCAAATTATAGACAGTTTCTTGATATGATGTGATAAAATACTGACCTACCATTCTTTAATTAATTATTGTATATGAAATGCTGTTATTTGTATATTGAGAACTTAAAAATATAATTATTACTATTATTATATAATTGGACAATATGTTGTAAAGTTATAATTTTTCTCCATTATAAATACAAAGACAGAATTCTACAGAATTTTGATAAATGTTGATAAAATGTGTAAGATTTCTGTAATGATTTGCTCAGAGTATCTTGATTTGTGTTTTGAGGTTGGAGGGAGATCATGGTATCATAACTGCTGAACTGGAGGAACTATGATAGAAATTCATTCCACACATACTGAGATATTTCATCAGTATCTTAAATGAAAATAAATTCTCCATATGCATGTGTCGTCATAAGAAATATGCACACATTCTTCTTATGCTGATTTGTGTTTACTTCTGTTCTCATTCATTTCATATTAACAAAGTCATCCTTTATAGATATATCTTCAATTAAAATGCATGCTAAATTTTATCTGAAGTACCTGAGAAATTGTTTTCAGGAGACCTAATGCATGAAGAGCAAATTCTGGAATGGGTGCTGGACCTACATGAATCAACTCCAGACGTCATAGAGAGTGTAGACAGAAAAACATTGCAAGTTCTAATTTCCAGTGTTGAACATCTGGCTGTCTTTTTCTGTAAGCTTTATTTTAATTATACTGAACAATTTTTTTCACATGAAATAAGAAAACTGCATTAACTTTAATTTACTTTTGTTGGGATGGGTGTTTTCAAAACTTTTAAGATAAATTTCCATTCACAATAAACATGGTAACTTTCAGTCGCAGAAAAGCTCATATGCACTTGCACACTTGAATAATTGTTCTGCAACTTAACTATTACTCTCACTCCACTGCTTATTCTAAGTAATACAGTTATTTATCTCTTAAGTGTGAAAATGAATGGGCATGCTCAGTACTTTCATTGCACTATATTTCTTTATCCACATTGTAACACACATTCCAATTTTGATTGTCATACAAGTTTTATACATAAGAATCTAATAACTTAACACAATCTTGACTTTTGTAGATTTCATGTTAATATGATATGATATGAAGCTTTTTAAAATTTATCTTGGGAGTGAAGACTAAATAATTTAATTATTTGTTCAAAATGAATAATAATTTTCATACATGTCTAAAATTATTGGTATTAAAATAAATTGAGCTATGAATATTTAATGAAATTTGGGACAGTGAGACCAATGGAGAAAAAAAAAAAAGTTGAGTTACATGATGTCAAATAACACAAGTAACATTTTTCTGCAACAGCCCGATACATGTTATGAAAACTGTTGGCATCTTATATTTATTTTCTAGGTTCCAATTAGGCATTATTAAGTAATCAATCATAATGAAATATTTTGCTGTGAAACATTGTAATTAAGAGGTTATTCACAAATTATTTATTTTTATAAAATATAAAGTATCAAATTTGGCAAGTTATTTCACTGTGATAGGAACATCTGAATACCTTTGTTTGAGATTCCCCATTCATCATTAATTTATTGTTCACAAACTAGTGTTTCAAATTCTCATCAAGAGATATATGCTGTTTTATCTCACCAGATGACGACAAATGTGAGTCCTGCTCTGCTATCCTTGATGATCTGGAAACTATTGATGATGACACCGATAGGCATGGTATCCAATTTGTTAAGTCCAAAGATTCAAAACTAGCATCAGAGATTGGAATCTTTAGCTTTCCAGCTTTAGTGTACTATGAGACTGGAGTTCCTATCATGTACAATGGTAAGTTTTAACTTGTTTATATTTATTTCTAATATTAATAGTGAGTTTGTTAGTTCTACTTTAAGGAACAGAAATTTCAATCTTCATGAAAATCTTCATGGCTTCACAGGTGGTATAATTTGATGATAAATTCTGTGTAATAAACCTGGAAGAATTAAGAGGGCAAATTGAATTAAGTGGAGAATTGTTATAGAAAATAGAGGACTTAATAATCTGTGTAGCGTGTGAAACTCTTATAACAGTATGTATAATACTGTAGTGTGCAGAGTTGTTAATGGGTGTACGACCTTGAAAAAGCAATGAAACAACATCTATTAATAGGCAACAACCGCAAGATAAGAAAATATACAGGAGCAGTTACTGGGTAACACTTTTGGAAATACAACATGTTCCCACAGAAATGCTGGGAGCAAAAATAGAAGAACTGTGTTTTATGTTGGTCTGTGCCCACATGTTATAAATAAGAGACAAGGTCAGAAGTTAGTCAGTTGTAAGGAAGGCAGTCAATTGTAAGGGAACCTGTGAAGAAAAACTTGTTAGTGCAATTGAAGAAATCCCACTGTTAGAAACTGTTACCAGGGAATGACTAGTGGAGACTGCAGCAGACTGAAAAGATTTAGTATGTGTTTTCTAACATGTGGCAATACAGATATTTTGTGTTATTGTAAGCGGCCTGCTAGTAAATTCTTGATGTGTTGTCTCAAGAGTAAAATATACAAGGCTGCATTAACAGACACAAGTCATGGATGGTGTGAAGTAATTATTATCATAAAATGTAACAGTAGGATTCTGTGTATTTAAATGTAGAAGACTGTATATGAATTGAGTTTATATTTATACTAGGATTTGTAGATTAATTAAAATACATAATGTGGCATATAAATCCATTGTTAAGCAACGTTCACAACACAACAAAACACAACACATACAAGGTCCAACATAGAACAATGGAATGAAGGGGTTATGCAACCAGCTTCTAGATAATGACTCAGTAAACACACTTCCATGCAGGCGCAATGACATCACACCTGAACAGTGCTTAGCTATCATGTGACTTGTGTTTTCTGTGTAGCCTGCAGAAGAACTATGTTTTCAGCAATGCCCATGCCGCGGCTATATGACACAAGCCCACTTGCAGCAGAAAGAGTTTTAGTTGAGTTCAAAGGTTCTAGGGTGATTGAACAAGAAATGGCAAGAAGACTTCACAGTGATTTGAAGTGCTAGTTTCTGTATTGAGATTTATTGCAAGGAGATTACTAGTGAAGATGAGTCCTAGTGCATGTGCAGCAGTGAACTGTAAATTGTATAAATCAGCAATAGAGCTCTATTAATTGTAATTAAGAGAGATTACAACCGAAGTGCCAATAAACCCCATCATCCAAACTAGGGCCCATTATTTTCATCACATGTTCCACAGTACATATGAAAATTTGGTGTCAGAAGTTAGTTGCTTGAATCTTATTGGATTCATCATAATTAATTGGATCATACTGATTGAAATATCAGATTTAAGACTGCATCATGTAGTTATATTGCTACATTATGGAAATGCAACAAATAATGGAATGCTTGCTGGCCAAAATGAAAGATGAAATCAAAGAAGTAATGAAAACCAACTAAGAAATGTTGGCCAGGTTGGAAGCCAAGGCAGAGGCCAACCAAGAAGAAATGAGAATCAACCAAGCCAAGGTGGATGCCCACAGGGAAGCCAACTGAAAATGCATGCAAGAATTGGTGGCCAGGATGGATGCAGAAATGGAAGCCATCTAAGCAGAAATGAACGTTATCCAAACAAAAACGAAAGCCAAGCAAGACAAGAGGATGAATGCCAAATTGTGAATCTTCACTGATATATGTAGGCAGTGAATGAGAGTAAATTTATTAAAGTAAAATAAAATGTGACAACAGTAGCATATAAATATGAAGTTTTATAGGTATTACATTTTTTTGCCAGTTGTATTTATTATGAGCAGAACTTAGTTTTGAATATTATGTTTGTTATATTTTTAAAAAGATGATATTCTTCTGTATTTATTTTCATAAGCCTCAACATTTTTTACAAAATAGGTACCGGCACTAAATTTAGTACAATGTTCCAAACAGTGGTTATTATTTAGTCTTCCATCCATAAACTAAACTTAATCAAGATTTATGATATAACAGGTTGAAGAGGCGTTTCCTATAACATTAAATTTCCCAAGTAGGGAATTCTATGTATCCTGTATGCCATTTCTGAGTATGGTATCATGATGGTCAATGAAATCTGTGTGTCATGTTAACGTCTCAAAATAATACTTTGTTATAACACAATGAGAAATTTTTTGATGTTACTGCAGTTAGTGAGCTGTGATATTCCACCTATGATTGATACTAAGGAATTACTATGTGCAAAATTTAAGAATAATTGTCTTCCAGTACACATTTCTGTAACAATCGTGTTACTGGAAAATATCACTGTTTCAGACTCTGTTAATAAAATTTTCTGCACCTGTGATTAATCAAACAGAAAATACCTAGAAGTCTCACATATATATATATACCATGATCATTTTGTACTGACATGTAAATATTATATTTGTGTTCTTCCTTTTTGTAGGTAATCTTAAGAATGAAGGAAAAGTTCTGGACTGGCTAATTGAGCAAAGTAAGATCGTCTACACTGGTCTTATACATACGTATACGTAAATTTTGATCATTTTTAGATTGCATTCTGTAAGCTGAATATTTGTTCTAGGCTCTCAAACTTGTTATACTGGATACATGCAATAATTAATAGCCTAATAGCACTGTAATATATTGTTTTAATTAACAAGCGATGTAACAACTTCTTTAACTGGCTCTACTTCTGCTACTACTTCATTAATTTCTTTCATGGTTGGCAATAAGTGGCTTACATCATATGACATATTTGCTTTTTGAGTAGAGAACTTCGAGATTATAAGCACAGAAATCTGAAATTCATCGCATTTAAAACAATTCACTTCACTATTTACTAATGCACAAAAATTACAGGATGTATTTTCCAAAAACTTCAAAATCTTTCAGATTTATATTTTATTAAAATAAAATACCTCATATTTGAAATCCATTACATTTTATTTGAATACATAAATGCTTATTACTAATTTTATGCAGGTGAAGATAACGATGAAGATGACGATTATGATGATGAGGACAATGATGATGAGGGGGATGATGATGATGATGATTACTTTAATGAGAATGATGACGATGATGAGGATGACGATGATGATAATGATATTATTATTTCAGGTAATCCAGTGATAGATCTTAAGTCACCACATCCTCACATCAATAAAAAATAAAAAATTAAATTCATGAATACGTAAAGGTGATACATCTCGCAAAGCGGCAGTAGTTTTGAATTTTAAGATAAACAGATATTCAGAAGTTTCTGGGGGAATATTTAGATAGTGTACAATTTAGTCCAAATGATTTATTTTGGAATTATAAATAGTGCTGGGTTTAAATTGTAAAGAATTTTAATTTAATTTGAATTTGTTTATGTTCTGTAAATCCAAGTACAGGTTCACGCAATAGAATATGGAACAAGTCAAGTAAAAATACATAATATCTTAACAATAATAGATCTGCTTGAAAAGTTAATAAGATTATAATACAGTATTAATATTACCATGTTAATTGGATACATACAGCTCAGTCTGCGAATAAGCAAAATGATAAAGATACAAGTTACAAGTACTGTTATATAAAAAGTCAGTCCACCATGTTGACATGCATTTTGACTCTACTGTAAACAGCAGTTTAATATTTAACTGTTTGAGAGACTTACACAGTGACACTTCTCCTCATAGCATCATGTTCTGTACTGCAACTAAGTAATGTACTCATAAAACTACTTACTTCCTGACATAACCACTGAACACTATTATTAACAATGCCATACAATAGTTCATTACTGGCTCATGTGAATTAGAACCATCAGTCCAGTTTTGAAAATTGCAGCATCTGACTTTATCAGAATGACCTGAATATAGTATCCATAGTATCTTCTATGCCCTGCAGCCATATAATTGTGCCTGTGAGCTCTTAACTTTATTTTTTATTTATTGTATTTTGACAGAAATGTCTGATTAACAGTTACAATCACTTTAATTTATTTGCGTTTTATATAAACATACTCAGTGCCAAAGAATTTTGTGCCCTAAATGTGATCTCATTAATTTGTCTCACAGTCAAGAAAAGATCAGAGATTTTTAATTTAATTATACAAAGAGCCATTCTGTCATCCTTCCTGCATGTACCATATTCCTCATATCTTTAATGCATGGCGCAACATGGGCATAACGGTTGTCGTCTGCAGCAGGGGTAAGCAAGCAATGAAATGCATAGTCAGAGCTTCAAATCTTTTATAAAGGTTGCTCATAATACTTTTGTTATGTTTGCAGTCTTTTTTCTCTGTTCTTTACAAACTGTGTGAATTCTCAATTTGTACATATATACCTGTATAATCACTAAGTTAATAGTCGCTAAACTCATACATATCATAAAATATTTAGGCATATTTTTATGTGATTATATGAATATTTTTTGGTTATTTAAAGACATTAAAATAAATTGAATGTATTATTTTGAGGGACTGCAAATAAAAAATGGTGTAGCTTAAGTCTTTTCTGTTGAGAAGATGTATCCATATATAAATTTAAAAGTGGTAGATTTTCATGAGTCAACAATTGAGAAACTGACTCAGTGTTTACTTAATTCTGCTGCAGGCAAAGGCTGTTTCTACATTGGACTTGGAGGAAAAAGCGCAGTCCCCAATCCTTCCTATGAGCCCTATCAGTGCTGTCCGAGCAAGGCCCCACGAAGCTCCAAGGTAGCCAACGCCAGCCCCACTACTGCTTCTGCCAGAAAATTTGCTACCTCCAACAGCAGGCTAGACAAACCCTCATTAAAAACAACTGGAAAAGAGTCCACTTCTCAAGACAACAAGCCTCTAGTCACTTCCAAAGACAAAGGCAAGGATGCGTCTTCTGCAAAAGAAAAGCCTGAGAAGTCCAAGAGAGGAAAGAAAAGTTTTTTTGGGAGTGGTAAATATTCTTGGTGGTGGTAGCATAATAACTAAGTGAAGTACAAGAAAGAAGGCACAACATTTACTAAATTTCACTTATGGTAGGATCATAAGAAATTATGGTCTTAAAACGGTGGTTCACTGAGCATCTGTCATGGGAAGGGAGGTTCCATTCGTTGAAGTTGTGATAAAAGGTGAACAATTCATATCTCAGTTATTTAATGGAGAATCTAGTCCACAAAAGTGCATCTTATTTCTCTGTATATTATTGGTCACATCATTCACTGTACATAGAATGCACTGACAAATCACACATTTGATGAACTTATGCTTAGTTTTTTGGGTTAGAGTTCTGTGTCAGATGATCTCTACAATTTGTGAATAGAATGTAGAGTAAGAGAATCATGTGTTCATTACAGGACTTTGTTCCTACTGGTCAATGCTGCCATAAATTTGGACCAGTTGATTTTATTTCTCACACAAGCTGCTGTATTAATTGAACTCAAAAGGTCTCTTCCCCTTATAATGCTGTTCACAGTATATTTCATGAACTTTGAAAAATGAAGTTTTAATTTTTTCTCTATATATTTTCCTTCTTTAATGTGAACGTTCTTAGCTATCGTATGCCTGATCAGGCCTAAAAATATAACTAAACTATATTCCTGTAAACTTAAGAATGTCTCCTTTACCCATCCACTTCCATTTGTTATGATTGTGTTTAAGCTTTTGTAAATTATAGATTGTCACTTGGTTTGAATGCAGATCCGATATTATTTGTCATCCTGTGTAAGTGCTTTCCTGCTACACCTTCAGTACTTTCTTTCTTTGTAATGAGGCTAAAGCATTCAAATGTATGTCTTCCTTTTGTAACGAGCATGACAGTTACTGAAACTGCAAAATAGAAATGCATATTATTTAAGTTCCCAACATTATCATTATTATATCATCATTGTCCTTTGAAGAATGTGTTCTTTTTTTTACACAATCTTACTGTAAACTTTGAATAAAAAAAGTGGATTATTAAATCATGGGCATTGCTTTCAAATGTACTGTATATTTACAAAAAATGTAACACAACATAAAGACACTGATTCATATATATATATAGTGTGCGTGTGCGCGCGCATGTGTGTGTAAATGTAAGACTGAACAGTAACTTTGCTGGACAAAACAGAATATACAATAATGATGGAAAATCACAAGTCTTCATTTTAAGGTGAAAAATAAAACAAGTGAAGAAATAAAATTAATTGTATAGTGTTCATATTTGATTCAATAATTAGACTCTCTTCGTGGATATTCTGATTCATCAGGCAAGAAGAGTACTGAATACTGTTAGCTATGAATATATTAAACTATGAGAAAATCTGTTGCTAAAATGCATCCACAGCTTTCATGCATGAAATATTGCTTTTAATTTTAAAAATTCTATCAGCATGCAGGTTAGAAGCAAAGATCTTGTAACTTGGATGTTCCAAGAATATAATTAAAATATTTATTTTGTAGTTATTTGGATTGCAACATTGTTAGTTTTATTTATTTCTTCATTAGTTTATATTAACAGAGTGCAGAAGAGTCTAGAGCACTGTCTTGATACACCTGGCTGAACAGATAAACATAACATAGTTTCATTTTGGTACAATTTCAACATGGCCATTCCAGGACTGATCCTTTCATCAGGTAACTTGTGTGTAATCTGTTCTTTCATGTTTGGATATGTTTATTTAGCTAAAAATTGAATGCCTTTCAAATACTTTAAGTTTGTGCGTTATGAATTACTTTGTAATGTGTAATAAATAATCTCAGATCACTGTAAAGACAGAAAATTTTTATTGTAGTTCTTCATTTGATATTATCACTTTTTAATTGAATACATATTCTGATTCCTATCATTGCTTGTGACCGCATATGCTTTGCTGGTATTTCTCAGGAAACTTGCATGATGAAAGTGATGTGTTAGACTGGATGGTGAAACAGAAGACAGACATGAGTATTGAAGAAGTCAACAGAGAAAAGCTCTTCCAATATATTGAAACAAAGGAGTTCCTTGCTGTAGTATTCTGTAAGTTTACATTCATTATGAAATCACATTAGAACTATACTTAGAACATAGCATGTTAGAGGAGTGTTCCACACTATTGCTTAAGAAGAAAATACATGAAAGTTTCAGTTCTACCTGATGTTAGTAATATCAGAAAATTATTGTGTAATGTGATGATGGATTTACTGTAGTTAGTTTGGCATATTTTAGTGGTAAGTATACCATCTATGCAAGTTTTTGTAACCTTCATGAGGAAAAATAGAACTTTATTCCTGAGAAAATGATTAACCTTTGAGATAGAATAACCTAAATTTATAAAATTACAGGATAAGGGATACATATTATTTTACTGGAATTTTGGAAATTTTTGAAGGCTAACTTAAAAACATTGGCCCTGTGTGAGCTGACTTGAATGTAAAATTATGGATATAATTATGTATTATGGCACAAAATGGGGCATGCAGTTGCATAGTTGGCTGAGGCACTATGCTACAAGCCAGAGTGTTATGGGTTCATTCCCTGAAGAGGCCATTGGATTTTTCAATTGATCTAATCCTTCTAGCTGCACTATGGCTCTGGGGTTGATGCAGTCTCTAACAGAAATGAGTACCAGGACTCTTCCTGGGGGTAAATTGTGGCTGGAGGTTAAGGCTGACAACTTCACTGGTATCTGTGAGCCAGTTGTCTAGAAAAAATAAGGGAGCCTCAATGTCTTATAACTGTGACATGTTGCGCAACGGAGGACCCCTACCTCCCCAGCGGCACGTGGCGGTAACGTAGCGCTCTCATTACTACGGTAATAGGCGAGTCATCACCCCGCCACTCTCCCCACGGTGACGTAACACATAACGCGCGATGACGTAAGACGGCATGAGGTAACAGCATTGATAGGCTATATGCAAACACGGCGACGTGGCACCGATTCCTACTGTGACAAGGCACTCATTATGCAACAGGCAAGCACTGCGGCTATATAAGGGAACTGCACAGCCGCTGGAGTTAGTTAACGTGTAGCCGTCCCCAGAGACAATTAGTGTGTGATAATCAGTGACACTTTGTGATAACTGAGAATTAATTTGGAGTGTGTAACACAGTGACACTTGTATAGGTCCCGTACTGTGAAACGTGTAGACTACGGGCAATAGAGTGAACTGAATATTGCGAATAGGGTTATAAAGTGTGAAACCCCGCAAATTTGTTATAATTAATTGTAGCCGAGATTTGTAGGTTCTTAAATAAACCAATTAACGATCTCTATGGTGTATTCAGTAACGAAAAATCTTACATAACCCTATGGGCCTCCATGGCCTCTTACAGTGATAGCTTTCCCTTTTTGTTTACCTGTAAATCAATATATTGGGGATAATACTTTTAAACAGTTTTTGTGCTTGGTGAGGTCCATTTTTTACAACTCCCGAGTTAAGTTCAGATCCTTGCATTATAAATAAATGACTATTAATTTAAATATATACCTTTGAAAGAATATATGAATAAACACACAATTTGGTACATGTGTTCATTATACTCATTAATCAAGCAACATTTTGCTCTGTCCAGACAACGAAGAGAGCTCTGATTCCCCTAGAATTCTGCGCCACATAGAGCTGATCGATGATGAAGCTGCTGAATATGGTATCAAGATTGTAAAGACATGTGATCGGCTTATGGCAAAGAAGTATGGTTATCGTAAGCCCCCAGGCATCACATACTTCCGCAAAGGAAAATACATCAATTATGATGGTTTGCATCTTAATGTATTTAATATTTTTTTTAGAATTATAACAAAACTTTAACCAATACTGTTGTTATTATAACGTATTGTGATTTTCCATCATTATTCATAGATCATGTTATATCTAATATGAACTGTAACAAATTCTCATTCACAACTATGATTGGGGAACATCTCCTGGGATGAAGAAAGCAGTCTTCTGGGATTTGGCGCCGTGTATATGTGGTGTTAACCGACGTTTCGGAGGAACGTATCGCCCCCATCTTCAGGGTTGAAGAAAAAAAAAGTATAGGTAAATCTGCAANAGGTATCTTTATTTTACCTGTCATTTAATTGTGAATTTATAGAAAATTAAGAATGTAACATGGTAGTCAACAGTAAAAGTACTATTGGTTGTGACAGATCAGTGATACCATGCCAGAAAAATGCCACAGAATAGGTTGTGATGTAATTAATAAAATTAGAATTAAAAATAATTATTTTTGGTCTATTCACATTCTCTACAAATTATGAAACAGGTCTGTCCGTTTCTGCAGAAAGTGTGAGCAAATACCACTTATAGCTTCGGTTTAAAGAAGATAATGAATGTCCTTACACTGCTGTTCTTTATTCATTTGATGCTCATATTTTTCTGAAACTTTTGTTAAGAAGTAATTACGAAATGAAATATTAAATATAAGCAAAAGTGAGTAAACAGTGAACTTTAATTTGAATGTTGGAAAAGTTCAGTACTCTCGAGGTGAATTAACAACATAGAAAGTAATTTTTGGCAGAATTGAATGCATCAGTTGGCTTCATTGTTTGTTATTGGAGACATTAGAAGTGTTTAAGTTGGTCAGATTTGTTTTTGAAATCGTTAGAATCTTCGCTGATTGGAGCATCCATTAATTTGATTATTTTTGTGTTTCTGATACTCCCATTGACCACAATTATTGTAGTTCCTGTTATATTTTTTGTAAAAAAAAAAACTTGTCAGATATTGAAAAATTAAGAAAGTTGTCAGTATCTGAAGTTTACATTAAATTTTTCTAATTATTAGGTTGGAGACCATGCATATGTATAACTTTCACAGATTGTCAAATTACTGTATTTATTAATGCTTCTAACCTATGGGAATATTATGCAATTTAACATCAATAAGTGTAACTGAAAGGCAAATACTTCATTGACTCTAGGGCATTTTGTGTGTTTGCAGGTGATATTGATGATGATGAGGAGATTTTGGACTGGCTGACAGACCCTGAAAATATGGAACTGACAGATCACATTGAACGAGTCAACAGGAAAATGTTCCAGAAAATTCGACAAACATCTGATTACATAGCTGTATTCTTCTGTGAGAAAATTTGCTTACTTATAATGTTACAGAAGGATCCATGTGCGGATGTTAGAATGTGTGTGTTTGTTACCAAGAATATGTTTTTCCATTTATAATATTACTGAGTGGTGTGTGGGTATGTATCACCAAGATGCATGTTGCACACATATACATTGTGATATCTTGGTAATAAATAACAAGACATTTGCCAGTTTCTTGCTTGATCTGTCAGGAAAGAGGGTAACAGTTCACACTTAAGAGATAGGCTATATAAAATAAAAAAAATTAATTCAGGATGTTTTATTTTTATGTACATTACTGTTCATAAGCAGACAAATTAATAACTAGTTACAGAACAGTTAAACCCAAATTTTGCTTTGATCTCCATTATGCTATGGACAAAGATAATGATTTCCAGATGTGGTTTGGCAGAATGTATGCTGCAAATATAGGTGTGACCTCACACTACAGTTTACAGTGACCTCATGCATGAGTATGAAGTGAGTCATTTCATTATGGCATTCATGTGTCCAACTGGAAAATGGGACTAATCAGAACCACAGCTTATTATCTCTTTCAGATTTTCTGCATATGCAAGAAATGTCTTTTGGTGTAAGATCAAGACCATGTTACACATCATTTCACACAGATATATTTTATCATTTCTGAACTCATCTGTTGTAGATTCAGACATTAATTCTGTCTTATATTTCTTCTATCTCTAAGAAATTTTTGGCTTGTTGAGTGATGTTGGCACTAAACTCAGCAGGCAAGCGGCGGTTGCTCAGTCGGTATGGTTCGCTTGCATAGTGAAATCACAGAGTTTGTTTGTTTTTTTGATTGATGTATTTGAAAACTACATATCTCTGGTAATTCCTTTCCTTGTAACTTCATTGATTGTCAGTTTTCAGATTCTTATAGCCTTTTCTTTTTTTGTGGGGGGGTTAATGTTAGTCTTGCCATGACTGTGCCAGCCATTTTTTCATGACTGTCACAAGGCATTCCTAGAACATTCATCATCATCATCATCATCATCATCACTGGCACGACAGCCCTTTGTGAGCCCTGGCCTTCCTCAGGATTGCTCGCCATTCTTCTCTATTCGATGCTACATTCCTCCAGTTCTTTATACCCAAAATTCTGTGTCCTGCCACACACATTCTTCCCTTCTTAACCTTGGTCTTCCCACTCTCCTATTTCCTTCTGGTTTGGTGTTAAGCATTTTCTTGATGGTTCTATTCTCGCTGGCACGTATTGTGTGTCCAGCCCATTCAAGCCTTTTCACCTTTATAAATCCAATAATGTCTGGTTCATTAAATAGTTTGTATAGCTCATGGTTATACCTCTTCCTCCATATTCCATTTTCTTCCACTGGTCCAAAGATATATCTCAAGATCCTCCTTTCAAATATACTTAACAGTCTTTCATCCGATTTTGACAGTGGCCAGGTGTCAGAGGCATAAGATAGCACTGATCTTATAAGTACTTTATACATCATAGTTTTGGTTTATTCCTAGAACATTAACATGTATTAATTGTGTTACCTTCCCAGAAAGGTATCTGAAATAGTGTAATCTTCATCAGAGAATACAGTATTAGGGTTCAAAGGCCAAATGACGCTTTTCTCAAAACAGGGAAGATTTTATCAATTGCTGCCACTCTGGTTTAAGCTTCTGTGAAAATTGAGTTTCACATGTAAGGAGTGATCTTCCTAGAAGCATTATATTTTAGGAAAATATCATATTCTTTGCTCAGAGCATTTATCGTTGGATCATTGAATATCAGATATAGTGTTGGAACCATGCATGATGTGTGAGAAGGAATCAGAATAATTAGGATACCCTTCGTCTTGCAGAACAAATGAAGTTATTGATGTATGGTGTGCACAGTATTATTATCAAGACCACAGAGATTTCAACAGATACTTTGGTGTAAGTAGCAAAGTGCTCTTTCAGCCAGATTGAAAACAAGTTAGTAATTTTTTAATAATAATTAATAATTTTTATTTACATCCATAACTGTAAAATATACAATCGGATAAAATCAAAGAGAATATATAGATTTAATAACAATCACACCTAACATAATCAAAGAATACATAAATACTTAAATAAATTATATAAAAAAACCACCAGCACATGCATTAACAGACAATTACAGTCATTTAATTCAACATCTTACATATAAAAAAACTCCTGAAGAGAGTAGAAGGCACTATGCAACAAATAACACTTCAATCTAAACGCTTTAAAATCAGATACATTCTCAGTCATTCAATCATCCATAGAAGAGTGATTTTCTATTTCTGAAGTCCATATTTTTTAAGCTGAGGTGATAGAGATTTGTTTGGGAATAGAGCTATGATGTACTCCTTATTATCGTTGATAATGAAGGGAGAGATGTACAAATAATTAAACAACACAGATAAGCTAAGATATGTGGAAATTGGGGAAAGTACATATTACTCATAGTATCTGATTTATTTTTTTAATTATGACTTACAGGAAAAGGTATTGAATGTTAAATACATTTCATTTTCCTCTGCAAATATTTTCCAAAAATGAATAAATATTTAGCAAGTTTAACTTGATACATGCACAGAAACGCATGTTGGTCATCATGTAATATGTTATCAGCACTGTCCAATCTGAATGAAAATTGGAACAACAGGGAATATACAGAATTAGATGTGTTATTATAATGTCCTGCTCCACTGAAAGCATAACAGAGACATATTTCTACCTGTTTTTTCCCCCTTTTTTAATGCAACAGTATAGCCCAGAGTCTGCATTGTGCTTATTACAGTGTCACCAACATTTTAAGCCCTCAATACTCAGAAATTCTATTTTGATATCACAAACTTAAGATCAGAGGACAACTGTGAATTCCTTCCTTGTTGAAAGAAGCTACACACTTTCCAGAAGTAGTTTATGGTTCCTGAATATTCAGGTTAAAATGTCTCTTGAGAGATCCTCTGTTTCAGTATTTTCTTGCAAGGTGACTTGCTTTGGAGATTTTGTTTCTTTGTGCATACATACATGCTGGACTTCTGTGTTCTGAAGATGGCATTCTATAAAGCATTCATAGCTTCTCTAACAATGACACATGAGTTGCCAAGCCATTTTTGTCCTGAATAGTAAAAGACATTTCCTGCATAATGGAGACCAAAATATTTTTCTGCTTTGAGTCTGTAGGTAGAACTATATAGGATGTTATAAGTGTAGGTAGCCTTTTACATTGATTCTTCTCTTACTAAAGTTTTCAGGACTGCTTCAGTTGTTGCCACTGTCCGTGATCATTTTTTCCTTCTTCCAGCTATATTAGAAGACATCTGTAGGCCTATATATTTTGCTGCTTTTAGTAAAATGTTGTTTTTAAATAGAGTTTCTGTTCTTATTGTTATAATTAATGTTACTGATATCATCATCATCATCATCATCATCTTCATCATCATTGTTTTTGTTGTGTTTGTTGTTGTTTTTGTTCTTGTAGTTTGTTGTCATTGTTAATATTAAACATAATATTAAGACTAATAAAATTTCACTCATTCACATCTTTGTGGTGTAATGGTGCCCAACAGTGGGGTAATACCACTTACCATGTGAACAGTTATCCCATCTCAACAGTTTGACAGAATCATGCATCATAAAGTTCATACACAGTTACAGAAATGGAAATAACAGAGAATTAAGCAACATTATGCATATATAAATTAAACAGTGTCTGACATGCACTACTAATATGAATGCATCTTCACAACAAATATTGGAAAATCACTTATGTTTCTGCAGCAATGCAACCCACAAACCAACAGTTAGAGTATTCAATCTTAGCAATTCAGTTACTGTATGCAAGAGACCAGTATAGAACTTATGTCTCCAAAAGTCACTTAACCTAAGAGAAAGCAGTGAATGCTACTAATTACTGAGTGTCATTGCTCCTCCATCCCTATGTATTAAAATTAAATTTAGATCAATATTTATTTTTTATTCTTCCTTCTCATATTTTGGGGGCACGTGGTAGCGTAGTTGGTTGAGGCATTAGGCTACAAGTTGGAAGGTTGCGGGTTCAAGTCCCGATGAAGTCACTGGATTTTCTTCAATTGACCTAATCCTTCCAGCCTTACTATGGCCCTGGGGTTGACTCAGCCTCTAACAGAAATGAGTACCAGGAGTTAATTAAATCATTTTCCTGGGGAGTAAAGTGTGGTTGGCGCGTAGGGCTGACAACTTTACCGCCAAATTTCAGCCGATTGTCTAGATAATGTGGGACCCTCAACGTCTTCCAACCCTATGGACCTTCACGGCCTGTTACAGGGATAGTTTTACTTTACTTTTTTACTTTACTTCTCATAGTTAGAGAAATCTACCTGCAAAAAACTCATTTTTAGGAATGTGACAGTTTTCCTGATATAGCAAAGATTCCTTTCAATTTGCTTCTTATGTCTAAAAGAAAACGAAAAAAAAAACAAAGCTGTAATTCACCATGCTTCATATAGAAAAAATAAATGAATGTAACAACATCCTAAACATTGCCCTGCTGAGATTATACTATATGAACTCTTCTGTGACAGATGTCAACGTTGTGTACACTTTTCACATTATGATCCTCATATAGTGTGAACTGTAAGTGTTTATGTACCAAGAACATGTCTCTTAACATGTAACTTGTCTTCAGACAGTGACGACTGCAAACAGTGTAGCCGAGTGCTGGTTGAGATAGAACACATTGATGATGAAGCAGATGGAGCTGGAATAGACTTTGTTAAAATTGATGACAAGCAAATGGCTAAAGAGTTGGGTGTGTTTGCTTTACCTGCTGTTGTGTTCTTCAAAATGGGATCCAAGGAGCCTGTAATATATGCAGGTAGGGCACTGTATATAAGTAAATTTTTGTTATTATTAGTTTATGTCCAAAAATTAGCTTAAAGTGCTTTACAGGACCCCCATACAGGCATACAACTTATTAAAAAATTTATAGAACATCCATCTAGTGTCTTGGCTGTGCCTCTTGTCTTTTCCAGGCCTAATCTATACTATCATAAGATTCGGTAGAGAAACCTCCATTCGGGATTGTGAAAAATAATTATTTTCTATCATAATGATTGATTCATTAATTACAGTATTTACTTCACTTCTATGTCATTCTATATACAGAGAATAACTGAAGTTTATAACAAGTTAAAGAAACTGAACAAAAAATGTATTTCATACTCTGTAATTGTTTTAATATGATAATTATTTATAGGTCACTTTGTGTTTAATTTATGGAATGGAGGTAAAATTCCTGTTTGTGTTGAAACAAAATATAGTTCTATTACAACGAGATCTCAACCATGTTATATTACCTGGTTTTGACATTAGGATTAAAGCTTTTCAACATAATGATATCAGGTAGCAAGATAAATTCAAATATGAGTAACTAGTGAAAAAGTTAATCTCAGACTTTTTCACTGCCACATAAATTTTAGTGTACTACAGACATAGAGTGTTGATTTATCTTCAAAAGCACAAAAGCTTTCAACATGTTAACCCAAGTGATCTGACACAAATTAGTGGCATCATTAGGGAGGTCTTCCCTGTGGTCTATTTCTATGGAGCTGTCAACGAAGTATCAGAGTTGAAGATTAATCATTGTTTTTAACTGGATTTCTCATGTGGCCTCCACATCATTCCAAAGAAGAATTCACCAAAATATTATTATTAATATTTGGAGCTTTTATTTCCCATTAATATTTGTCTGAACAGATAATACTAATAGTTAAAAGAGTAAGTTTATCTGCTTCTAAGATAATAAAACCCCCATTTAAGGTTTCTTTTGGGAGTAGCTGATATGAATATTAAAATGATGAAAATCTTAAATAGAAGTAATTTAATGTAGAGATCACTGACCCCAGGTCACTGAAACTGTACATGAAATGAGGAAAATCCTTACATTGAATAGCACTGAACAGGGATTCCAGTGCATTATTCTCTAACTGAAGAGTACACTTTATGGCCCCTGCACCCACTAATTTCAATTTAATATACAGGTACATAAAATATACATTGTAAAATTATAGTGTAATCTGCTGTTACTCATAGAAAATAATTTCAGGAGATTTGTACAATGAGGAGCAACTCCTGAACTGGCTTTTGACCCAGAAAGATCCCTCAGGTGAAGTTATTGAAGCTCTAGAAGGGGATGAACTCCGAAGTCTTATCAACAGTGAAAATTCAGTGGCTGTATATTTCTGTGAGTTCAATAATATTATTGCTGTGGACTTTGGGTTGTCTGTAAATAATAATAACTGTCAGAGTCGATGTGGTGAATAACCATACATTGCTGATATATATTCCTTTCTGTCAAATCAATGTCTGATCCCATTGGCATACTGTGCAGTAGGAGAACAGAGTCAAAGTGTGTAAACCCAGCCAACTCTAGCCTATTATCTCACACCCATGTGCCCACACACACACATGCACACATGCGCACACATATATATCAGCCATGTATGGTTATTTAACACAGTGACCCTGATGATGGAGATGAAGGAGATCTCTTAAACTTTGATCTTCATCTAAACTTCGATCACTTGAGAAGATTTTAGCCTATTTAATTGCCATGGAAACTTCAAATCTTACATAATGATGATAATAAATTAAACGCTATATATAAACAGCAAATAATGAACAGATATCAAGCTAATTGGTTGTTGTTATCGCTATTTCTTAATATTATTTTCCTGTATTTTATTTATATTAATAATACATTCTTTGCTTCTAACCCTGATCAGACCTGTAACTTTGATAAGATGGAAAATTTATTCCATTATTTTATATATTTATTTTGAAAGTGTGAAATATGATGTTCCAATCACACATGCTTGATTTTATAATTGGATTATGAACTGTGAAGCATTATAAACATGCATACATGCATTAATCTTGTCACTGCAAAGTCAGATACTTTCTATGCCCTTTCATTTTTAACTTATTTTTGTGTTTTTGCTTGTGATTCATAATTACTATTTGTGCACATTTAGTATCAAGTCTCCTAATGAATACACTGTATATTAAACTGTCATATATAAGTCTGTAAGTGCACTGGTAATGTTAAACATTAGCAGTGAAAATATTAAATTACACAAATATTAATATATACTTGAATGCTGTACAGTGTTAATCTTAATTTTCAAACTGTGGAGCACAGGACAAAATCAAATACAGTTCAAGCAGTTTTGAATATTTCTATGTAAAATGTCAACACTTATCTAGTTCAATGGATGTAATCACAGGCCTCTTTATCATATGTGTCTTGCCTGACATCTCTATTTCTCCTTCTCTTATTCCCTCAGTTTAATTTTTATTTATCTTCTGTGCAGTTCTGAATGATAAGACTTGATAAAATGATAAAACAATATTAAAATATATTAGGGAACACAACATTCATAACAAAAGACAATGTGCAATAAAAATATTGCTTCTTCCATGAAGTGAAAAATAATTGAAGCAGGGTTTTCACTAATGAGTTATTTTACTGAGAGATAGCACATTATTCAAAACATTTAAAAAGTTTCTCTAATAGAAGCTATTAATGATATATAAATGTAAATAACTAATTCCCTTATGTCTTGTAAGTGTTCATAATGAGTCACAAGAAATGAGTGGAAACCGGACATGAATTATGCAAATTTTCTCTTACTTTATGATGATGAGGTTGTTGTTCAGCAGCCATTAGTTTGTGTCTAACTCGTAGACAGAATTTATATGTTCTGTTGACTGACTTTGTAATAACATGCATCTTTTAAACAGAATATTTAAAATGTAATCCTTGTTTATATTTAAAATGTTTGGCTGAATATTTAGTGGCTAATACTTTTGTGTGTTGTTTTTACAACACTGTCAATAACTAGACTACATAGCATCACATGGTAGGATGGCACATGAATGATGAACTAGAAAGGACATTAGAGGGAAATGGTCATAGCTTTATAGATGTACAGCCTGATATGTGCCTGAAGGAACTGTAGAAACTATGTAAAATCTCATTCATGAACATTTAGTTGTATCTAAAACTAGGCCATGCCACAGCTCAGATGGCTATTTGCTGTCTTTCCAATGTGGGGGCTTAATACTGTTCATATTGTAGGAAGACAGACTTGATAATGTTTTAGCAACAGATGATATCTTTATGATTGGAATATTCAAGAATCACATAAAAAGTAAAAAGTAAAGTAAAGCTACCCCTGGAACATACCGTGAAGGCCCATAGGGTTCTGAGACATTGAGGGTCCCACATTATCTAGACAACCGGCTCAAAGATGGCGGTGAAGTTGTCAGCCTTACGCGCCGGCCGTGCTTTACTCCCAAGGAAAATTATTTAATTAATTCCTGGTACCCATTTCTGTTAGAGGCTGAGTGAACCCCAGGGCCATAGTGCGGCTGGAAGGATTAGGTCAATTGAAAATAATCCAATGACCTCATCAGGACTTGAACCCGCGACCCCACCTTGTAGAATAGCCCCTCAACCAACTATGCTACCGTGTGCCCCCATTCAAGAATCACATTATATACTTAATTTTCTTACATCCATAACTGTAAAAGTCCTCTTGAAGTGGAGTTAATCCAGGATACAGAGAAATAGATCGTATTAGACCATTATGAACACTGACATGTAACATAGATTATAAGCTGTGTAATTTTTCACATAGCTCAGGAAGTTGCTGAGCATATTAAAATATCCACATAAATATCTAATTAATATGCAGTATTATCAGGTAAGTACAAACTTCAAACTACCCTTATGTTTAAAATACATTGACATCCATTCCACATAATTCGTCCTGTTATGAATTGCCGTAGGGAACAAGACTTTCTGTGATCTTTGCAATTCCAAGCAATTTCGCAAACAACTGCAGAAAAAGAAAGAGAGAGAGGGAGAACTCCTTCATGAACTTCATAAGGGTGCTGAGGGGGAGGAAGGCAACCACACTACTGGCATCGAAGGGAATATAGAGGGTATCTCTCGAACCTATCGTTTTCCCTGCACTGCCAGAATTGTTGTATGTTTTTGGGAGCCATAGAACGATAGCCCTGTGAGAACTATAGCAGCTAAAACACTAGAAATGAAAAGAAATGACTGAATATGATAAGTATAAGACAAAGTCAAAAACGTTATGAACTCTGTATTTCCCATGACAGATATCAAATTAAGAACTTAATACACACTGATCATTTAAATTACACTTCAAAGTAAATACCAGTTATATGCTCCATTTCAATAGTGCACAGCATGAAAGGAAATCCTAGCACAAGCTCTTCATGGTGTGATTCATTTTCAAAAACAATCTGAAACTCTTATGCAGCTTATGTCCTGAGGCTTTTAGTTTTTGAGATACATGTCACCATCAAATGGGGTAACATCTCAGTAGTGTTACTTGTCACAATGATACATAGGGCATTGTTTGGTGTACTCAAGGCACAGTGTACAGCATGTGTCAGCTGTGATTGATTGATTGACCATGGACTACGACACACGATGAATAATGTGACACTCTCTTAACCCTTGGTACCTGTAATAGTTGAGCTCGTACTGCTGCATGGGAATACATGCTGCAATATCCTGGTTGACATCATCCCAACGCCAATGTATTTCAACTACTGGAGCATTGTCTCCTTGTGGAATGAAGGGCCGTGGAGAAGGTCACATGATTTCACACTTGAATTGGGACTCTCCCAAAGAAGGCCCTCAAAATGCTTTATAATTATCAATTTTATCCATATGGCTACTTGAGGAGTGCACATCTTCTTCCAGATGATCGTCCTAAAGGACGTTTTCAAGTTTGTGAATGGAAATGACATTGATGCATTGCAGATGGTCTCTTTTTATGCTATATTTTTTGGGCAAATGAAGCGCATTTTACTCATGAGGGTGTCTTCAATGTCCACAAGTCACCTCTGAGAAAGGGATAATCCTTATGCTATGTGTGAACATGGCCTCAGGTTCACTTCCGCTTCAGTGTTGGCGCTGGAATCTTCGGAGACATTGTTGTGGGTCTCTGTCTGCTACTTGCCAGGCTCAGTGCTTAGGAATGTCATGGTTTTCTGGAAACTGTTTAACCGGGGCTGCTAGATGATGTGCCTCTAGCTGTGTGACAGATGTGGTTGTTTCACCTAGACAGAGTTAAAGTGCACTATATCTGACACTGGTTTAATGCAACAAATCCACAAAGGTGACATGGAAGTCAAGGGCCAATTGCATGGCCCCCTCTTACCGAATCTAATTCAAAAGGTTTCTTCCTATGGGGACACCTGAAGGAGTAAAGTTGTGTAATCCCTCTCAAGACTATTGAAGACCTTGTGGCAAGATTTGAAGCAGACATGACAGCAGTTAATGCCAGCATTTTAGGGTCTAGTTGAGAGAATGTTGTGTGGTGCACTTCCATCTACCTTGAAGTGGATGCAGGCTGCTTTGATCATGAATTTTAACTATCAGCCGCCCATGGTTTGATCATTTGATAGTTTGCACCATTTGATAGTAATGTGTGACTTGAAAACTAAATGTCACAGGTCATATGTGGTACAATATTTTTTACATGTTTAACAACGAAATATTATGCAGAGCTTGTGCGTGAATTTTGTTTCACTCTGTATTTGTTTCCCATGTACCAGTTTGGATATTAACTGCTATATAAGGGCTATTTCATTGTAGCTTGGCTCAATCCCCACTCTTTTTTGGACCTAGCATGGGAAAACTGTCAGGCATAGCCCTTGATTCTCCTCTCTCAAAATGTTCTAGGTTTCCACGCATGCTGGTTAAAAGAAATGTAGTTAGTATATGATTAAAATTATCCTTCCAATAACCTTCTAGAAAGAATTGCATGCACAACATGTGGTGCCATTCAACCAAATTTTCCATTTGTTGAATGTTTGTAAATTGTCATTGTAGATGTTTCTCATGATGTCTGAAAGTGCTGGTTGTAGTTAGTTGACTCTCCTGTAGTAAGATACTTGTACATAATATTTACTGAACTCTAGTTTCTTTCCTAAATAAATATCGTGAATCATACTTGTTTAGATTTTACATAATTAGAAATCATGTTTTAGATAGTAACCATGCTTGGAGTGTTTCAGTCACAGATAATTCTAAAAATATATATTTCTAATCTTTAATTTTTTATAATTTCTGTAAAAATGGGATGCTTTTCCCTAATCAAATATTTTACCATGTGAATATTAATTTGGTTTTATTTTTGTAGTTAATTGTGACTGCATAGAGATAACACACCATATTATTTAATTTCAATATAAATTTGAATTTAATGGGCTCTTAGACAACTTCAAATGTATATTATAACACTTAAGTGAAAAAGCTTTATGGGCAATATGAGTGAAAGCAAACAATTAGAGACATTGTTTTTTATTTTTTACTTCTTATGCTCACAATTTTATCTTTTTTTTTAATTAATTATTTTTTCTTGATGGTTTTGCTTTCAGTCACTCTGTAGACTGGTTTTTTTTTTTTTTTACAGATTCTATTGAAGACTGTGATCAGTGTCAGACTATCTTAGAGGAACTGGAAAACATTGACGATGATTGCGACCGGCATGGAATAATATTTGTTAAAACACAGGTATTGAGCTATATTTTAGCGTAAATTTCCAATAAAAAGGCTTAGTAGTGGGTTTACAGTTTGACTACCTGATAACCACTACCATCTAGGGGAAAATGGAAGATTAAGTAAGAATGTGTGAGAGTAAATGCAACTCCATACTTTTACATTCTACATAATCAAAGATGGTTTCCAGAAATTTGTTGAGGAAAACGTGCAGGAAAGAAAATTGTATGAAATATTTTAATCAAAGATGGTTTCCAGAAATTTGTTGAGGAAAACGTGCAGGAAAGAAAATTGTATGAAATATTTTTACTACTAAGTGTTTTGAAGAATTGCTAAGCAATTTTAAAAATAAAAACCAAATTACATAACAGAGATCTCTTACCTTATGTTAAAGAATTCTAGTTTTTTTAATACAACAACAATCTTGCAAAATATAAAGCATCTGACAGATGCATATGTATCTTTGAACTATGTATTCAATTCAAACAATATTAATATTTCAGGATTGGAATGCAAGTATGTCATATTAAGTCTAAAATATAAAAGAGTTAACTGGAGAAGTGTTACCTGGAAGTTTTAGTTCATAGAAGATATATTAAAGGGGTAGCTCACTAAAAGTTTCTATAACAAGCTGAAAGGAACCACCAACAATATGCAAGTGATGGAGAGAGAAATTTTTAGCTGCAATATAAATTATAACTTCAAGATTAGACATAGAGTTACAAATGCTCAAATTTTAGATATGCAAAATTTTAAAATGTTTCCTAATAATTATTTTTTAGAATTTTGAATAGGAGGCCATTACACTGAATCACCTTCATCATTAATGAGAGTGATAATGCTATATGCATACCTACATACATACATACATACATACATACATACATACATGCATTACCTTACATTACATTATATTACATTCTATCACATTACATTACCATATGTTACATTATATTACAGTACATTACTTTATATTCCATGGATCCCGTGTTAGAAAATATTACTGTAGGATGTGGCGTAGTTGGTTGAGGCCCTGTGCTACAAGCCAGAAGATTGCAGGATCGAATCCTGATGAGGTGGATTTTTTAAATTTACCTAATCCTTCTAGCTGCACTATGACCCTGGGGCTGACTCAGCCTCTAACAGAAATGAGTACCAGGAATATTCTTGGGGTTAAAGGGCGGCCAGTGCGTCAGGCTGACAACCTTACTACCATCTCTGAGCTGATTGTCTAGAAAATATTGGAACCTCAATATCTCACAAGCCTATGGGCCTCCATGGCCTGTTACAAGGATACCTTTTCTTAGGTTGTGGAGTAGGTCAGAAAAATACAAGAAACAGATGTACAGTACAACTGAAGCTTTCACATAATATAGATTTCATCATAAATAAAAATCAACATGCTTTCTTTTCCATTTGATGATAATGCCTTTTTAAACACAATAGAAACTTTTCTAAACAGACCACTGATCAAAAAAAAATTTATGCATTGGTGTCAGCTCAATGTGATGGGAGAAGAGCATGACTCTTCCACCTCTTTCTGCACTCAAGAATTACTTACTGTATTTGATGTAGTAGTATGTTTTAAATATATTATTAATTTTGTCTGGAGTCTTATTATGTATTTTATACATAGTTAACCATCATGACAGTATAATATGAGACCAATTATTTACTACATTATTGTGAAGAATGGAAGTTTGGTACTGATAGATTTTTGCCAGGGCATTTTTTTTTCAACTGTGTTAATTTTATATATATTTTTGTGGCTGAATATTTTTACATTTGGGCAACTTAAATTACATTGTAATGTTTGGATATTATGTGTGTTAACTCAAATAGGAATAAAATCTTAAACATATTTGTTTCTGTAAGAATCACTGTTAAGCTATGTAAGGTACAGAGTTGATCCATGTCATTATATAATAATTTTTCCAGGACTTCCAGGTTGCTGAAGAGTTTGGTATATCAGATTTCCCATGTCTTGTTTATTTTGAAGATGAAGTGCCAAATGTTTTTGAAGGTATGACAAATAACTTTCTCTGTTAATATTACTGATCAAATTTTTACTTTTCCTTCTGTAGAAACACTATATCGTGTTTTTCTTGTGATTATGTTTAAAATGTCTTTCAACACTTGGAGACTGCTACAGTATTATGGCAAAATAAATACATGCTATTACATCTTTATACACTGATGAAACAAAATTGTTCACATTCACTGTTGAAGTTGTATTTATTTTCAATTTTTTACTGTGTTCATACACATTAAGTTAATTAGCATGAACTTAAGCAATAAACCAACTTTTAACACTGTTAATATTGAAAATATTGTCATTATTATTAGTGATATTAGATGTGGGTTTGCTTGGTGAGTTGATTTGCTGGATGTTCACCAGGTGGAACTAGAATTAATTATAACATTTTCAATCTCACTGCAACTATAACACTTTGGAACTATGAACAATGATAATATTCTGAAAGTTACTGTAACTATGCCACATATAATAAAGACTTCACTTCTGACGTCTTCTGACTTCTATATCTTACTTCTTCTGACGTCTGTCTCTTTACATAACCCTTTAACTGACCAAATATGTGATACCATTCTCAACAGTTAATCTTATGATGTCCCTCCATTGCTGTGTTTTGAATGATTCATTGCCATGGTATCAGCTTTCAATAGTTAAAGTTACACTGTGTGCAGAGAATCATAGTACTCAAACGATTACATACCAATGTGTACCTATTCTTGAATGCTTTGGAATATGTTTACCTATTCATTTCCTAGAAATGGCCAAATCTGTCACAATATGTTCTGCTGATTGTATGATCATATGTTAATTCTGCAGTGCCTTGCTAACACTAACATGGTTCCGTGGCATTAATGGATAGCTGCCAAGAATGACGCAGTGTCAATACCAGAAAAGAAGGTGAAGGAAAGAACACAGTTACATATTAATGATTGTGTTTCTTAAACATAGCTGCTGATGCAGGATGACTCCCAACATCAAAGCCCCACCTAACACAGATGTATCCTTCTGCTGTAGCTTTCTGCCTGCACATCATTTTACTCTTAATAGTACAGTTAAAATGTGGAAAGGGATTTTGTGTGTGTAGATTCTAAATGAAGTTCAAGCTGAACAAAGTGAAAGAAATGTTGCAGTGTAAAACTTCAAAAGCAGCACTCCTGTGTTTCTTTCTGAAAGGTGGATCTATACATCCACTCCCCTATATGTCTTCATGGTGCACTACTTAATTTGTTAGAATCGGGGACAACTTTGCCTTTTTACCTTTAACTGATTCTGATGTTAGAAACTGAAGCTCACTACTGATGCTGACCCAGCTTGATCCCGTTTACATTATTATATACAATTTCCTTAAGATCCAATTTAAAGTTATTGTACCAGTCTTCCAAATGACCACTGCCAGTATTCCCTACTAATTGTTTTGAGGCCCTTATTCGTTTTATCCAAGCTAAATGCTTAACTATCTTTAACCTCATTGACTTAGATAAAACGTGCATGAGAAACTTAAGAGTTGCTGAACGTTTGGTTATTAATTATGCTGTTTCATAGTTCGCTTGCGGACTAAAATCACAGATTTTTTTTTTTTGTTTAACCATAGAAGCTATATAAAGTTGAATTGAGGTGAATGTGAGTAGGTAAGAATTTGGATGTAGAGAGTCATGGCTTGTTTTAAGATACATTTCAGGTTATAAGACTCTGCAGCTACAACTTGCATACTAGTGGCAAACATAAGAAATCTGTTCTTTTTAAACTTCATGGAAAGGCGCTGTATTCTTAGAGAAATATGTGGTGAGAATATAATTGGTTCAGTAGATTATCCAAAGTATACCTTCTGGTGAAGTTAGTGAAAATTTGCATTTCACTGTGGCAGGACACTTCTTAAATGTATAAGTTAACTAATATCTTACCTGGAGAAGCATAGAAAAGTAATAAAAACCTATGAAAAATAGATAGTGACTGATTCAAGAATCAAATTGAAAGCTCCCTAATAGCTGTACACATTACTGCTGAGCGTAAACATCCATTATCCCTAAGTATTAGGTACATAATGCATACTAACAATATAAGATCTTAAAATCTAAGCTAACTTTTATCTACATGTTTATTTATGTTGAGGATTCTCTTCTGGTTTTAGGTGAACTTTCTGAGGAAGAGGAAGTACTCCAGTGGCTTATCACTCAGAAGACTGAAGAGCGAATTGAACTAATCACGCGAGTTATGCTGGAAGGGCTGGTGGAAGATACACAATACTTGGCTGTTTACTTTTGTAAGTACACAATAAAGACAGCTACACATGCAGAATTTTTTATTTTAAGAATATTTTTGATGTCGGTTCTGGTATTTGGAGAGACAACCACATAAATCTCTTGAGAAATCCCGTTGAAGCTCCAGCTGCATTGGGTTGGCTTGTGTGAGTGATGGCTGTACTTCAGCATTCAGTAGTCAAGTGACTGCGAACCCGCTATAGAGCAAGTTCTGAGGGAGAGCTTCCCAAGTATTGAGGCAAGTGCTTTTGGAGTCAGTTGGTGGTGCTGCTACCAGGAGGGTCATCATTGCTGTGTGCTCTCCAGATGCTGTCATGAAGTAGGAGTAGCTCTGACTGTCAGACTAGCATTATGTGGTCAGCATTATTATCTCCTGTTGCTACTGGTGCCTGGTGCAATGGGTGTTGGCGCTTCCATGGTCTGCGCTGATTGGTTAGTGTTTAGTTTGCTCTGCCCATTGACAAGAAGTTGATAGTTGGCCTGGAGATGCGTTGTGGTAGGCTCTCACAAATATACATATTAGTTTTCTTTTTGGTTTGTTTTACAGTGTTGTCAGTAGCTAGATTATAGAACACCGAACCGTAGGATGATAGATGGATGATGAATTGGAAGGAAGCGGCAACAGCCTAATTTAGTATTATCCCAGTATTTTCCTGGAGGCACTGTGGAAAACAACAAAAAACCTAAGGTTAGATAACTACTGCCCTGGACAATATTCAAACTGAACACCTGAGTATAAGTCAAAAGCATTATTACTATTTCTGCTTATTTGGAAAGTAAATTTTAGGATGTCCCCTCCCTCAGTCTTTTTTCTTTAATCTCATTCATGCATGCATGTGTACAATGCATATGTGTGCCACATTCATATATTTTCAACTATGAAGGCAATGAAGCATAAATGGTAGGCCTATGTTAAATCATCTTTGATTCATATGACTGTAGTGTGAGATAGGAAGGGAAGGTCATAGTAAAAAGTTTAGAAAAGCTCGTCCCTTATCTCCTTTTATTTTTACACAAAAATTTATGACCCATAAAGTGAAAACTGTTTGGAAGCAATATGAAATAATTTGACTTGATATAATAGTGTTAATTTTTAAGAACAATACAAAAACAACCTTAAACTGAAGTTGTGCAGAATTGCCTGCACTGTAAGACTCATTTGAGTGAAACTCATGTCACTGCATCGATACTTTCATTGTTGTAGGTTCCTAATCTCTTCCTTTTAACTGATATGTGTCTCTCTTCCATCAGTACCACTGAGAAATATGACACCGAAGAAAATTATGTTCTTGTAAAAACTGATTTGTTGATTACAGATAAGGTAAATTGCCACATCTGTGATGAGATTTTGGAAGGTCTAGAAAATATAGATGATGAATGTGATGTATATGGGATTCATATGGTGAAGATTCAAGACCCACAGTTGGCCAAGAGATACTCAATCAAGACTTTTCCTGCATTGGTCTACTTTCGAAATGGGAATCCTCTGCTGTATGAAGGTAAATTCAGATGTCTTTAAATTTCTCTCACCAGTATATAAGTTTTATTAACATAACTTTTTTATGTGTTGGGCTTCTGTGTCATACAATGCAGACAACAATATGTAAAGAAAAGGTAAATGATGGTGTTCTTCTGAGATATAATGCTTCAACCTTGAAGATGGAGGTGACATGTTCCTTTGAAACGTTAGTTGACTTTCAGTGGACTATACAATATTATATTTCAGAATACAGAACTCTTCATAACCACTGCTGTGAGAACCTCATCTCCTACAAAGGTCAAAGGTAACGTTCCTGTGTTTAATTAATCAAACACATCATGGAGACATATGGGGGAGTGGTGGTATAGCTCTACCATTCTTGACCTGAGCACTAAGTAGAAGTGAGTGGCCAGCTTCATGCACCAGTCACTCTACTGCCAGGGAAAGAGCCCCTGGTACCCATTTGATAGAAGGCTGGGAGGGTGTCAGATTTGGTCTGGATGCTGTGTAGTCAATAAAAGTCTCTTGTCCCAGCTGGAAATCAAATCCTGGTCATGGAGCCCATAGCCTGTCGCTATACAAACTGAACTATAATATGAGTTTATAGTTATATTATAAATTTCCATGTAATGATTCCACAATTATGATATCTCTGTACTTAGTAAGATAATTCCAAATACTGTAAAGATTATTACTTATTTATGAAAGAAAACAATGTGACTTAAGAGGATATAGTAAAGCATGATATTACACCTTCTGCTGTGATTTTTGGCATAGGGTCTGTATTAACCAGAAAATAGTGTGTTTATAATTTACTTAGAAAGCAACATTTTAGAAAAAACTTTTCTTATCTATTCTGTGTTTGCACATGTCTACATGACATGTTGGTTTGTAAAGGTGGTGTTTTCATAATAACATGAGAAGAGAAGTGTGTAATGACACACCACAAAATCATGATACAAAGCTGCTTTGGCCAGTTAAACAATTTGGGAGCATGCATAGTATACATCAGATGCAAGGTTTCCATTTTTTAAACAAGAAACCACATAGTAGATAATATTAACAGCAATCAATTTGTATTACATATCAATTAACAGATAAATAATTATCTCCATTCTGCAGGTTTTTCTAGAGAAGGTGGGAGTTTCTTAGCTGGACAAGAAATTTCTCACTTTTTAAGAAATGTGAAGATTCATGACCATTTTTTTCATCATTTTCTAACTCACTTACAGTCCAGATATCTTGTATTTGATTTGCTCCATTTTTGTTCCAGGTGACCTACAGAATGAGCAGTCTGTCCTTGAGTGGTTAATTGATGATGACAATCGAGAACTGGCTGATGAAATTGAGGCTGTCAATGATCGAATGCTGGAAAGACTATTGGAGGAGTCACCGTTACTTGCTGTCTTTTTCTGTGAGTTTGTAATTGTGTTCTTATGAATAAAGCCTAACTATAATGAAATTTGGGGTTTCTAAATGAATCAGCATTGAAGTCTGAAGAAGAAAAATTGTTTTGGCTGAGGAACCTTTGATTTTAAACTGAGTTATGTATGTATGTATGAAATCAACATTAAACTAATTGGGAATTATGACATGGGGAAGAAAAATTAAGAAAGTGTTCATTATTCTATTCAGAAACTGTTATCATTTAATATTCAGTACACTAAAGCACAAAAACATAAAATAATATTTTGGCTGCTGTTTGTTCTGTATGGCTTTGAAACATGATCTCTTATTCTAATTGAAGTGTATAATTTAAAAATAAAGTGAGAGAGAAAATATTTGCTGTAAGAGAGATTAGCAGTATGGAAATTTGAGTAAATTTTGCAGGGAACATTGATATTGTAACTAAATTGATGCAGCTACTGTTGGCCGAACATGCAACTTAGTTGAAGAAAACAAAGATAGTGGGAGACAAGGAAGTTTATTGAAAAAGTGCTGGATCATAAAAGAAGTTTAAACAAACCCCCTTCATTGCAGATTTTTCCACATGCCTTTCCTTTCTGTCTAACAAATATAAGATTTTATGAATGTCTGGAATACCAAAAAGTAATTGTGGTTTTGTAGCCTTTCTTTTTGTACTACTAGCTCCGGTAGAGAAATCTGACTCCTCAGGTTGTGTTGACTGGCCGTGACTTTCGTGATTAGAGGGGATCTGAGGTGTAGGACGGCCAACACTCAAATGCCAATTAGCAGTTTTGAGTCTTTATTTGAATTGCACTACTCAAGTGATCACTGTAGTGATCAACTTAATTGATTATTAGGTTTAGACTCTGCCGCTGATTCCTAAGACACGCTAGTTTGAGAGGAACCACAAAGAAGAGAATATACAGGTGATCGGAGAGCACCTGTATCCCCAATGAGTGTAAATTTTGGAGGCCTCCAGCCAAGCACACTCTGAAGGGTAGACACCTGCACTAGTTACCCAGAATTTGGGCAAAGGACATCCCACTTCAGATTTTGATTGGCTGGACTTGGTTAGCTGGGAGGCAGCTTAATCTTTCTCCTCCAATTAACACATTGTGGACCAGTGGTTTAAACATTTAAATCACCCTGGGGACCGGCGTTTTTAAACCTACTACCCTAACTTGTGCACTGTTCACTTTAAAAATTAATATAAAATCTCCTAATTAATTTTATGAACTGAAATTTTTGGAGAACACTTACCAGAGTTCCTAGAAGTGCTTGCGCATGTGATATCTCTGGAAACAATCCCCTTTGTGAAGAGGCATTATGCAGAAGTTGCACATGTAGGCAGTTCTACTCTTCTTCTTGTGCTCTGCACACACACGGCACTGCCTAGAAGGGTGTTTCTTCTTGCAATATTCACTCTTCACAATTTTAAATTTGGAAAAATTTTAAAGGAGTTTTCTAAAATTGGAACTGAAGATTTTAAAAGTGCCAGTTCATGAATGTCAAAATTGCCGTGTGTGGGTGACAAAGATGATGTACGAATTAGAGAAATATCAGCGAAGTAGATCCTGTTAGCCAATTGGGAAGACCTGTGTGTTTTTAAATTTTAAACTGGGTGCAGTGTAACAGCTACGTGAGTGTATACACCTGATGATGGCCGTTTGCGGCCAAAACATGTAGTGTAGAAGAAGACAAAACGAAAGACCTACAATAAATTGTTGCACTTAGGATGGAGTTTATATCATATATCGTGTAGAGTGTAACAGGATGCTTAAATATAATATTGATGAATTTCACAGATCCCTGACCATACAGAAAAATAAAAAACAATTGACCCTCCCCTAAATTCGACAGCTGCAGTTTGGAGTCTGTATTGCACTACAGGCCCCCTTTATTTATCATTCCACCATCATACTGAGGATATGGTGTCCAGCATATAGGTGACTCACATAACAAATGGATTCCTCTAATATGTAATTTCATATACAAAATTTGAAAGATTTGTAGGTCCTTCTAGGTTCCTGGTTTGAAGAAAATCCTACAAATAACCTTTGTACACTAATTCACATACCATGATAAATACCAATTATATTTCACATTCTCAAATGTTATGAATACTCATTTTCCTCCTATGTGAGGTGTACTGGAAAGTTCACAGACTAAGTCATAAAAGAAATGCTGGCTTACCTTACTCAATTTTTTGCTGCCATCACCTCCAAAATAGTCTTCTTGGGAATGTGTACAGTGATCCAATTATTTTTTCCATGCTTAAGAATCACCATAGAAGTCATCTTCCTTAATGCTGTTATGTACCACTTGTGATTCCCTTTGGATGTCAGGCACTGTTTCAAAATGTTGTCCCTTCAGTTTCATTTTCAATTTGACAAACAAAGTGAAATCACAGGGGGGGGGGCGCTAAGTCCAGTGAGTAGGGAGGTTGAGGAACGATAAACATGTTGTTGTTAGTCACAAACTCTGTGGTTTTCAGGGACATGTAGGTGGGCACATTGTCATGATGAAGGAGCCAGTTGTGGTTGCACCAAATTTCAGGTCTTTCGTCACACATTTTCTCTCAAGTGTCTCAAAACATCACAGTAAGAGTCAGAATAGACGGTAGTATTAGGAGGAACAAATTCATGGTGAACAATCCACTTCATGTTCAAAAAAAAACCCAATGAGCACGCTTTCTGTTGAACTCCGGACCTGCTGCACCTCTTTTGCTCTTGGTGATTGTGGGTTCTTCTACTGTGACAATTGTTGCTTGGTTCTGTATCATAACCATAGAGTAAATCTAAGTTTTGTTGCCTGTTCTAATCCTAGAGATAAAAGTTGGGTCCTTGTTAGCCTTCTCTCATGGCTCAGGACACACATTTATGTGCTGTTGCTTTTGATAATTTGTGAAGAGTCAGCGAACAAACTTTGTGGCAATGTAATGCATATTCAAATTTTCTGTTAAGATCTAGCCAACTCCATATCTGGTCCAAACGGTGTCTGCAAGCTCATGGATTGTTTGATGACCTTTTTGTGGATAAGTTCTTGAATTTTTTTGACATTTTTTGTTGTTTTGCTGGTGCTTGGTCACCCTAAACATTTGTCATCTTCAACTGACACTCGACCAGCCTTGAAACATGAATGCCATTCAAAAACTGCTGTCAGATTTCAAGAATGTTCTCAAAAGCCTCATGAAGCATTTCAAGGGTTTCAGTAGTGGATTTACCAAGCTTCATGCAAGACTTGATGCAGACAGTTTGTTCGATTTTGCCATCCTTTACATACAAAACGAAACACGAAGTCAAAAAAGCATTCATGTAAAAACAGTGATTGTTCACAGCACGGTGTCATGTGGCAGACTGATGCACTAGGCTGGCAGAAGTGTGACCTTGGCCTCCCCTCCCATCTTCTTACACCAAGGCAATTACAACAATAACAGTCTGGGGAATTTCTGATAGCACCTTATATGTGTGAAAAAATAGCAGTTCAAGATTATGAGAGTGAAGCTCCAGAGCTTTTATTGATAATCTTTTATTAAATGGGTCATGAAATAGTGTATGTATATGAAAACCTTTTTACCCTTTTTGTTACTGCAATTTTTGTCTTCAAACATAAGATTGAATATGCAGTTATGTAAGTTCACTAATTTTCAGATGATGAAGATTGTCCTGAATGTGATGAAATTCTTGAACATCTGGAACAGATTGATGGAGATGCAGATCAATATGGTATGTTGTCTCAAAAGATATGTACCTTATATTTTAAAGCAAATAGGAATTGAGTAGGTAAATATGGGCGAATAATGAGAGCACCTATCAGATTCAGTTGCCTTCGGCTGTAAGATAAAAATAAACACTGTTCAAGAATAGTATTGCTCATATGTATATATATATATATATATATACATATCAGTATCAGTCATATATATGACTGATATTTCATATTGCAACCATTTTGAGTTTTTAGTTGATATACCGTAACGTTTAGTGACTTATGCAGTAGTTACTGTCCCATCATTCATAACCACTTATGCTCTTGAGATGAATTCTGTGCTTACACTTAACTTTACAGTAATGTCACTGCTCACTTACTGCACTCATCTCTGCTTTCATCATCTCTCTTGTCAATGAGCTAACAGCAGCCTGACTACTCAATCACTGACTGACTGACTACCTATGCTGAATAACTGGAAACTGATGAACTCACTGGCTGACTAACTGCCTCATTTGTTTCAAACTCACTTATTTCCCTGCATAGACTCTCTGTCAAACATGTCCATGCTGTGCTGCAACTGAATTGATCTGGGTTCTCATGAGGACTTCACAGCTACTGTTATAGGTGCGTAATATTTTGTAAATTTTGTCGTGAGTGCTTGGGTCATCTCAGTCCTCAGTGTCAGCTGAGTGGTGTAATTCCCCTTCTACTTACTTCACACGATTTGTAATAAAATAATATAAAATGGGCTTTCAGAAAATACATTTAAGATTGATGAGAATAGATATCCCACAGAGAATACATTACTTTTTGTTGGTTTTTGCAATGTACAGCCACTTACCATTGTTCATCCTTCCATATTATCCCTTCACCCCCAGTGGTGATCACACATATTATGATTGTGTCAGAGGTGTGTACATCATTCTCAATTCTCATTCTCAATATTGGGACAGTATGCATACTCTGCCATAAGTGCCATGTTGTATTCTTTGATTTTTAATTTTATGCCAGTAACACTTCCACAACTTTTCAAGCTTGTCTACAGATGGTACACAGATTTTATTAACTTACTATACATCCCCTAACTATAACAACTGATATTTCTGAACACTGGTGTGCATGCCTGTGGAAATATTCCATTAAAATTACTTTTTACACCAACAGGAAGCAGTAGTAGAAGATATGGCTGATCACTCTCTTTTATCTTTTTAAGTAGTCCTGCTACTGAATGTCTGATGACACATTGTAGGGATTTGAACTTTTAAAGCTTTAAGTGAACATATTTATGTACCTACTGCTAAATAGAAATTCTAATATTTTACAGGTGTTGATATGGTTAAAATTAATCAACCTGGGGCTGCAGAAAAGTATAATATTATTAACAGCCCATCGTTAGTTTATTTTCGCAAGAAAGTGCCTCTCTTATATGATGGTAAGTATGTTTCATTACTTAATTTTTTGCAGGAATGTAGCATATTTTAATAAACATGTATGTTAAACAATGATGAGCATTTTATTATGATGATGGTCATAATTTTCAGGGGATCTTCATGATGAAGAAAAAGTTCTAACATGGCTAACATCTCAAGATATATTTGAAATAAAAAACGAAATTGAAGAAGTAAACCGCAAAATGTTGGACAAGTTGCTTGAAGAAAACGAGTTTCTTGCGGTATATTTTTGTAAGTATAGTGATAAAATAAACAGTATTTGGAAGGGCATATTGGAACAGGAAGTTGCTCTTCTTTTCATTGGATTTATTTAATTATTTAATGCTTTTGTCAGAGTTGTAGACCTTTTCCTTTTGGATGGCAGAAGTCCATGTTTCTTCTTTCCTGGTCTGATCCAGAATTATGCTTATTTTTAAGATAATTTGGCAAAGTATTCCTTGTGAAGGATGAGCATTGAATGGCAGAGGTAAAGTACAATGTTTTCAAAAGAGAGATAAGCATTTGTATCAGTGCTGTTCCTTGTTAAAAAGGGAATGATTGTGGAGTGATAGTATACTACAGCTCAAGTGAACTAAATTCTGTGTTGCAATTCTTCTATGCTCCAGCCTTTACCTGAGGAGCCTATCATCTGTCTTCAAAATCTCTGGCGTCTTCCTATCCTCCACATTAACTTTTGCGCTTAAGCAGAACATATTTTTTAAGACTAAAGGAATTCAAATTTGCATATAGTTCTGCTTATTTTGCACAGAATAAATACTAATTTTAAGACATAACACATAAGAATGTCATCTTTCAATTGGCTTTATCCTGTAATGAAAAAATGTGTATTTATACAAACCAATTATTTGATACTTTACTCTTAAATTCTCTTTAACCCTTTGACGTGGTCATTTAAATTCCGCGGCCGCGGNACTCCTCTGCACACTATGCATTACATACGAGGGCAAACTGAAAAGTCTTTGCCCCTATTATTTTTCAGCCACAATAATATACATACAGGGAAATCAAAATACAGGCAGTGTTCTAAGTACCTTTGACTATTTTACTGCACAGTCACCACCCCGGTTCAGGCATTTGTTCCATCACACCACTAGTTTGGAGATGCTGCTGTTGTAGAATTCGGCTGGTTGAGTGCAGAACCACCGCCAGACAGCGCTTTTCACGTCGTCATCAGAAATGAATCTCTGGCCTGCCAGGAACTTTTTTTAGTGGACCCAACATATGGTAATCACTGGGGGCGAGGTCTGGACTATATGATGCATGCTCCATAATCTTCCATCTGAATGACTGCAGTTGGGCAGCGGTCCTCTTTGCCATATGAGGCCTGGCATTGTCATTAGAGGAGAACCACATCATCCATGAGAATCCCAGGGTGCTTTTTCCTGATAGCAGCTTGCAGACATGCAAGTGTGCCACAATAGCTGTCTGGGTTGATGGTGGCACCTTGTGGCATGAAATCCAGAAGGAGTGGTCCTTGGTGATCCCAGAAAACTGTGATCATCAACTTCCTGATGGATGGTGTTCTGCGGAATTTCTTTGTGACAGGTGAACCAGGATGTTTCCACACCATGCTCTGCTGCTTGGATTCTGGAGTGAAATACAATACCCACATTTCATCTCCGATGACAATGAGATCCAGGAACTTTTCACCCTCCTCAGAGTAACGCTGCAAATGTTGCAGTGATGTCATCATTCTCTTGGCCTTGTTCTGATCATCCAATGGCTTAGGCACCCACCGACAGGAAACCTTGCGATACCCCAGTGAATCATGAACGATATCATAAACACTGTTATATTTTAGCGTCCTGTTGCAGTGGTTCATGTCCTTGATGTGTATTTATGCTAACCGTCTTACAGTGCACACTTTTTATTTAATTTCACCTTTCTCTTCACTTTTACACTACATGTTTCAGCACTAATGTGCCATCTTCAGGTGTGTGTCTGTGCACGTCAAACTACTGCACTGCATGCCATGACATGCACAGAGAGACACCTGAAGATGGCACATTAGTGCTGAAACATGTAGTGTAAAAGTGAAGAGAAAGGTGAAATTAAATAAAAAGTGTGCACTGTAAGACGGTTAGCATAAATACACATCATGGACATCGTGAACACTGCCATATGAAATGCCAAACTCTTTGGAAATGATCTTCAGGTGCGTATGCCGATCCGCTTTCACCATTGCATCCACGCGGGCAATGTTGTCTGGTGTGAGCGAAGTGAGTGGCTGTCCCGACTGCTCATTGTCATTAAGGTCTTCCCAGTCATTAGTGAACTCACACCAGCACCGCACACTTTTTAAGGCAAGATATTTGTCCCCATACGTCAGCTGCATTTCCCTGTGGATTTCGATGGGCATTCGTCCCTTGCTCCATAGAAAACGAATAACACTTCACTGCTCATATGATGTGGACGTGTTGAGCATGCCAGCCATCTTTGCCGACCGACAGTGGCGCAGTGCCGCGGAGCAGCCAAGAGTTAATGCTGGGCTGGTCCAAGCATATCCTGTTGCATTGAATGTACTCAATCACACTAATATTTTGGCTGCAAAAAATATTGATCTGCCTTTGTACTTAAACAAAATTTTAATTTCAGTATTTTTTATAGATGAGCATGATTCAGAAGAAAGTGATGCTGTGTTAGAAAAACTTGAGAAGATAGATGGTGAAATAGAAAATCTAGACATCCCATTTGTGAAGATGGGAGATCCACGTTATGCAAGGAAATGGGGTGTCACCAAACTTCCATCTGTGGTTTATTTCCGAAAGCGCTTTCCCAACATATACAGAGGTTTAATTACCTTAATGTTCAGCATGAAATTTAAGTAGTTATAGTATTATTTACAGCATCCAGTGTTAATATATAATTTATTTGCATGTTGTCATCATTGTCATCATCACCACCAACCTCATTGTCATCTGTGTCATTAATGTCATGGCCAATTTCAATTGAAAGAACGTTGCATGCTGTGTTACTTATGATAGTGAAATAATTCAGCATTCAAACTTTCTTTGTTAACAAAATTAGCATTATGTATCCTGTGACTTTCTCTTCTTCTTCTCTGCCTCTCCCATCTTCTAATATGTCTGTTTTATACAGGCCAGTGGTCTGTGCATTTCTCTGTCTGACATGTGCATTTGCCATTATGGCACGCAGAGAAGTCATAAGTAAAGGATTTGATGAGCAATACTATTTTCTGGGATGCAATATCATGTAATCTGGTATAAACTTGTATCAGACTACAGAGTGTTACATCCCAGACAGATGGTACTAATTTTCGTAGTTATCACTGTGAGAAACTCAAATCCCACAAGAGAAGTGATGTATTCATTTCAGTGAAAGTTTAGATTGTGGTCCTCTAGGTTACGAGACCACATAGACTTGCAGGTGATTACCAGTGTTTTAACAGAACATGCCACCCCAAACTTAGGGTTTACATGCCCTACAGTATGGACAACACTTTGTAAGATGGGGCACTGGCTAAACAGTTAACATTAATTTACTACATCTACATCACGAACCTCATATAAAATCTTATATACAGAAAGAAAAAAATATAGAATATTCCAATTTGTCCACGGGAATGTATGAAAATACAAAAACCAATGACTGATTCGAAGTTATAAAACATCAATTAAAATTTTATTCTAGTTTTATGCTATAACTTCTGTTTTATATATAATCTGATTTATTTTATTTTTTACATCAAGTGTTTAATATTTATAATAGTAATGTATCCAGTTTAATAGTACTGCAGTTCAGTGGTGTATATATGTTAAACATATATTTGCCTGCTGATAGGTATTGATAGCCGAAACATGTAGCAGAGCCATAGCTGGGCACTGACCTTGATATTTGTTGTAATGTGATGGTTAATAAAGAAGTTGTAGAAAATAGGGATAAAATTTCTTCTGAAATGTTGATAACCATCTAGAAGACCATACAGTATCATAATCCAGAATACCAAATTCCAAATGTCATGAAGAAATTGATCAAATGTGCTATTCATAATATTATGTTCAATGCAATAGACATGACAATAAGCATGTTTATCTGCCATGTACAGAAATAGACTTCTGATAAATAAATATTTAAAAGAATAATATGATAATAATTTTGCTTTTATGGGAAGTAGAAGGTACTTTCTTTTATAGAATATCATATTTACACTTAGAGTACCAAATCCTTACAGCTGAACTATGGCCCTGGGTCTGACTCAGTCTCTAACAGAAATAAGTACCAGGAATCTTCCTGGGGGTAAAGGTTGGCCAGTGCATAAGGCTGACAACTTTACCATTTTCTGTGAGCTGATTATCTAGAAAATGTCAGAGCCTTATGTCTCACTACCCTGTGGGCCTCTGTGGCCTGTTTCAGAGAAACACTTTACCTTTATTATCTAGTGTTATCTGCATGCAAAATACTGTTCTGTGGAAACTGGGCACTCTGAATTTTTCTTATTCCTATGAAATGGTCAGATGATGAAATTATGATGACTTATTCTTAAACTGTTTTTTAAAGAAAGTAGTTTGATATATGACATTCTCACAGCAGGTTGTCACATCTCAGAAGATCATAATCTCAAGCAACAAATTAGTTGGAAATGGATTAACAAATTCCTGTTTGAACTGTGTTCACATTTGGCTAGAAAACTTAAAGAATGTTAACAATAAAGGCTAAAGAATTATCAGTAAATACTTTACTTACTTTTAATTCCTTTATTTATCTCCCTCTCTCTATTTCATTATTTATATTTTGATATCATTTATATTTTTTTGTTTTGATCAGCAACAAATAAAAATGCATATGCCTCTTTCAGATTAGAATTCTTCATACAGTTAATTTGTGTTTCAGGTGACATGAATTCAGGTGATGAGGTACTAGAGTGGTTACGCAAGAATCGGTTCCGACAGCCAGAGTTAAATATCTTCATGTATGCAGTGATTGCTCTTGCAATCACTTTTGTCATGTACACAGCATGGCTTCTATCATGTTTTCGGCCTCACATAAAGCAAGTGTGAGTTGCTGCTCTCTCTTGTGAAGTGGAAGATATGTGTAAATTGTGTTGAGTTATTCAGTGAAGTGAAACTGCACTTTCAGATCAGGGGTACCCAATGTGAAGCCTGTCTTGTGTTAGTCTCCACTTAACAATGAACTGGAACAGCAATATGATGTAGAACTTATGTATATTATACAGTCATCAGTTTAAGACCAAGAATATTTTCATAAAGGATGTATAGGATCATTTTAAAACTATAGAATTTAAATTAAAATTACACTTTACTAAATAGAAGTAACAGACAAAAGTAGTCCAAATTTATATATTTTTTTAAATATATGTGATATCCACTCCCCCATATGCCTTCATGGAATAGTGTTTAATTAGTTAAGCACAGGAACAACTTCACCCTTTTTACCTTTATGTGTCTAAATTATTATTTCTTTGCTTAGTATACATTATTATAAACTGAAATAAATAGAGCTTCAATCATTATTTTTTTTCACTAGCTCTGCAGCCCACTTGGGCCCTGGCCTCTGATTTCTCAGTTTCATGATCATTTTACAGAAGGTAGGACTCCTTGGATGAGTGATCAGCTCATCACAAGGCCTCTACCTAAACACAGGACAACACAAAACAATAAACACATACACATACCAAACATCCATACCTTGTGTGGGATTTGAACCCATGATCCTGGCTGCCAAGTGAGCAAAGTGTGTACATGCCTCAGACCTCTTGGCTACCATGACATGCTTGAATCTTTAGAGTGAATAATAATTATCTGCTCCTGGAAAGTATGCAAATTGATTTTGAACTGCATTACCAAAGAGACAACAGACTGACAATTGGGCACCTCTGTTGATATGAACATTCATTGACCGGTGACATGCTATGCAGGCCTGTGTTTTGGGGATCAACTTGATGTCTTCTACTGGGATATCAATTTTTGTGTTGCCCCTTAGTGTACAGTTTGCATGTAGATTTGGTTCATGGCATTCCTGAGTTGATGCAATGTCATCAAATGTTATGACTGAGAATTACTGAATTGCTGTGTAAATGTGTGTGTGTGTAGATGTGTCATGAAGCCAGTAGAAGATCACATAAATTAAATCATTTCCTTTAGACCAATTGATGGATAGTAACATAGAAGGAATATTAAGTAAAACCTGTGAAATTAGCCACTTCTGTAAGAAGATCACATGCTTTACTTGTCTACATTTTGAGATTGTTAAAGAGTTTATATACTGCCAATGCTATGCAATGTGACAAACTAATTTCAATCTTTGCCAGCAAACTTGTACTCATACAGTGATTTCATGCATGACACATTGCCTCAATTCTACCACTTTTTGAACTACATTTCATTCTGCCAACCCTACTCTGTTTCTGTGTATTCCAGTACCTCATACTAAGGTATACACAATTTTGCAAGGCTTACAAAATGTAGGTGTTAGTTTCAAAATGGCTTCTTTCTAGTGAATTTAAAGGGGCCATTTTTACAGAGAGGTAATGTGAGTCTGACTGTGTTGTCTTAGTTAAGAATCCAAAATATGTGGTGGATGGTGAAACAATGATCTGCCCATAAGTCATCCTTTGCCTTTTGTGTGTAAGGGCTAACAACAAAGAGCTTGGAGAAGAAAGTATTCTAGTGCCAAAACGTAATCAGACTTAAAATTTTAATGTTTTAAATTTATTTTTAAATTGCAGGATTTGGCCCTATTTGTACACAAAGTTTGCCATTATGATATGAAGCAATTGACCATATTCATTACTTTACATGAAGCTCAAATACATTTTTTCATAAATGGTGCACCATACAAAAAACTTATTGCATGGGTGTATATTTAAATAGGGTACAAGTATTATTTGGATTTTTATGTGGAGAATATTTTTTGAAATACATGGAAAAGTGAGTTCTGATTCTAGTTAGTTCTGAAGTAATAGATTTGTATCTCCTACATAAGAGAATTGAGCTGGGATAGCACAGTCAGTATAGTGACTGGCTATTCGCTGGACAATGGAGGGTTTAGGGTTGGAGTCCCAGTAGGGTCAAGAATTTTCTCTTCTCCATGTCGTCCAAACTGGCTCCAGGATCCACCCAGCCTCCTATCAAATGGGTATTGGGGGCAAGCAGCCTGGGTGTGAAGCTGACCACTCACCTCCAGCTAGTGCTGAGATCAAAAAACTGTGGATCTATACATGCACTCCCCCATACACCTTCATGGTATGGTGCTTAATTAGTTATGCATAGGAACAACTTTACCATAATTAAGATGTGGAAATGAGATTATGATAGAGATATGATAAATAATTTCCTGGAAGAAAATATATAATAGTTAATATGATGACTAAAATAAGTTTTATTGCAAAAATATTAAAAGGTAAAATGAATGAATGCATGCATTAACTGACTTTAAGTGTTGCATTTCATGTATAGTGACAGGATACAGCAGTCAAAAGCATAATGAAGAATTTAGTTCAAGTAAAAGAGTGTATCATAATTCAGAGGGATAATGTACGTAAGATTTGTCCATAAAACTGCTGATACATAGTTAAAGTGGAAGAAGAAATCAGCTTTTCTACTACAAGAATTATGTAAACAATAAATAACTATTTATTATTTCAAAAATATATGTACTTCAGTTGAGAATACCTTGTCACTCGTCTTATATTGGAACTAAAAGTGGCTAACATCGGTAGATTTCACTGTAAACGAAAACTGTAACAACTTTTGTAGAAGGCACAAGTGAATAATGTGTGCATGCAAAAGACATTGTGTTAGTTCAGGATGTTGGAACCCCATCTTCTAAAATCAGAAAAGTGTAATTGGGTAGTTTATTTACAAAACTTTAAGAATCATGTACAGTCAAAGAGTTACAATGAATAATTGCATTTAGAAATATTATGCTATATTGTATATGTGATGTGAGGTTTTCAAGGCAGTGAAGATTTGAGTTGTGGTTTTCTAGGTTATAACACTGTATATCTGGTAGGTGGTTAACAGAGTGAAGGGGGAGTCTGATATCTCCATATTCAGGGTAGAAATGTAGGTGGAGGCAGCAGATTCCTCTGAACTGTGAGTGATCCTCTACAATATACACAGTATAATAAACTATTAAACTATTGTTCAAATTATGATTATATTTTTTCTTTATATTCTGAGTACTGGATGCCTAGCTTATAATGATTTTTTGTTTCAGAATCTGAAGGTGTATGGTTATCATAATCAAGTTCTATCAACTAGTTGAGGAAATTATTTACATTTTGAAGCCTTCAAATGTTCACCAATTTTGTAACTAAACTCATTGGTTAAAGATGTACGAGTTAGCTTACAGTGCAAAATAGATGAGCATTATGCCACACACATTGGCAGCTTTAATTTAAACAAGAGATGGAATACTTGAAGCAGACTGGAAGAATGCAATTGTGTTGTGTCTGAACTTAATGGGCTAAAGACAAATCAAAGCAGGTACATATTTCCTGCCCTGTTGAGTAACTCTCAACTTCCAGCAGACTGTGCATCATCATATGTCATATTTACACACTTCCATGGCAGTTATAATACTGAAAATAATACATCTTAATTTACCTTCAGGTTCCATAAAATGTTGGGATATTCTTGAATAGTTGCACATATGGCAGCTTCTCAAGAAGGTCTCAGCTCCACGAGTTAGTAGTTAGTTAATTAATTAGTCTACCTAATGTATAAGGACATCAAAACTGTCAATACTCTGTCATTTCCAGACTTAATTTTATTTCCAAGAAACATATTTTGAAAAATGGTTTAAGAAGTTTGAGCAAGGTAGTAAATGCCCTGATATAAATCATCATCATTATTTACCTATGTCCATTTTCACTCTTAACATATTGTAAACCAATATAATCACTTCATTTTCATCATCACCACCACCATCACCAGTGCCACCATCTTCATCACCTCCTCCTCCTCCTCCTCCTCCTCCTCCTCCACTTGTTGCTGTCTATATCATCCTACATTTCACTATTCTTGGAAGTCCAAGTAATATGGGAACATTATTCTATTTGTTAATTCTGTAACTTCTGTAAATAAAAAATGAGAACTATCTTGCCGTCTGGATTTCTTTTCAAACATGCAGCACATTCAGAAGTCTGCGTAAAGTGCAAGTATATAATTAAACAGGTAACCAATAGATTTTATGTGGCACATATTCTGACCGAAGCACAATATAGAACGAAGTTGTTCTAGGTTCTGTAAAGACACTGCTGCCTGTCTTCAGAATCATTTAAATCTTATAATCAAGTGTTAAGTCCATTGGTTACAAATATGATTTAAGATTAATGGATTTAAATGTCTCTTTCTATATAGTCTTGGACTTAATTGTGGAATGAAGTACTGGTCTGATATTGTCTGATGAATGTGAATATATCTTTCAATATATGAATACTGAATCCTGAACATGGGAGTTTTGTAATTATTTTTTAGGAATAATAACAATGTTAATTTCAAAACTTCTACTTTTCCATTACATTGTGTAGATGAGTATTTTGCTGAACAACAAGCGAGTCAAAAAACATGCATTATAAATTCAGACTTTCTGTTTTATTTACTTCCAGATGCTGTATTTTATTAAGCATTTTATGATCTGTAATTTGTTTTTAATAGAAAAGTAGAAGACTGAAATCAAAAGTATATGAGATGTCTGATGTATGTGTGAATTTCCTACTTTGTTATATGCCCGTTAGAATTCAATTGGGAACTTAATGTGCAATCCCTTGAAAGTGTTTGTATTATATAAGTTACAAATGTTATAGGTCATATTACATTTTCATCAGAAATGTTACTACAGGATTATTAGATTTCTAATGTAATGACTTCCAGAATTTGTCAAAATATTTCTATGGATTCTGTACTGATAAAACAAAGCAATTTATTTGTAAATACAATTGTAAATAAACTGTGTCAGAATTAGAAGGAATTGCAAACTTTCTAAATTAGAAAACTTCTTATTGTAACAAGGAAATTCGCCTTTTCTCGTGAATTAAATTTTTACCAATTGAACTCTCAGATTACAAACAAAACTTAAAAAAGTGTTATAGTGATAATTTTCTCTAATTTCTAACACATCATCCGGTCCTGTGGATGTATCAGAATTATTCAGCCTTCTCTGGATGATGTAAAAATCATTCTCTCATACCTTCCATAATGCAAACAGTAGAACATTTTCTTACTTTTAGATTATGTATCATACACAATGGTGGTTCAAATTTGAAATTATGGAGTCACCATAGATTATAACATGACAAAGAACAATGAAATCCCTGTGACAATATTTTCTTAACCTGAAGCCAATACTACTCTGCTTGCAGCTGTTAATTATTAGCAGACAAACTGTGCTGTAGATTGAAATCCAATAAAATCGGTCCTTTTTCAGTGCTAAAGCAGTAAAAGGGACAAAAATTTACTGTAAATTATCAGTTGAGTGTGGGAAGTGCTACAAGAATGACTTGTAAGTCCACAAGCACATGAATAAATTAAAATACCTCATTGAAAGTGTTGAAGATTCTTCCTGAGCTGAACAAGAAACTTATTTTGATGTCAGTTACCATTATGGAAATGGAAAAACTTGTGTTGGAGAGAAATAGCTGGACTTGCCACCATGAAAATTTGTTCTGTGCATGAAATTGTTTATTATAGCTGCATATTTCTTAAGGTAATGTGTCAATTATTCCACAATATTTAATATCAGAATTAAAGAGCAGCTAGTTGATGCCTGTCCTGTGCACATGCAGTATGATAATGCCTAATCTCAACCTGTCCTACATTGAAGATGATGCAGGAAATTGGTATATACATCATTTTGCATAAGAAATACACTTAGTGATTGGCACTCTGGGACACAAAATATGTGAAAATTTTTGTGAACTGCACTTTTCTTGAAATAACAATGGATTCTCAGTTACATTTGTAAACACAGCGTTTAATTGATGTTCTGAATATGAAGTAGATATTTACACTCAGAATTACTGAATTTTTGGACTGAACTCAATGTTTTGGAAACTGGATCTGATTCTGTCCTCAGGCGAGGGGTTAGAAACCTACTATGCTGGATCCTTTACAAAGAGCTAACCTCAGTCACTAGACAACCTATGTCAGTATAACAAATATAGCTACAGCTCTATAAAGACGTGAGTCCAGGTTATCCAATGATCGAAGTTAGCCCCTTCTAAGGACAGAGTAGCTGTCTCTATCCCATTTCATTTGAGTACAGAAACAGATTCAACTTCCAAATTTTGTATTATTCTAATCTTTTAGAATATTGGATGATGGACAAAGTCCAAAAACTCAGTAATACTGAGTGTTATACACCATTGACAGAACCCTTTAGAATCTACCTAGATATTTACAGCAACAGACATATAAAAACTCTTTTTATTTCATTTGTACATTAATAAAAAGTAAAGTTGTCCCTGTGCTTAAATAATTAAGCATTATGCCATAAAGGCATATGGGGGAGTGGATATATAGATCCAAGTTTTCTTGACCTTGACACTAGTTGGAAGTGAGTGTTCAGCTTCACACCCCTGCCATTTTACCCCCTTCTACCCATTTGATAGGAGGCTTGGTGTTCCCCAGAACCGGTCTGGATGTTGTGGAGAAAATTCTTGACCCTACCAGGATGTGAACTTCGACCTATTGGTCGTCTAGCCCATAGTCAGTCTGACAACCTCACTGCTATCTGTGAATAGATTGTCTAGAAAATTTGGGAACCCCGATTTATATATTAATAGTTATTTTAATTACGTGATAGCATAGTTGGTTGAGGCACTATGCTACAAGCCGGAAGGTCGCGGGTTCAAGTCCCGATGAGGTCACTGGATTTTTTTCAGTTGACCTAATCCTTCCTGCCACACTATGGCCCTGGGGTCGACTCAGCCTATAACAGAAATGAGTACCAGGAATGAATTAAATAATTTTCCTGGGGAGTAAAGCAAGGCCAGCGCGTAAGGCTGACAACCTTACCGCCATCTTTGAGCCAATTGTCTAGATAATGTGGGACCCTCAACGTCTCACAACCCTATGGGCCTTCACAGCCTGTTACAGGGATAGCTGTTCAACTTTTAGTTATTTTAATTACGTAGACATAATTTATTATTATGATTATTTCTGTACCCATTGTGAAGATTCAGGTCCTCAGCTGGGAGTGAAAGCTGCATGTCTTCATCTTGTTTTGTTTTTCATGACCTAGGCTCATGCTTGTTCTAGCTACACACCTAACTTATGTGTGTACCTCTGTCTGTGTGTTCCTTTCCTTTTTCATTTAAAACACAAGCTATGGGAGTCTAGTCACTTTCCAGTCTGTTGGGATGATTTAACGATTAGTCATTTATTTTATGATATTATTTACTGAATAGAGGTTCAGTTCTTCCAGAATACCTTCTCTTTTAAGTTTATCTAATTTTGTACATCATTTGACACTTCTTAACAATCTTCACTGCCTGAATTTTTATACTGAAATATAGGAACTGCCGTTATTTCATGAAGTTAACCTTTGGTTCTTCCCATATTACCTGAAATTGATATATTTTGATTTATACTTGGTAAGAGGAATCTTGTATATTTGAAATGCTAAACTTATTCTGTAATTGAGCTTTAAATTACGTATATTATTTTGCAGTGGACTGAATGTTTTTCTTGAAAAGCTAGCACTTTTATGTTCTTTGTAGAAGTTTCTGTTGTAAATTATTTAGCAAGTGAGAACTAGAAGTTTGTAACAATGGTATGTTAATACAATTATTGTGTTTATCCACTCTAGCCTCTCCAGTCTTCATCATTGTCCCATAGAGTGTATTTTTAATTTTAAAAATTGTCTTGACAATGAAACGGTTTCCAACGCATCTGAATTTTAGGAGATATGCTTAACTTGTGGGATAATGACCGGACAGATATATTTTTTGAAGAAGGACGTTTGCTTCTTGATAGCCTCATTGCGGAGTTAAAGTATTCTTCTTGGTGTTCATGAAGTATCTGATCATGCCTTATGTTCTTAATGTACTTGTCAATTTCTGTCTAATCATGACATATGACCTTGGCTCAACTTATCAAACTATGAATGACTCCCCTTTTCACGTGATGTAGGTGGTTGGACTAGAAGTGCAGATAACGACCTGTATGAGTAGGTTTCCGGTTCAAATTCATAGGCAATGTAGGGCCCCTCAGAAGGAAATTAAGAACATACATGATCTGGTGCTTATTGAATGTCCACAAGAATTTGTTGACTCCATAATGAAGCCATCCTTCAGATGTAATATGCCAGGTCACGATCATTATCCATATATTAAGGTCATCTTCAAGAAATTCAGATTCATTGGATACCGTTTCAATATCAGGACCATTTTTAAAACTAAACATACACTCCAAGGGGCATTGATGAAATCTGGACATAATTAATGCCCAACAGATGAAGCAGTGTATGTGTACAGTATCCCATGTAACTATGGCAGATGTTACATTGCCGAAACAAGCAGACATTAAAACTATGCAATGAGGATCACAAATGAAACCTGATTCAATATCTGCTTGAAAAATCAAAATTAGCCCATCATGCGTACAAAGAAGGTCATGAAGAAAGCAGTCATCTGGGATTTGGCACCGGGTATATGTGGTGTTAACCGACGTTTCGGAGGAACGTATCGCCTCCATCTTCAGGGTAGAAGGAAAAAGGAAAAATATAAGAAATCCGCAGGCAAAGAGACCTACCTTGAAACGTCGGTTAACACCACATATACACAGTGCCAAATCCCAGAAGACTGCTTTCTTCATAGTCACCACCGTGAAAACTTCAAATCTTACAAAGAAGGTCATGTCTCTCAGCCAACATTTAAAATCAGATTTAAAGAACATATAAGAGATATAAAGAATGGTGGACAAAATTTCAAATTCAAATGAATAGTTCGAACTACGGAAATCTTGTACATTGGGAAGAAAGGACGAATGTTGGATACTCAAGAAAGGTTTCATAATATGAAATCAGCAAGCAAAACATCCAATTGAACGACAATCTTACTGAAATATTTAACCCAACATGGGACACAATAATCGCAGCCTACCAAGCATAAACAACTTTACCCCCATCCTAATCCACTACACCCCTACCTTCCCCCCTCACTTAACACAGTACTCCATAACAACGATAACAACATACATCCCGAATCAGTTGTAATCCATCTCCTCACCAGATTAGGCATATACACATAAATGGAGACACCCGTCAAATAGTAAGTAGACTATATAGCTACAACACTTCAATCAGCACTACACACAACCACTAAGAATATTCATTAATTAATTATCACTGTACTTCTTTTGGCTTATTTTGGACTTCACCCATCGTCCGGTATATAAAAAGACAAAAAACCACAACGTTTCGGAGACTGGATCTGTCTCCGTCTTCAGGTGTATAGGGAAGGTTTAACCTACTCAGTTGGGCCCCTTAGAAAGAGCTAGTCTCAATCACTGGACAANTCATTTTAAGAATTGTACTTTATTTGTAATTTTATATTTTATATTATTATATACTATTTGAAGAAATCTAACACCACATCATGTAATTAGCATGCAATTCAATAGCCAAGACGTTTGAAGTGTATTTACCTGATGGTGGCTTCTTGAAAGCCAAGTACTACTTGAAAATACAAACATATATTATTAATTGTTGTGTTGTGATGGCTTTCAAAAAAGAAAAATATTAAAGTGGATCTTAGCTAGGATGGAATGGTGTAGATTGGATTGATCTGGCTCAGGATAGGGACCAGTGGAGGGCTCTTGTGTACATGCTAATGAATCTTTGGGTTCCATAAAATGCTTGGAAATTCTCGAGTATCTGCACCATTGACAGCTTCCCAAGAACGCCTCAGCTCCATGAGTGAATGATTGTTGTTTATGTTGTAGGTTTTAATATATTATTTAAGACTTCTAAGCATATTTTATATCCCAAATTCGAAATACTGTAACATTTATCAACATATGGAGCAGTTGCTGGCCCACCATCTATAATCATTTATCCTCTTGAGATCAATTCTTAGTTCACTCATTGCCTTACAGCCATGTGGCTGGTCACAATAATATGTTTACTCTCTGTTGACATCTCTGCACTGAAGCTGAACGCGGAATTGCCTACTTATTCACTTTCTGATTAAGTCACTAACTGACTGACTGATTGACTGACCAATTGCACCAACTATTCGCTTATATGCTCTGTACTGCAATGAATTTGAAGTGGACTGTTGCAAAAACTTGACAATTACACTTATAGGGATGTAACCCTCTAGGAAGTTTGTATTGAGTTGCTGCAGTTGAGTTACTTCTAGAACAATCCAGGCATTGCCAAACGTGGGAAGTCAAAGTAAAATGATTCATTCTGTCACAGCTCCTGCAGCAATACTGATGCATCTGAGGAAGTGATAAGTCTTTTGAGTAGAAGTGAGTAGACAATTTCGCATACATTTCAGCGTGACTTACGTTGCCATGAAGACAGATCTTTTAGATGTCAGGGTTCCAAAATTGTATATAATGTGATGTCTGGTGAAGAGCGGGTGATTTTTAGGGGCTAAGTAAGTTTACCCACTTACCGACTGAACTAAGATACCGATGTTCTTAGTTCATCCCACATCAACACTAGAGATGGCAGAACATACTACGCAATACACTGAAGGTACTGCATGAGCGCTGCATGAGAGTGCACAGCTATTGTATTACATTCGTGGAATCAACTTTCGCCGCCTTGCATCGCTTTTGTTTTCAAGATACTGACAGTTCTTCCACCTTACGACAGATATTGAAATTAATCAGTTCTGTGTGTGACTCGAAGCGATTCGCTAGTGGACTGTAGAACTGGAGAGGAGGAGGATTTGTTTATTGTCCGTGTTGTGAGCTCAGAGGAGTCGTGGAAACCCGGACTGTATTTCATAGCTGTGCTGTTTGTTTATAATATGTGTGAGTATCCCTCTTGTCTTTCACAGTCAGTTACCACAAAATGTGAAAATAATATTGAAAGCAGTTTTTTTATTTTCACCCAAGCTTGTGCTCATGTTATTACTTTCGTTGGCTTATTAATACAACATGAAGTACCGTTTGATTGCATTAACACATCTGTGAAGCATTGGAAATCAGTGACCTGTCAGTTGGATTGATGGACAAGGGAAGAGATGCAGCAGCATTAGTAATGGAGAAGTTGACAGTACATTGTATTAACTTACAACTATAGGAAGGTTGTGGAGAAAAACAAATGATCAGTATTTCTAAAGAAAGGATATTAATTATGCATCTTTTGAACCAGTCTTGTAAGCTGTAAAGTATGAACTGGCTTTTTTAACTGTTTATTAATTACTGTTATTGTAAATCTACATAACAAAGCAAGACATCCCATATAACGAGTTTCAGGGGTGGTTTTCAGTCTTCACAGAATTACTCACTGATTGTTATCTAAGGGGATTTTAGTAATTTTTCTGTTACATTCATCATTATTTTGTGGATTACATAAAATCAGTCTGATGTTCCTCAAAATGTAACAAGTACAGCTCCGGTAACTCATTTCTTCAAAAATTAGTTTCTTTTGACTTACTGCCATAGATCTACAATATTCTTTTAAGGGACTACTATTATGAACATAGATAACATGGATGCATCCTGTAGATCCAAGGAAGCAGGATGTAGGACAAGTTAGTATATCGTGGAGCATATAATACAATTACATATATATATTAAAGTATTCATTTATTTTTTTGTAATTAATGTAACCTGTCTGAAGTTTGTATTATGACAGTGCAGAATAGGCAGTCGTTCCATTCACTGTGCTAGACTGGGAAATTACTTCATTAGACATTTGCCTTATGCTTTCACTCATTCCTGGTTGGTTTAGAGCTCGAGAGTAGTTAAGAGAAAGAACAGTTTGTCTGTTTTTGATTGATTTGCAGCTTAAGTGTTTCATTAGATCTTCATATATTTTAGGACACAATCAGTACTGCATAAGTTATGAGCATTTGAAAAGAGAAGAGCTAGTAAGAAATCTAAGCAGGTGTTCAATCCAGTACATGTTAACAAATTCACAAATGTTACACACAAGAAACAGGGTCCATATTTATAAAAATTCATGACAACCATCCCTTGTTGTTTAATTTGTTTAGCATAATGCTTTACTCCTTCTAATGTATTACACTATGTAATACTAAAAGGGTCTTGTCCCTTCTGACGTATTTTTTTTTTCCAAGTTACTTACTTGATTAAGCTGTTAGTATTGAGACTATAGGGTTGGATGATAGGATAAATTTAAGAATGTGAAGCATTTGGTGGAGTGAGAATTGACGAGGGAGACTGAAATATGTGTTGCAAACCTGCCCTGTTTCCATTTTGTCCACCACACATCCCACATGACCTGGCTTACAATCTAATCTAGGCAGGTGCAGTGAGAGGTTGGTGACTAACCACTTGAGCTCTGGTACAGCCAAGAAGTCATCGAATATGCAGCTGGAAAGACAGGAGCTTTAAGCCCTGATTGTTGTATTAAGACTCGCATGAGCAGCTGTGCTGGCAAGACTGTTGCATGGGAATGGAAAGATTAAGGAACTGGAAGAAAAGACAATTAGAACAAAAGAGAACCTGAAGAAAGCAGACCAGTCTGCTTTTACCGGTTCTCACGGTCTATTCGCTTGCGGATTTCTTATATTTTTCCTTCTACCCTGAAGATGGAGGCATACGTTCCTCCGAAACGTCGGTTAACGCCACATATACACGGTGCCAAATCCCAGAAGTCACTGCCGTGAAAGCCTCAAATCTTACAAAAGAGAACCTAGCAGAAAGCCTCACATGACACCACTGATTAAGTAGAAGAATTTGATTACCACATGTTGGGGGATAGAATGCAGAGATGTCATTGTAATGGAGTATGTTTCACTGGCAAGTTATTTCATGACACGATGAACGTGACTCAGACTTTGATTTGAATCCAGGGTGGACTGTAAATTTCGCATTATGCAGCAAACCTGCTTGAGGTAAAACAGAGTATGTCTATAAACAACTGCCAGTATTTACACACACCATTCTCTCTCATGCTGTAATGTTAAACACAAGGTTCTGTCATCAAGAAAACTACCCCTTCAGTGGATGTTATGACTGCTTTGAGTCATTGCAATCCAGTCAGCATTAGAACACACTGAACAGGGTGGTCAAGGGGTAATGCTCAAGACTCATATTGAGGCAGTGATTGGTCTGAATTTCAGTGAGGGCATGTGCTATCTTGATGGAGGTATTTTGTGATTTTCCTCAGTTCCTTCAGGAAAATTATGGAATATTAACTTCAATTGGGCCACAGCAGCTTCCATTCCAATCATTTCCAATTTGTGATCCATCGATCATCTTATAATTGCATGTTATGTATTTTAGATACTGATAGCATCATGAAATAACCCACATAAAGTGACTCCGCTCCTGTCTTGTTGGTTTGGTTTAACATAAAGGAGTCATGAAAAGAAAAACTCGAATTGTCTCTGTTCTGTAGTTTTCTTACCATATGCCTGAATAAATATAGTTGGATTAGTTGTGTAGATAATATTGAAATATGTAGTAGAAGTCCAAGTGTAACGAGTTTAATAGGAGTAATTAAAAATTTTGATTCTGCTTCTTTAGATCACTGTTAGCCTTCCCCGTAAAGTAACCACTGTCAACGCCAAAACTTTCTTTACTCTTGAAGAAAGTTGTCTTCTGGGTTTAGGCGCCGTGTATTCTTCGTTTTGGCCGACGTTTCGAGGAACGTATCGCCTCCATCTTCAGAGCAGTTGAATGGCTTGGAATGAAGAATACATGGCGCCTAAACCCAGAAGACGACTTTCTTCATAGTCATCGCCGTGAAAACCTCAAAACTTACATTTCTTTACTCTTGTTAAACCAGTTATACTTGATGGACTTCTACTACGTACTTGTATAATAAGGGGTGTAATGGTTCAAGATATCTCATATAATGACATGTAGATAATGTTTGTGTGACTAAAAGATTTCGGTGCATTCACAGTGAACAGTTGCACCCACTGTCATTGCCATGTTTTCTGTCTTTTGTAATTGGGCCCTCTACCTGTATGCAAGAAAATGAATATTGTGAATAATTTGTGTTTGATGTTGGAAAGTTTTACTAAAATTTATTGGCCTTTTTAAGTTTGGTTAGATTCATTAAAAATAGCTGACATTTTGTATGAATACCTGCATGTGTTTCTGCATGCATATTGAGCTAATTTGTTAAATATTTATTTCAGCAAAACGTTTCTAACAGAAACTGTAGAGAGTATTGAAAAGCATATGATTCTGGGTTCCGTAGATGACTAAGATGAAGTATCAACCTTGGCTATAGTCCATTGGCCCAATTGTCATAATATTTGCACATTTAAAGATGGCGAATGGAGAGAACAAGGCTGATGTATTATTGAGAAAACAAGGAAGGAAGGAAGAACTTAGCAGTTGTCATTGCCAGAATAATTGAATGGTAGGCTCTCGGAGCGGGCCATGAGAACCCTGAGTTTGTAACTGTTCTGTTCATATGACCTGAGAGGTTGCCCATTCTGTGAATTGTATTACTAGCAATTTTAGTCTTATCATCTGTGATCAAATTAAATTTCAGAATTGGCAGTTCTTTAGCTGGAGGTGAAATCAACGTCTTTTCCTTAAGTGGGCTACAGGCGGAATCTAAAACCAGCAGCAGCCTTTCCTTAAGAGCTGTGATGGTGGACCCTTGTATTTATTTGAAGCGCCTGGGGTTCACTCAGCCTCTAACAGAAATGAGTACCAGGAATTAAATAAATAATTTTCCTGGGGAGTAAAGCGAGGCTGACAACCTTACCGCCATCTTTGAGCCGATTGTCTAGATAATGTGGGACCCTCGACGTCACAGAACCCTATGGGTCTTCACGGCCTGTTACAGGGATAGATTTACTTACTTACACTGCCCATCATGGAGGGGGGGGGACGCCAAGCTGCAGCTTACACGTAATTTTCAAAATACGTTTTATCTGCCTCTAGCACGATGGCAGCATGCATAACATAAAAACATGACATTAAGGATCAACGAACGGTACAGCGTGACGCATTTAGTAATTATGTAGCTTGGCAGCACCGCATGTTTGTAGTTGTTATTTTGTAACCGTTGAAAGTAGCATCCAGCCTAAAAAGTTAAGAATCTTACTTTAAAGCCTAAACTTCCTGACAAATGCTTTGTGTAGTTAGCAGTGTAAAATGGGCAGGTTTTGGTGAAGTACCGTACTGAAGTCAGTTATGCACACAGTAAACAAGGAAAGCTATCCCTGTAACAGGCCGTGGAGGCCCATAGGGTTGTGAGATGTTGAGGCTCCCACATTGTCTAGACAGTCGGCTCATAGATGGCGGTAAGGTTGTCAGCCTTATGCGCCGGCCGCCCTTTACCCCCAAGAATATTCCTGCTACTCTTTTCGGTTAGAGGCTGAGTCGACCCTAGGGCCATAGTGCGGCTGGAAGGATTAGGTAAATTTAAAAAATCCAATGACCAGATTTTTTTTACTGCTTGACAGTTGCCGTCTTGTTTTTTGTGGGGGCGCCCTCTCTGACGATAGGACGGGTCTGTCTTTTGTATATTGTGCTGGCCTTTGCCAGCGCACACTTTCTCGGGTCCGAGTCCCGTGGGACTCGCGACCATATTTTACTGTCTCAGATTTCAGACTTCCCTTTTTGTCGCCTTCGACGACTCGCAGGGTCACGATGGAGGTATTCGACCCCGTCTCCACGGATCAAAGTCGAAGTCAAAGTCACATTGCGATTGACGGTCAGTCAGTAAGTCATGGTGTCGAGCCCCGTCTGGGGCTCACGATCACGTATTTATTACTGTTTGACAGTTACGGTCTTTTTGTGGGACGCCCTCTCTGATGAGAGGACGGGTTAAGACTCTCGTAATCGCAGCTGCTCCTCGTTAGAAAGCCTCG